CTGGACAGAGCACCATATTAGGCAACAGACTATGGGGAATGGCATGTGGGGACTCCAGGGAGCATGCCTCCTAAGGAAGGAGCACAACCATAAGCTGCTGGTTGAGAGCACAGAGTCCTGTCCTGGCTGACAAGCCTGCTGCAGAGGTCAGCCAGAGAGGGCTATCATTCTTTAGGGAGGTGGAAACAACTCAGAGCTATTAATGGTTTTTTTCCTGGCTGTCCTCAGTGATGGAACTGTAAGCCAGGCATGACCATGAAAGGGGTTGCACATGGCCAAAAGATTATGTTGAAGTATCTCCCATGTCTCTGACACCCACAGTGCCTGTGTTTTCTTCCCACATTATACTTCAGGTTGAGCTCCATTGCCGCAGTTTTCTTAGCAGCAATCTGAACAGCCTTGAATTATGGTTGAGAAAACAAACCACTCACTTCTTGGTCTGGCTTCAGTCATCATCCCATCACAGAATTGCAGAATAGCTGAGGTTAAAAAGGACCTTTGGAGATAGTCTAGTCCAAGCTCTCTGCTAGGAACAGGGTCCAATAGAGTAGGCTGCCTGTGAGAGTGCTCAGGTTTTGAATGTCTCCTTTTGTAGACTGCATGCATGAGACAAGGTTTAGACTATAAAAATAATGTTTCAGGTCTGGTCTGTGCCATAGACTTTGGCTAATATCTGTGCTGGGTGATGCAGGACTTGTAAGATGTGTGACTGCTGAGCAGCATTACAGTGTTGATGAAGCCACGGAATACCTCTCAAAATGAAAGAAAAATTCAAGGCAAATCCCTCAAAGTCTCATAAGCCCTTCATCTGAGAGTGGAAAGTGCTATATTTCTTGAGTTTTTAATTATAAGTTTGCAACTCTTACTGGTGAGCCAGAGAGGATTTTCTAATGCAGTGTTCACAAGAATACTCCCTGTTCCAAGCTATTAAATTTCACAAGGAAAATTATACAATAATTATATCAATAATTTCCTCCTATTACTTTTCCATGCAAGAGACATACTTCCATGCCACAATGATGTCTCAGCAGAAACAGTGAGAAATATCATGGTAGCAAAGCAAATAGGTTCCAAGACATACTCTTTGTGGTACAACTTTCATGTTTTCATATGAAAATTTTTCATATTTTTCTAGGCTAAAAACAAAATTTAGTATGTCAGTAATTAGACCAGAAAAAAAAATTGCTTTGAACCTATGTAAAGATATTTCATTATTTTCATACTCTGAAAATATACTTCCTTCCACTCTGTGTGGTGGGTGCTGTTATCAGAACATACAACACAAGCTCTTTCCTTGTAGCAAGGTATTCTCTTTGGAACCTCTACAAGGATTTGCTGTTGTGTCTGTATATGTGACTGGAAGTTTCTGAACCATATCAAATTCACACACTCAGCTTAAAATTATATTTGCACTAAACATATTCCTCCCTTTTAAACATTAAATGGATTTATTAAGAATGAGAATTGTGTTTTAGTTATATCTAGAACTGTGTAAAGGAATAGCCTTTCCAGCATTTCTGTGTGATGGAGATTGAAATTTTTTTCCTGAATCTGACCTGAGGTGGGGTCCCAAGGGTTAATGTCCATAACATGACAAAGGTTAGTAAGAGCCATCTACTTTTACAATTCAGGGTTTCAAACTTTTAAATCTTTGCTTTTTATAAATAGTTAAACTGTAAGTCAATGCTAGTGCCAAAAAATATTGCTGTTTTCAACCTGTCTAGACTCCTAAAGCTTTTAAAAGTTGAAAATAAGCTTCCTTTTCTGCTTTAAAAATATCTTTTAGCTAGTCAATTTGTTCTTATGTTTTTTAGATGGGAGAGCATGTAATACCAAAAGGATAGTATTTAAATAGGATTAAAAACCTGGTTTCTGTATCACACATTGGAAAGGCAAGTGATTGACATTAAAAATCATAACTGAAAGAAAGAAAACCCAAACATACTGCAGGTCCTACTCAGAGCAACTGAACTGTTGTTGCTTTTTTTGTTTTTGTTTTTTTTTTTTTACTTTCTGCTTGCACAGAACATTGAACTCTAGATCTTATGGTGTGGTTGAAAATGAGATGAAGGTCTCTGGATTCACTCTGCGTAATTCCCCTTAATTAATAGATCCATTACACTTCACAGTTAAAATCATATCTGATATTATCTCAGTTGGTGGAAATTTTACTTAATTTTGCACATGAGTGAGAGACCTTATCACTCTCTAAAACTACCTGAAAGGAAGCTGTAGACAAGTAGAGCTCAGCCTCTTCTCCCAAATAACAAGTGACAGCACAAGAGGAAATGTCCTCAAATTGCACCAGGGGAGGTTGTGATGGGATATTAGGAAAAATTTCATCACTGGAAGGGTTGTTGAGCACTGGAGCAGGCTGCCTAGATAACTGCACTCTGCATCCCTGCAGAAATTTTAAAGATGTGTAGATGTGGTTCTTGGGGATAGACTTGACAGTGCTGGGTTGGTGGTTGGATTTAATGATATTAAAGATCTTTTCCAATCTGAATGATTCTACGTTTCTATGAATATTATTTATTTCCACACTAAACAATTTCTAACTTCTTTTTGCAGAACAAGAGCTTTAGATCCCTGACCTTGTCACTCTGAAATTGTCACATGTTGAGTGTGTGAAAGCAAAATAAATTTCACAATTGCATTTAAATCTTAAAGAGCTCAAAGCCAACAAACGTATACCAAATGTATTAAAAATATTTGCTTGTATTTGAAGCTCAATATCTGCCTTCTTTCCTCATTTTTCAGAAACTGAAAATGAAAGTGCACCGCCACCTCCAGGTTAGTGTAAAAAATGCTGATTTGAGCTGTGACACTAACAACAGTTGCATGAGACTGAATACTGCATAGCCATAATATGATTTGTGTTCATTTTCTCTTCAAAAATAAGAGGACAGCAAGAAAAGTTAAAAAAACTGCTCAAGTAAGATATCCTCACTTCACTTTGCCTGAATACTGATTTTTCAGACTCAGTTTTTGTTTGTGAATGACTAGTTGTTTGCTTAATATTGCACATGTCCTTCAGAATACAGGTGAATCATAGCTGCTTAAATTATGTGGATAAATTTCGCTGTCCTCTTTGATGCTGGGCAGCATCTAATTACCAAAATATTCCCCTTCATTTCACCTCAAAAGTAGATTGTGAATAAAATTGAATCAAGCGTGGGAATAATTTCACTTACTTGTAGCCCTTTGAAAATTATGTATCATGTCTAAGTAGTTCAAAAGCTCCATCTCTGACCAGTGGAGCATATCCTGGGTTGCACATGCTCATCAATGGGCATTTCCCAGGTATCCTATCTAAAATGTCACTAGATATCCATGTGCAGGCAATTGCCCTGAGGAGTCTGATTAATTGTCTAGAATGGAATGGCTGAGTTGCAGGAAGACAAAGTTAGGTGAGGTGAAACTCACTCTTAAGCATGAGGGCTTCTGGTAAAGCTGCAACTTTGCAAAGAACAAGAGTTCTCTTTAGTGGGAGCTGGAAAAATGGACTAGCCTTTGCCTTGTACCATTGAGTATCTTCAGCTATTTTCTCAGATAATGTAGATATACTTATATATAGATATCTACATCAATAGATGTAGATATCTATATATAGGTATATCTAGATAGATAGACAATGCTGATATATAATACATATATCTACAATATGTATGTCTAATTTAACCTTTTGGTGAGTATTCTCTGTATAGTGACCTAAATAGCAATTCCAAACAGAACAAACACCCTACAAGTGTTAAATCTGCCTTTACTCACTGTCTTCATAACTGGCATTTTACAAGTCTGATTCAAGATGTCTTTGTTTCAACAATACACACTTTGATTAAAAAATGACAAAAGTATCATTTGCCACAAGGAGTTTCACGGTTAAATTATCCACATATTATTTTTATGTGATGAACTCTTTCATATTGCATAAATTTGTAAGGAAAGTTAATTTGTTTTTAATTAATGATATTTTACTCAACCATAAAATTTGTACAGTTAATATTAAACTAATTAATTTCACCCTTAGGGTCTTACCTGATATACTTTGTACTTGAATTCAAGTTTTTATCAATCTTAACTATCAAGTAGAATAGAAATGAGAAACAGCTTTTTATACACAGAAAAGAATAGCATCTTTGAAACATTACATTAAAAATATCTATTAACATTTTCAAAAAATTACCATCTTCCTTTCTATTTAAAGCACAGGATTAAATTAAAAAAAAAAACACTTCTCCTTTCTTTTTTCCTTACCTGTTTTTCTCCTGAAAAATAAGTAGGGTGTCATTAGGCCATTAGGTAAGGCACAGACCAAACAGGGATATTTCTAAGCTGGACATGTCAGCTTAAAAACACCCCTGTTTTGGCTTCCTTCTCACTTCTGGCTTCCTTCTGCCTGATTCAACATGCTGTCATCTTGGATTATCAAGTGTCAATACACAAAGAGGGAAGCTGGTCTCAAGAATCCAAATTTTATAACTTACAAATAGTTTATTGAACATAACCAAGCATCTTGAACTGCACCAGGAATTTTTTGGGAAGTCATTGTGATAGGTCTTTCCAGATCTCAATGTCAAGGCACAAGTGTGGAGCACTTTGACTGATCAAGTTTTCAAATAACATGTAGACATGCTATCATCTGCCAAGATCAGGAGTGAAATCTCCTGATCCCAGATCCTACTGGAAAAAGAAAATGTTACTGTAGCAAAAGTCCCATTAAAAAGGAACATCTGGCCAAGATGGACAACCTGACAATTGGAGTTTGGGAATTTAGGGAATCCCGACAGAAGCATCCAAGAGACTGTCACACTACCAGGATGTGGAGTTTCCTTTTAAGTTTCAGCTTTAATTTTCATAGTTACTGTGGATGCACACATGTGAAAAAGAAATCAGGATAATCAGAGTATCAACTGGCTCTTGCAGATGTTTTCTCTGTGGAAAAAAATTATCTTAATTCCACCCTGACAATGTTAGTCTATTGACAATCACCCAAAGCCATGTTCTGTCAGGCAGTTGACAGGTAAGTTTGCCAAAGAATGCCATTGCTCACAGGCAATAAGATATTGAGTGTTTATACCTTGAAGACAGCTCACTTCACATGATTTGACAAGATTCTAGATTAAATGAAGTAGGAAACCAAAAGGAAACCAAAAATTTGATAGAAATCCTATCAAATCCTGAAATAGAGAAAGTGAGGAAATTGTTTTGTTTAAAACACAGTCCAAGTTTTCTCATACAGATGAGGTCAAAAATAATTCACATTCACCTGCTTGGAGCAGAGGACAGGCTGGCAGTTCTGATCAAGAAAACTAAATACAAGTAGTCTTGGCAAGATCATGTTGATAATGATAAAGATGATGATAAAGAATTAAAGAATATCCTCAATACACTCCCTCGGTACCTTTTCTTAAGGATCAACTGAGTGGCAGTAACTCCTGTCTGATCCAATTTCTTTCCAATTAACATTGATATGTAACTCATTTCAAAAGCTTTTGCAAATTAGCCCAAGAACAAGAGACTAACAACTGCTGCTTCTAAAAAAAACAGCTTTTTTTTTCCACTGAGTCCAGGAACTTCAATCTTACATGACTTGTTCAAAATATAGAAATTGCATTGATATTCACAGGTTGTAAAATGTTTTATGGGATTGCAACTGTATATTACATATACGCATATATCAATCATTCTTTAATGTTGTTTTTCCAATACTAGCAGAACCTGCATTTTTTAATGCTGTGTAAGTCTTTCTTTTTACTTTAAGATCCTCTCAAAACTATACTTGTACTTCCTACACAGAACAAAAAACACCACAGGAGGGTGGAAATGAAAAGGGTAAAGGTAAGTCTGAAACCATACTTTAAAAATGGGCAGTAAAGAAAACTAAATGCTGTTCTGATGCTGGGTTGTTTGAGCTTTAATTCAGAACTTTCGTGCTAAATTTCAGAAGTGTGATATGAGGCTTCTTAGATCCTTTTTCTGCATGACTTAGCCAGCCCAAGGAAATTATGATACTCATGAATATCTTCAAAAATCATGCAAACCAGACTGATACTTTAGCAACAGTATTTATATTGACAGTTCAATTAATGGATCAAATTACAAGTGATTTGCATGAAAAGAAAGCTGTGTTTAAATGAGCCTGGCTGTTGCCCCTGACCAAGCTTGCTGAAACTCAGATACTGTGTACATTTGTTGCTGTTGAATAAAGTGGACAATGTCCTACTGTCATTCTAAGCTGTTTCTGTTCTACCACAGAAACTTGATATTTTACCTTTCAGAAAGCCCCATAGATTTTTTTCATCTGAAGTTAACAATCTCACCTTCATCTTTCAGTCCTCATTGGGTGCTCAGATGAGCACTTTACAGGTTCTGAAAAGTTTGCTTGAGGACTGTCTGCTGTGAACAAATAGATAACTGTTCCACCAGCAATGTGTGCAAAAATCAGCTCCAGTTTTAATATGTATTTTTGTGCTGCTGAGATTAGATTCTAGCTCTGTTGACATTTCTTCTGGTTAGGAGAATACATTTTGAGGGAACTGGGCCAAATTCTCCTGCTTTTTGTAGGAGCCCTGCCAAAATAGAAATCAAACACCCTATCAGGTTATTTTGAAAATAATAATCTCTTTTTTTAAGCTTAATTCTGATCAAAGGCTAAAGCAGACCAAGATATGCTTACAACTGATGCAATGCTTGCTTTTCATCTGGCATGGTTATGCTTTTTCATGGCAAATCAAGAAATGGCTTGCTTGGAAATGTATTCTGGCTTTTGGTGGCTTCCAAACAAAATCCTCTTTTAGACAGACTGGGTGTATACTTGATACTTGCAGATTTATTTGGCAAAGGCATGCATGGCTATTTTTCTCAAAAGAGTCAAAATATAAACACTAAGAATGTGTGAGTCAAGTACCCTTTTGAAAATAAGAATGCTGAACCAGGCTTCAGTGCATGCTACTTTGCCAGTTATCCTTGCATTGAACAATTATTTTGACACACACAAAATTTTGTGTGAGTAATCAAATCTGTCAACTTGGTAATGGAAATGCAATTCAGAAATAATTTGCATGCCTAATGATAGGAAAAGATATGAAAGTCTTGCCTCAAGCTATTCCAACAGTTAGTTCTGCTTGCTTTAATTTGGATATGAGAAAAATGTTTGTTCCCAAACTGAACATGAATGGTGATTTCCTCACTGCTTACAAGCCTACATCTCACTGAATAAAAATAAAAACATGGTAGGTAACTTATCCAATACTCCTGTTATCTTTTTATACATTATTATGTTTCTGTTTTGAATTTAGTGAAGGAGACAAGTGCTTTCCAGGAGGAAAAATGATCCTAAGAGAAACCTTTCAGTGCCAGGAGGATTTTACTACCAAAAAATATTGTTTGAGATCCTCCTATGGAGAATTTTCCCAGTTTCAGCTCCTTGTGGCAGCTGTTGCCTCTGTAAAAATTCCAGTGAAATTCTGAATATTAATAGATAGATGACCTGCCATGCTCCAGTGAAACTATCACCTCTGCAAAGCAAAGTAGATGTCATTGCCAGACACTCTGTAGTAATACCTCTAAAAATTAGTTAAGTGCAGTTGTTTCTGTCAGCTCTTGTTTTATTGCAGAATATCACCGAATAAGTGAAAACATATTTTCATAGACTTGTTCCTTCAGGTTTCTGTGCCAGAAAAAAAAAATTGTGAGCATAATTCACAAAAAGGGAACAGGTTCCATTCTTCCAACCTGTCCAAAATCATTTGCACTTGAAAATGAACAGTTCAGCAAGGAAACTATGACAGAACCAGCCAGATGTTAGGTTTTATATAAGCTATATGTAAAAGACTTTCTGCAGCTTCATAAGTAGCAGATTTGGGTATTTTCCTGAATGGAAACAAAATGGGAAACATTTAATATCTGAATTCCACAGCAATTATGCAATACTTGTGTGCCAACAGTTGTGACTTGTTTGCTGATAATTTCTGAGATAGACTGTAGACACTGTAGGAACCTGAAATGGGACTGTGCTGGAACCTGACATCTAGGAAAGAAATCTTGGTAGTCCATGTAAATCCCATAGTCCATCATTTTCACCCCCATCCTTAGAAAATATTAGCAACAGATATTAGGAAGATAGAGTATACCTATCTGTGTGTCTGTTTTACTGTTCTATTTCTTTTTAGTACTTACTGTCTGTGTGAAATTACATATTTATATTCCTTTGTGTTCACTGTAAAGTTATGAAATGAAAAGCAGTGTGGTAAATTCGTTGTATCTCATGGTTATTTTCTGTAAATTAGTAGCTCAGAGCAGTAAACATAAAATTTTCTTTCATAAAATAAACCAGTTTTAAAAGATCTATAATAATGTAAAAATTCAGGATATATGTGATCGTCCATTTTATTTTCAGAGAAAAAAAGTGAATCAGCACAAATCCTCCAAATTTACTACATTGTCTTATATTCATTCAATTTAAATTCTTGTGTCTCATTTTTAATTTCAGTATTACCTTACACATTGAATAAGTTATAATTTTGTTCCCACTTGCTGGAATAATAGTAACATTTTAATATCAATTTGCTCATTCCTTTTTTTAGGTCCCATTCATCCATTCAGAGAGCTACCTGTATATTTTACTGATACCTTTCCTCTAGGTTTCTTCCAACCATCTACTAAAATGTTCACTGCATGTGTCATCCTTGTATTTTCCCAGGTTTCACTTATCCATTCATCTCCCTACTAAAACTTCCCCTCTGTGGGTATGTACTTCATTTACCATTTCCAAAGTACCAAGTCCCCTTGATGGGACTGCTGGACTCCCTTTGAAAATCAGATTGGTAATTGAAGACAACTAAATTGGAAACTCAGTCTTGCTGTGCTCTGTAATTTCAGCAAAAAAAAGTAAGATAGAAAAATAAAATAATATACAATTAATAGGTTTTAATAAAATAATATACAATTAATAGGTTTTTGGCACTCCTACCCAATGTTAAGTTTGTCAACAGTGCAGCTGATGGCAGAATGGCAGCTTCCATTTTGTGCGGGATGTTTCAGATTGGGGAAAGGAGGTCTAAAATTCTTGATACCAGCAGCTTATATATAAATCGGTAATTACTTTATTTTTGACATCTATTTCTACATTTTCTGTGCCAGCAGTCATAAATTTTAATGGTAAGGTTACACCAAGTGTGTTTAGATTAACTTCTTTGGAGTTATGGAGAGTTCTTTCATCCAATAAGAATCTATTCCTGATATAGTTCAGCCTGCTCCATAGTTAATGTTATAATTTATAAACAAGGAAAAGAAACATAAATAATACCTATATGTTAATAAGAGTGTGCCACAGACAAAGAATAAAGATTTCTATGGAGTAATGCATCTTATAAGCCTACTGTCAAATTAATCAATTGATTTCCCCATACCAAACTCTTGTCATGCAACAGATTGAAAAACATATTTCATTAAAAGTTTACTTGCAGAAGATAAGGGTAGTGAATTAATGATCATAGTTTTACTGAGAATATTTTTTCTATTTTTGTTATCTTCAAATAGACTTTATTTTAGTATAAACAATCATTCATAGAGAAACTGAATTGGCTGTAGCTGCTGAACGATTCTGTCCTAGAAGCCTGAGATAAAAGGAGTGATGGATTGATAATTACCCATTTATCAAAACAATCCCTCCAGCATATACTCCTTTCATACTCTTTGCATTTCTAAAATATTCAATTGGGCTTTCATCCTTATACTTCTGACATGTTTGTTTGTTTCTTTTGTCTTTGATGTTAACATTTTGTTTGTAAAATTAGAGATTACCCTGGGGAAACCCCAGCAACCCTCCTGCAAAACAAATAACTTCTTTTTGGGTTTTTAGTTTTTCAAATGATTAAATGAAAGAGAAATCTGAGTGGTCCTTTCGTAACTCGATTATCATACATCATCATGTAGGATTCATCACATCAGATGTTTTATGCTGGTCTTAATTATTTTTCTTCAGTCAAATGGATCTTTGAGCCATCATCAATCACAATGGTGACATCATTGACAAAAAGAGCTGAAAGTACACTTAATGTTTTCATGAAATATGGAGAAATATTTGCAGTGGAAGCACGTAGCCTTGCATCCATTTAGTTGCTAATGCAGTATGTTAAAACATCTGACAGGACTTAATCATTACTGTGCTTTTACTGAAAATCAGCATTCTCAACAGCTGCTTATGGCATTGGATGATGCAGATCTCATGAGAACCCTTCCCTTACTCTTTATTTTTTCTATCAATAAGAAAAGATATTTGCAAGATAACACATTAATCCTTCTTGTGTAAGCAGACCTTTTACAACTCATTCCCCTCCCAAGGGATCTTTAAAATAAAGTTTGATGAATCATTAAAAAGGAATGAGTAAAACGTTATGGTGAAGCAGACAAATTCTATTAACAGACTTTTAATTATCATTAAGTGGTTAAGCAAGCCCAAAAAATCAATTTGCCAGTGTTTATGAAAATGCAACGTTATTTCATATGTGCTTTTGTCATAATTATTACATTTATCCTTGAAAAAAATATAGATAAATTATAACTTTAAGGTCAAAATCAAAGGATAACTTCAGATTTAAAATTTCATTACGGAAACACAAATGCAAGAGATAAAAACAATCCAACCCCCAAAACTGCTATCTTCAAAGATGTGGGTTAATATTTTTCCAATGTTGTTCTTGTTTAACTTTGTTCTCCATTTTGAAGTGTTTTATGAATTATTTTCTGATCCTGTATAAAAACATGTTATCTTCATATAACCTATATATAAAATCCTAAATATATCTAGTTTATTTTTATCTTTCGAATGATATTTTGGTTATTTCCTTACTTTTTTACCATTAGGCTTTTAAGACATTAAGACCTTTTTGCTTATTTTTATTAAAGCTGATCTTTGACGTTTCTAGTCAACATTTAAATTTCAAAGAGACTCTTGTAAAGATTGTCTTTACCTTATTCTTAATCATGATTACTGTAGTTATATTTAATGCCAGTTTCATGTTTTTCTCAGCCTTTTGATTTTTATGAATATAAGCCTCAACATATTCTATATGATTAAACATTTTAAAATATCTGAGTAATAATTGTTTGTAGCAATTTAATACCTCATGGCAGTCAACTTTTAGTGTGATCAAAAGGAAAATCCAGCATGGTGATAATAGTTCTTTCCTTATTTATAATTATTCTCCTGTTAGCATGAGGGAAAACTGAGTTTTGTATTCCTTGCATTTTAACTTAATATTATGGTATAGAAATTACAAAGTATAAATAGAAGGGACTAGTTTTAACTTTTTCATATCTTGATTTAATAATGCTGAATGCATATGTGGTGCATATTTTAATTGCAGACGTGGTCATCAGAGAAATGACATCTTCCTCAGGTTAGATATGTGATTCTCCTTCATTTCATTGTGGCTTTCTTATTGTAATTACTGTGGATTACATCTCTAACAAACAGAATCACTCTGCAGCTCTCATATAAACTCATGATTTAATCATAGATCACAGTCCACATCTCATTTTGTTTTTTACTTGCTTGAAACATCAAGGTTTACCATTTCAGCTACTGAATTATGCAAAGCTTTCCTCACCAGTTTGAATCTTCCATTATGAATGCTCCTGAATATTGCAATTTATTTTCCTTTCTTTTGCAGGTTTTACATTTTCATGTAGTTGTTTTATAGCAGATGATCGCCTGTGCTTTCAGTTTCTTCATGTGCTTTTTCATTTGTATTTCTTTTCACAGATGAAGATGACACCTCAGTTAGTACTCCACCAGCAGGTTAGGACTGTGATAATGCTTTGAGTGTGTATGTATGTATGTATTTTTCTCTTGAATATTAATGAAGAAAGAGTCCAAACCAGCAGAATGAACTCAAAAGATATGACTTAGAAAAATTTTCAAAGTGCCCTATATTTTATTAATCTCTGTTCAGAGGTACAAGACCCTTATATCAGCTAAGTCCCTTTCCAGTCCTGTCTTGAGCTCTGGAGTAGATCTCCCAGTGGAAGGTAAAATATTGGTTAGTAGATCCAAAAGCAACGCCAAATAAATAAGTATACTGTTTGAATAATCAAAATACTGTCCCTCAGACAAATACTGAGGAATGGAAATTCCCCTGTTACCTGGAACTACACAAGTCATAGAAAAAACATCAGCCTCATGTAACCTTTCTAAAGAAACTCTTCAGCAGAATTAAACTAATTTAGGTTTTTCTAGAGAAAAGTGGGGAAGATTTCTGGGGTTTTTTTTAGCTGTTCACTTTTATCTGTTATTCAAGTACTTCCTCAAGGATACAGTCCCATATATTTAGTATAATCCTCCTGTATGAAGAATCAATGTTCTTAAAATGCCAGTGATCTGAGATCAGTTAAGCTGTGATCTCTGAGCTGGTGTCATCTAAATTGCTCTTCCCTTTCAGATGGGATGTCTAAACCAGCGGAAAGAAAAGATTCAGGTGAGACCTCCTGAGAAACACGACAAAACACTCCCAAAATTACATAATAAAAATACTGTTTAGACAGTATATATATATAAAGGATATATATATAAAGGATAATACTTTATTTTCATTGTTTAGACAGCAACAAACTATAGCTGCTGAATTATCAAAGTACCAGGGCAAACAGGTTTCTAGCAGCTAAACTAGGAGTGAGAGATGGCTGTGCTGCACAGAACAGGACATGTATTTGACACATACATACATACCTATCTATCTATATCTGTTTCTGTATAGATAGATACATAGCTGTTCCATTCCTCCTCAGCCTACAGGAATTCCATTCCTACATTCAGTCTCACCCCAATCCCACACACAGGTCCCAGAAGACTGTAGGAGAATGGCTTCTTCTCACACCTCAAAGGACGGTGGGGAAAACTTAGTAAAATCATCATAACCTCTTTCTTCCTACCCTGGCAGGTAACGCACACTGCACCCACTTTTGTGGTTTCAGGATTTGCAGCCTCTGGAACAAAATGAGCAGCTGGTACTTCAACCATGGCTATGGACCTGGCATAGCCGCCTATGCCAGCCCGTGTCAAATGCACCTCCCGTTCTCTTTGTTTAATAAATAGGAAAGTGTTAATATCTAGAGGTGGTGTTCCTTTATGTGGTACCAAATTAACGACTCTGTGTAAGCTTTTTTCCATTTATTAATATCCTTTTTCCATTTCACCCCATGGCATTTAGGTTTGTTGCTGCATGTGGCCAGATCCTGTGCTATCATCACTTCATTCTTTTCCCACCAATAACCTTCACTTGTTCTCATGTTGTTTCCATATAATGCCATGTTAGAGGTATAATCTAAACATTTCGATTATGGAGAGTATATATAGATATGTATCTATATATATTTGCATTCATTTGTGTCTGTGTAAATCATTTCATGTATGTGTGTATATATGTGTACATATGTGTGTGTATATATGTGAATGTCTTTACCTGTGAGAAATATTGTACAAGCAGGCATATACAGAGGTGCTAGGCACACCACCCACAATTGACTGAAACCCTAAGACTTTGTAGCAAAGCTATGTAGCATTTTGATACCTTTTAAAAATTCATAATAGGCTTTAGGATAATAAAACAAATTTGTTTGCATTTTCCCATGGTTGCCATGTGCTGTGTCCCATTTGTGGGTGGTAGAAATTTTCATTAGTTGAAAAGGTTCCCACAGCAGTAATCACTACATATCAGAAAGACTATTCTGACCTCTAACTTTAATTAGTTTCCCCTCTGTACTGGCAATAACTCCTCAAAAAATGGAGATGTGGCATTTGAACTTCAGATTGGAATATAAGATACGAGCTTTGCCTCTCTGCAGAAAGTGAGCAGAAAACAGAGAGGCATTCACTACCTTTCTCTCCTTGCACTTTCTGCTAGGAATCAGTTTTGACCATGGTTTTACACAAGATGTAATGGCATAGCACAAAGCCAGGGCTGTCCAGATAAACAGAGACCAGAAACACACAGCTGTCCTGGTACAGTGCTCTGCCCTGGAAGGAACACTCATTTGCTGCTTCTCTCAGTACTCTTGTTCCTTTTCACTTCCAAAGTCCCAGTTTCCAGAAGAGAAGCTGCTGTGTCTGAACATATTTCACAATCATTTCCATCTGACAAATTACTTTTTCCATAAAATACCTCATAAAATTCACATGGCAGGACATGACAATGACAGATCCCCAAATTCTCTACTTTTGTCATGGCAGAAAAGAAGAAAGTCCACAAGTGAGCTTCATTCCTGCCCTAGTTTGCAGACATAAAGGATGAACCAGCTTGTACAATGGACTTGGTTTGGGTTGAGAGTCACTGAAACTGTTGATGTAGGGACTTTTGTGCTTCTAGCTGTTTGTGTTTTCAGAGCCTCCATCTCTTCTGAAAAACAAAGAGCTGATTTTGTGCATCGCCTCTGTAAAGCACTCATGGTTGAATGCTGGTGCCCTTCAAGTTGCTCAGTGCCCATCCTGGCTGATCAGGTTCCCCTCGCTTCCTCCCTAGTTTCATTTTTTGTCACCACAGAGGTAGTGTTCTTGCAGGAGCTGCACACAGTGTGACAGCCAAGCAATGGATGTCAGTGTGAACAAAAGCTCATGTGTCTTTCAGGACATCTGAAGAGAAAGGTTCTAGGGCTAGAGAGTTTAGGAAGCTCAGGTAAGTGTACTTTGGAGGGAGAAAAACACCCTCAGATGATTGATATTTCCCCCTCTCTCTGCATCTCAGTATGGTCTCTTGGAGAAGGAGCTCCAGAAGAGTCAGAAAAACGTGATGACTCCCAAAGATCCACTTTATTCGTCGAGAAACCTCAGAGTGGGACAGTGAGTGTTGGTAAGTGCCTGGGAACAAAGCCAAGAGCCACTCCCAGAGACAGAGGCTGAGCTGGGAATGGAGTGTGCAGATGCTGTGGCACTCAGGTTCTGCCCTCAGCTGCAAGTACTGTCTCTGGTTTTAGCTGGATGTGAACTCCACTCTGAAGGCAAAAGCACTGTACTCAGAGAAGCAAACCCCAATTGTTTAATTCAAGACAAGCTCAAAATCTAATCATTTACTGAGCATAATTTTAAGATTTACAGTTTCTGGGGAAGAAAGCTGGTTATTTTGATACTGTTGACTGTACTGTTATTGATATATCAAGAAGATCAAGCAGATCAAGCTCAAGATATCAAGCAGAAAGCTTCCAGGCCCAAAATCACTAACCTCTGTACCGCTGCAGTACTTTCACAGTCTGTGTGACTCCATCTGACTCTTAATTTTGTGGTAGAACACATGGCAGCTGAATGGAGCAGAAGTAAACGGAACTTGTAGAGATGCAACTGACCAACCACATGCTCCTCAACAGCTGTATTATTCTTTTCTCTTTCTGAAAGGTGGGAATATTACATTTATAGCCAAAGTAGAAGCCAAAGATCTTCTCCGAAAGCCAAATGTTAAGTGGTTTAAAGGAAAATGGATGGATCTGGCCAGTAAAGCGGGGAAGCACCTGCAGCTGAAGGAGTCCTTCGAGCGTCACACTAAGGTGTGTCTTCACTTTTCCTTCTTATGGGGGCAAAGCTGCAAAGAGAGCTTGAGGATCAGTTTAAGACAACAGGCAGAAGGTCAAGAGCAGTGGAGTCTATCCCTCGCTTCCCCATACAGATTTCAGTGGTGGTCTCTGACCCTCTGCAGAAGCAGATTTTCTGCTCTCCCAGCTCAGGACAAGTAATGGTGGGGAAATCGAAATTTTCTGATGCCATTTCTGGGTTCCACTTTCTTTTCAGAACCCATTATTTGAGTTCTTCCTTGTTTCTGGTACATGTCTGAAAGACTCCTGTTTTAACTTCTGCTTTGTGCAAATGCATTTCCCACATTAACGAACGACTATGCTTGATTTTTAGATTCACACATTTGAGATGCAGATCATCAAAGCTAAGGAAAACTATGCAGGGAACTATCGCTGTGAAGTGTCTTACAAGGACAAATTTGATAGCTGCTCTTTTGACCTTGAAGTCACTGGTAAGGTTCCATTTGTATCTGTAAAGATTTATAAGGATTTCTTTCTTTCTTTCTTTCTTTCTTTCTTTCTTTCTTTCTTTCTTTCTTTCTTTCTTTCTTTCTTTCTTTCTTTCTTTCTTTCTTTCTTTCTTTTTTTAATTTGCAATGACACTTCATTTTGTTCAGACCCTTTAGATGAAATAGTACTTAAAGTGAATGTTTTTAGCATAGAGTTAAGAGAATTTTCTTGCATCTGTAATTTATTGTCTAAATGAACATTGGAATAAATACCATGAGAGACATTTATCCAAACATTAGAAAAGCTGGCAGGTAAAGCCATTATTGAACTCAAATTAGGCTCTGGCACACAAAACCCAGGGCTTTGTGTGTGTGCTTAGAGGTCAGCAAGATGGGGGCTAGCCTGGCTCCATCCATTCACTGTCTGTGGATCAGAACAATTTAATCTGATCCAGGCTGTCTCAAAGGGGTAATTCACACGAGAGGGATTCCTCCTTGCCCTGACAATAAATGTGAGTCTGTAGCTGTAGAGGTGACTGACTCTCTCCTTCTTCTGACGCTGAGCCTACTGAGAGAGCACAAGATGCCAGCAGGGGAGAAAGCATAGGAAGTGAGAAGGCAAAAAGGCCAGAGCCTGTGAATAAGGCAGGCAGGGGAATGGAGAGAAACATCAGAGGAACAGGTCTCCTATGCAGAACTGCAGAAAGAACTTGAGAGAAATGGTACACTTAGCACTGAGCATCTTTGCAGATACCAGAACCTAATGCCAAAGGGGAAGCACAGATGCTGGTCATTCAGTAGGAAACTGAACAAATTTCATATTCCCAATCACACTGATTACATAAATGATCCAAATTATGTTTTTAATTCCTGTGTTGCCATTATTTCATAGAATCTTCCCAAGCTGCTCCATCCATTGACATCAGATCTGCTTTCAAAAGAAGGTAACCTCAGTTATCCTATCCAGCTCCTCAGTAATGGACATTAATAGCCTGCACAGAACTTGTGTCAACAATTGTATCAAGTACTTTATAAAACTGGTTTTGTAAATATAGATTAAAGAAGTGGGATTTAGAGTAATTGGTGGTGGCTAGAATGAAATAGTTAGAAAACATAGATAGTATATATGATATTAAGTACCCTTACTGTGAAATGACAAGTGTCATCAATTTAAAGGAAGATTGAATATTTAAGTCAATTAAATATATGTTGCTTTGGAGGATTTTAAAAATTTATTTTCATTCACTACTGCATGTTTCCTGAAAACTGGTCCCAATCTGCACGGATTAAAAGTAGAGAGAAAATTCACACTGATTTCAAGAAGACAGGATCTGGCTTTGTTATGTTATAGTGAACAGTAAATACCATCAGTAAGGAAAAATAACAAATAGTATACTACAGGGAATGTAAGATAAAGCACTGTGTCTTAAGGTTTGTTACTTTCTGATAAAGTAGCAATTCTAACCGGTATAGGTGTAATCTTTTTGAGATTAAATATATTAAAAATATATAGAATGAAAATGCTTTACAAACAGATAATGAATGCAGTTTGTTAATTTACAAGTAAATCTGTAATTCAGAGATAACTGCTTTTATTTAGGGGGCTTTAATTCAAAGATAAATATAAAACATATTACATTCAGGGTGCATTTCTTTCTTTAGCACATTTTAAAAAATGCAGTAAATACTCTGCCTGAGTAGATGATGATGTCTCAGTATTTTCTGTTTTTCTAAGTAATATCTTGCGTGTAAAATCTTGATTAAACATTGGCTTCATTTCAGTTAAGATTTGCACTATTTTTCCCTTTTTACAAATATTTAGCACATTTCTTTTGTCTGTATGTGCTCTATGATAAGGTAACCCTGCTAAAGATCACATCATAGAAAGAAATGCACCTTGATAGGACTGTGGTTCTATCTGTAAAAATGGACAATGCACTGTTTTATTCTTTTTTATAACTGTTTTCTCCCTTCATTTAGAGCAAGGTAAAATCTTTAAGGTTAAGTACTTTTCAATCAGTATTTGACAGAGCTATGCATTATTAAAAGCATCACCCAGCCATGCAAATCTTTGTTTTGTATTCACAGCAAGAGATCAGCACAAGCCCTTTGTTTTGTCCGCTACAGAAATGAAAAACAAAGCTGGTTGTGTTGACTAGCTGCCATTTGTTTGTGTTACTTAAATCTAACACAAGCATTGGCAAATTTATGTACTCAGTTACAAAAATTTGCCATCAAAGTATAAGAAGGAGCAATACAAACCTTTGCGTTATTTTTCACAAGTGCCTACAGAAACATAACCTGTGTGAAAAAGCAAACAAGTTTGTGTTGATTTTATACAATTATTTGTGTTTCTGCACAGTGTTGAATGTATGAGAAGTGTAGAGCATTTGCAAAGAGTGTTGTCTAAGTCTTCCTGTATTAAACAAAGATTTGATCTTTTTCTGTTAATAACAGTGGTGAAGGACAAGAGGATGCAGGAGAACTTGACTTTAGTGGTCTCCTGAAACGTAGGTGAGAACCAAGTGATGCAGTGAGCAGGTGTGGATTGCAAACCATTAGGTTCACACACAGAAACAGTCAGGGGTAGCATTATTAACTCCTTAAGAATTTCATGACCTTTCAACTTTTGAATGTTTCTAACTGTTTTTTATTCTCATAGTATAATATGCAAATGTTCTGTTAATCTTACCTCTAAGTGTGCAGAAAAGAAAGCTCAGATTAGAGTGCGCTGTGAAAAGTGAGCCTCAGCCTAAAGAGGCCAATAATATTTAGTTCACTTGCTACTTCTTTGGTGTTTGCATGGAAGGCAGGGGGGGATATTTCCTACACAGGGATGAGCAGTACAGAAAATTGAGTCTGGTGCAACAGTAAGAAAACTGCAAAGATTAAATTTATTTCTGTGGGTACATGCTCACTTGATTTTATAAGCATACTGATATAAAAAAAAAACATGTATCATGTTTTCAAGTCATAGATATTGGTATAATTCTTTGTAGCTTTTTTTTATTTAATATGTACACACAATTATTCAGTCATGTTTTATTTAACTCAAAGGTTTTAATGGAAAAAAATTGGGGTACGTTTCTCTGATTTGCCTTAAAAATCTGGTTATGATAGTTATGTCTCTGGTTATCTCAGATCTTAAACCCAGTTTAGTCTTTCACCTGATTAAGACAAGATAGTTAATCCATCATCTTTTAAAATCAAGCAGAGAAATTCTATATGCCATTGAAATCAATAGCAGCTGATCACAGGGAACTGGAAAAGGATTTACATCCTTTATCTCATCTACCACTTACTCTGAAAGAGGAAAATCTGTAATATTAATTACATTAAAAGGTCACAAAGGGCTCATTGGCTATGAGGGTGAGGATAGCATTTAAGCAACTAAAACACACAGGAAAAGCTGAAGCTGAAAGTAGACAAAGAATTACCCAGACCAATTCCAGTCCACCAGGTCTTTGGTTTTTCAAACTTCTCATCCCTAATTAGGACCTTCAGTTTGTCTTTTCATCCTGCTAATCAAACTTGACATGCCGGTTCTCATGATCACCTGGTGTTTCAGTAGTAACATGAGAGATGCATGTGAGAGTTCTTGGTGTTTTTGTGGAAAGATAAATGTGATTTATGAGACATTATCACTTTACTAACATTTAACTCTTAACATTTGTGAGATAAATATTGTACAGCCTTATAAACATGGAATACCTGTTGTATGTTTAATGGATAAAGCAAATATTTCATTTTTAGACACCATTATTTGACTTTGGTCAAATTGGTTCACCTTGCTTCAGGCCCTGAAATGCAACCTCATATTTCTGAGCTTAATTGAATGAAATTCTTAATTAAGCCACAGTGTGGATATTAATATCCATGTGTATGGATATTAACATCCATTATTACAAAGACAAATTCATGGCTTTATTTCAATCTTTACAACAGGTAATGTTGGAATTGCATTCTTTCTCTTTTTTTTAAGGTTGTATGACCAAGGAAAGACCTAGAACTTTTCCCTTTTGGTTCATACTATTTGACACATGTTTTTTTTTTAAAAAAAAACAAAACAAAACAAACCTAAATGCATACAATCAATATACTGTCTATTTTCTAATTTTCTGCTGGTTGGCAGGCAGATATATCAAGTCTTTTCTCATTAAGCCACACCAATACTGGATACGCCGCTTTGTCAATGCAGTGGGCCAGTAGCAGCATGACATTCCAAGAGGCACAAGGTCTAAAAACCACTCAAATATTTAGGTCCTTGTTTTGTCATTTTTGGGGGTTTGTTTTTGGTTTTGTTGGGTTTTTTGTTTTGTTTTTAATTACATCTTGCAACAAAATGCACATATTTAGGGAAGATATCTGAAAGTTATTTCATGGCAAGGTCAGAGGTCAGTTTGGCCTCTGGCCTCAACTCAAACTACTGAGGTCTCAGAACAAAGTTGGCTTACTCTACGCATCAAAATTCGTTCTCCAGTTATGCAAGAGGAAAATGAGCCTGAAATTGAATCTTTCAGTCTGGTTGAAAGTCAGGATTCTCATTCTCAACTGCTGCCTGATTTAAAGGGGAGCTGTATTTGGATTCCCACTGAGTGCACAGCTCCTTGGCGTGGGCAGACACTGCCTGGGAGAGAGCAGTGCTGCCCCAGGGGTGGCTCAGCTTTTACAAGTGTTTGAGGGCTGGCTGGTCTCCACCTGCCCCCATGCAGAAGGAATCTCACTGAAATGGCAGCATTCGCTGTACAGTCACCCTCAGAAAATCATGAACATGGATAAAAGGAACAAATTATAAAATTACATACCTGAGATTGTCTAACTTACATTGCTGTCTCAGAATTACTGTTTTCGAAAGACTACTCAGAGAGAACCTCTCTTCCTTTCTAAAATTACAGACATATTATGAAAATTAATAAACTTCACAGACTAAAGAGCAAAGTGGTTTCCATAGTTCCTCATCCAACCATCCCAAGGATCTTTAGTGCAATTTCTGTATATGTCAAAGAAAATCCTCTCTTTGACTCCATAAAGCTCAACTCTAACAGTGCCTTTTTTTTTTCGCAAAAATTTATTTTCTTGCTTTGTTCTCAAAAGTACTGATATTGTCAATCTGAAAAAATATTATTTTGTTTAGGATGCTTTCATTTTTCTATCATTTAGTGGCTATCATTCAGAAAATAATTATGCTTATCTTTATTGGTTGTCTTAGCCTGGAGTTGCAGATAGTAAATACAGTATTGAAATTTCTGTGTAAAGGTGATTCCTCACACAGGCCTCTGAACATATTTCCTGCTCTTAAGACTGAGATACACATGGAAGCGAACAGATTCATCCTTCAAGTCCAAGTCGGTGTGGAAATCTCCAGTTCCTATTCATATAACTATTTTAAGTAATGCTGAGAAACACTAGTGTAACTATAAACAGACACAAATTCCCCTGAATTTCAATGTCCTGTCACCAGTCATCCCCAGTAGCTGTTACAGGGACTCAGGGTTTGAAAACATTTTTACATTATTTTGAAATTTACAGATTAGGCTCAGTTGTGCCATCATAAATTGTGATTAATTCCACTGAAGTTGCAGCAGATAAAACTGATTTAAGTGGGATTAGCCCGTATATTATTACATTTTCAAACTGTATTTTTTTTGAAACATTGAAGCAATATAAAAATTCTTATAACTGATTGTATAAGAAACGGACAAATTAAAACTTGCATTCAAATTCTGCCTTGAAGAAGTGTAAAGTAAGGAGTGAATGCCATTCTGAGCTACTCCACTCATACTGAGTGAAATAGAAAAAAATATGATGGCAGCCTTCAAATTTTGGTCAAAACATTTCTAGCCTCACCATAGATTCAGCTTCACCTATTTTTTACAGTGTGATAAAACCTCACTACCTCTTCTCCCATAATTTTATTTCGCTAATGTCAGGGAGGTGAAGCAGCAAGAGGAAGAGCCTGAGGTGGACGTGTGGGATCTCCTGAAGAACGCGAATCCCAGCGAGTATGAGAAGATTGCTTTCCAGTACGGCATCACCGACCTGAGGGGGATGCTGAAGCGGCTGAAGCGCATGCGTAGGGAGGTGAAGAAGAGTGCAGGTACGGATGGGGCTGAACGTTCCTGTGCTCGTTAGTCACATGCAACACTACACCTTAAAAACCCAAATATGCTTCATTTCCACACAAGGGAACATTGGCACTACAAGTCATTCCTGCAGGGAGTTTATGAAGGGGCAGCTTTGGTCCTTGGTGGAAGTGTAAACACCTTATCCAACTCAGTGCTTTCCTAAAGCATCCTTCCTCAGACAAACACTGGTTCTATCTGGAGAAATGTCCCCCAGGTGTATGGAAAAGGGTTACCTGATCAAACAATACAGAAATTAGACCTTGTGTTACCATCAATATCTTCTTCTCTAAAGAGAGGTCACTCCAAGCACATGTGTTGTCTGCTCTCCATAATCTCATTTTGCACTTAATCTCCATTGCTCAGAAATCCTAGCTGTACCAGACCCTGCACTGGGTGAGGACATTCAGGCCTGTCTTTCCCCATCCACCCTACTGAATAGTTTGAGAGTTGTAATAACATACAGAAATATATATATACACATGTGTATAAAACACATGTATACGCCACAGAATATGTTTGCACACACATATAAATACAATGCACTGTCCATTATACTATTGTGGCATCTGCTTGTTCCTGGACAGCATTTCAGAGCTGGATGCAGTTTATCCTTTTGCTGTGTCACTAGTTTCCTGGAGGCATCCTTGTTATGTGGGTGAAGTCCTCCACAAATCCAGCTGTAATCCAGCTGCCTGATACACCCTCTCTCCTCATCCATTACCTTACATCATAACATATGTTATGGTACTACACATTCATTTTTTAAATTTATTTCATTCAATGCATCTAGCCAGTCCTATTTGGAATACAGCTACACTGCAAAGTCATGAAGAGATGCTAGCTTGATCTCAGTCAAGATAACCAGATGTGTACAGCTTTGTGCTTATTCTAGTGTTTCTAGATGATTCCATGCAGACCAGTGTGAGAATATCTTGTGATGCATGTATTCATTGTGTTCATGTATTTTGACAGGTTTGATGAGATTTATGCAATGTCATTTCAGCATCCATGTTCTTGTTTTCTGATCTCATGTTAAAACAACATTTGACTTCCACAACAGCTTTTGCCAAAGGCCTCGATCCTGCATACCAGGTGGACAAAGGAGGCAAAGTAAGATTCATGGTGGAGCTAGCAGATCCAACAGTGGAACTCAAGTGGTATAAAAATGGCCAAGAAATACGACCAAGTGCAAAGTAAGTGATTTTAGCATATGTGAGCAATAAAATGGATACACATCTACTCCCTTGATAAGTGTGGTGCCTAGATCTATCTCTTTGCTCAGGCTGCACCAATTTTACTGATGAATTTCATGAGATGTGAAGAGTACGCAAATGATGCTGTGTTGCTAAGGTCCCAGTAAAGTGCACTGTAGGCTAAATGTAATATAGATTGTCTCCTTTGTCTCAAGACAAAAGTCTTGGAGATCCTCAAAAAAATGTGGTGCCATTTTCTACTCAGTAGTTTTCAAAAATGAGGAAGCACTGCCAGTAAATAAATCACTTGTCCTTGGTCCTGTGTCTGGAGGTGGACACAATCTTTCTACAATAATTTTGTGTTAAGAGCAGAGATGTTGACATCACACACTTACCCAGCCAGCTCATAAACCCCGGGAAAAGGGGTTTGAGTTTTATCTCATCTTCCACTACTCTGCTAATACCCTGAAGTCAACAGTCTGCACCATCAGTCATGAGCAACAGGTCTAGTGTACACAAGCTTCTTCACCTGTACCACCTGCACAATGGTTTATTCTCTGGCTTTTCCTAGAAGAAGTGCAGGTGGAGACATGTAGAGCAGGGCCTGGAAGTTGAGCCCAGTTTTTTTTGTGAGCACAACCAGCAGAAAACCCCATTCCATCCCTGAGGAAGATGTGTATAACAATGTAATGTTCCTCAAAGGTTTCTCAGCAGCACGAAGTCCTAGACAATTTTTCTTTTGACTAGTTAAAAAATATAATAATTAACAAAAGGCCTTTTTAAAAAATGAGGCAGATTTCCTTCATTCTGTTGAAATCAATAAAGGATTTTGGTTAAAATTCATGATTGACAAAAAAATGGATAAAGGAGTACCTTCTCTTTAGCCCCTATATCTGGCATGAGCAATTCAGAGGTGTTTTGCAAGCAGCTCTATGGATTCCTCTCCAGCAGGAGGGGCTGGATTGAGTGCTGCAGTGCATTTCTACCAGGCTGCTGAAGCAGCTGTCAGATGCTAATGAGCTTTGGTCATTACAAACCTGGAGCAGATCTAAACTGGTGACATAAAGGTGAAAGGCTCCATATCCCATTACCAAAACTCCATATCCCATTACTGGTATCTTGTGCCATCTGGCTTACCAATAATATTAACCTCTTAACTCTGGCTATTATTATACTTCACAAAAATGTTGGAATGAGTGATGGTGTCCTCTTACTGGTTATTTTCAGCTTTACTCATCTAGAGTTTCAGACTCCATTTTATTTGCCATCATTTGACTCCAGTTTCTTTTTTTTTAATTTCTTCTTTTCATAGCACCCAGACCTGGGATCTTGGAACAAGCCAGAAGCAGCTCATTATCACTCTACACCATAGCTCATTTTTTGCTATGAGTCTATGACAGCTCTGTTGAAACTCAGAACTTGCTTCCAAGGACAATTTTCCCAGTACTACACATACCCCAGAGGTTTTGCGTCTAAAAATCCCTACAGCTCTTTATACATAAAGCAAAAGGGGTCCAGAAGTTTTGCTAATGTGTCTTTGCTGCATTCCTATCCAAACAGATACATTTTTGAGCACAAAGGTAACCAGCGAATTTTATTCATCAATAACTGCACGATGACAGACGATGCTCGCTATTACGTAACAGCTGGAGATGAGAAATGCTCCACAGAACTGTTTGTGAGAGGTAACTATGTCAGCTTAATGCTGTTTCACCTGCCTTAAATTTACGGGGCTTCTTTGGCTGCAACAGAAAAGATCAGGGAGCATCTGGTTTGGTATATTTTTGAATTTGCATTAGCAGCTGTTAGGATCACTTGGTATTTCTGTGATCCCTGGCCATTATTTTTTTTTCATCCTGTAGTTAGCAGCTTAGTGAAAAGCCTGAAATGGGGATACAGTCAGCTTGGTACTGTGCATTGGATCTAGTGGGGCTGTGGTGCCCTTCAAAATTTTAAGCCATTTTGGTGTCAAAGCACTGGCTTCCCCTAACACCACACTTGGTTCCTGAGGACTCTGATATTGTCCAGGTGCCCTCAGGTCAGGCTTCTTCAACTCTCTTTGCTCCCATGGTGTTGATTATCAAAGAAAAACAGGTATAAATATGAACAAATGTCACTTTTATTGAGCAAATTTTCTACTAGCATTCTAAGGAGCAAGAACTTTTCTGATTTAAGGCAGAAAAGGCTGCACTGATACTCATATTAGAACTTGAAAGTAATGCTGCCTTCTAGATGATTTAGAAAATCTCTTTCTCTTGGTTTTCCTTCTCCGATTGTAAATCTGTAATTTTTTCTTTCCAAAGATCCTCCGATTTTGGTGACCAAAGGCCTGGAAGATACCAGCACCTATGTTGGTGAACGAGTAGAGCTGAGCTGTGAAGTGTCTGAGGATGATGCAAACGTGAAATGGTAAGACACACTTTGAACAACTTCCATGAAAATAAAACCCAGAAGCTTTTAATTGTGGACAAAATTGTGGGCAGCTTTTCCTAAACAAATAAACCTGAAAATTGTTAAGAAAATCTCAATAAAACCTTATTCAAAAATGTAGCAACACCAAAAATACCCTTATACATTAATGGATGAGTTTGTTTAACCTTTTCTAGTGCCTTATAGTCTTGTAAAGTCTTCTCTGGGAATTTCAGTCTATGGAAGTCTTGCATAGGACTTCCTTTGGAAAATAAAAATTCTTTCCTTTCCCTTAGGTTTAGAAATGGTGTAGAACTTTCCAATGATCCTAAATCTCGGTATCGGATTAAGGTTGAGGGTAAGAAGCACACTTTGGTCATAGAGGAGGCTGCCAAAAATGACACTGCAACTTACTCAGTAATGACAACTGGAGGGCAATCAGAAGCCAAGCTTTCAGTTGACTGTGAGTATCCTCTACCTTGCTCTCAAATTCATATGCCACAGTGTGCTGGCATACAGAAATGAACAATTTTCTTGCCTTTCTCTGGGGGTTGAGAAGGAGACTTAATTTCCATAGCAATTTTTTTGCTGTGAATCTCCAGAAGAGTGACCTGCCTTCAGACGCTGTTTCCAGCCTGCTTGTTAACTTCCTGTCACTCCATTAAGACAGAAAACAAACCGATCCATCCAAAGGTAAAATAGATTAACAAGGTGAACTTTCAAGGGAAGTATCTGCTTTCCTTCAGACCTTTCAGGTTTTCACAGGAAGGCCAAAGCTAGGAACAAGCACATGACTGTGTAGTCCTCTCAGCTTTGGTTGTGCAATATCTCTTTAAAGTGCTTGTGTCTTTAAAGAAAATGCATCTGATCCATCCTCTGAAGTTATCTTGCATTATGCATAAATGTACATTTGTATTTGTAATACTCATGCTGCTCTTGGCTATTTGGTACAAACTGGCACCCTGACCAATTCATGCTGATTTATTATTAAGTTGGAAACTACCCCCCCATGGCTACTGAACTCCATCATCTTTCTTTAATACATCTGCTTCTGTGTTCCTAAGTGAGACCTCTGAAGATATCACTTGCACTAGAAGACCAGACTGTGAGGCTGGGACAGGAAATCCACTTGAAGTGTGAGATATCTGAGAATGTGGAAGGGAAATGGTACAAAAATGGACAGCTGATTGAAGCTAGTGACCGTGTAAAGCTTTATCACAAAGGAAGGTAAGCCCGTTGTGTATTGGCTTGGCTTTTGGTGGAATGACACTGTGGAGTTGTGCCAGTATGTGGTTACCTCACTAAAAATTATCTGCTAATCAAGCCTAACCTCTGTCTCTCAAGACATATTTATTTTCGTAATTTTAAAAGCCATGTCTTCTTGCTTCCTTTAATCTTGTGTATTTTGGCTGTGGAGGACAATAATCAAATCCTTGATCCACCTAAGTTCAAGCTACTGATTCTTCTTTCCATTGCTGTTGCTGTTGGTATGGGATTTTAAGCAGAAGAATAAAATTATTGTTAGACATTACTAAAAATATACAACTCTTTTTCTCTTTCCTTTCTATACCTCTTCTTCTCATAGCTCCTGTTTTATCAACTGATAAAGATAGTCCAAAAAAAGTCAGAATATTCCCACAATGGGATCACCTACATACTTTTTCTTGAGCAACCAAATTGTAATTTAATGGCAGCAGCATAGAATCCCTGTGTAAAAGAGATTACACTCCTGTATTTTCCTTGTTCTGTGTTCAAATAAACAATATTAGAATTGGTTACTTTATTTGGTGGTTGTCTCAATAATATTTTGTACAAAGTTCACGGTATTTAATTGCCTAAACTACTACTAAGCAACAAGCACAGGATTTTTAGTCAGTAATTTTTTTCACTTGCACAGAGCTCCTAAAATTTTCACAGATTTTTTCTTATAGCTTCAAGCAGTGTTCAAAAATAATTTACACAGATTTCTTTCTCAATTCTTTTACAGAATCCACAGATTTGTTATACCAGTTTCTGCTGTTGATGATGAGGGGGAATACATGTTTGTGCCAGATGCCTACAACATTAATATTCCATGCAAAGTACATATTGTGGGTAAGTATACTGCACAGTGATCTGTATGGAACATCTTTCTCTGACCTTTGGAAATTAAATGCAGTGTGAAATACCCCTGATCAAAACCACTTTGTATCCTCTGAGCGGGCATCCACCAGAGAAAACAGACCTGCAGCTTTAGCAAAGTGCAGTTGAGCTGCTGGGAGAGTTCTCTGCCTGTGCTCAGGATCTGCTCATAGTTTATGTGCTGGGGGGAGCTCCTGGGGGAGGCTTCTTGAGGCTGAGTTCCTAAAGCTAAACCACTATAAAGAGTTCAAGAACTGGCTTGCTAACATTGCAAAATGTGATTTAGTTTGATAAGAGAGTAGTAGAATGAGCACATATTTACCTATCCATTAAATGCTGTCTCGAAGGAAAAATTCTTCTGCCTAGCTTTGATTCATCTGGCAAAGCAGGAGGCTTGTTAGTGATCCCAGTCCTTCAAACAAAAATAAAACAGGGCATTGACTATTCCCACAGCAATACCTCACCACTTCTAACTGCAACCAGCAGCTTGGAGGTCAAAAGAACAACAGTATAAATGACCAAAGTTTTAGAAAACGTGTTTTTTAATTTAACCTGAGAGATGTGGGATATGTGTATTACAAAAACTATTGGTGGGATTTAGGGAGAATCAAAAGGGAAGTGGTACTAAAGGGGAATGACCACTGTTACATTTCTAATATGTTAAAAAATGTAACAAGAGGATATTAATCAGTTGTTCTCCATACACAGAGTGCATAACAAAAGTGAAGTTTCTTGTTTCCAGGAAAGGATTAGAGTTTATAAATTTTTAAACTGCAAGGACAGTGAAGGATGAATCATGGTTAGATGTGCCATAAAAAAGCCTACAACTGAAATTCCCCAGAGCCACTTAGAGGAAAATGCTCTCAGAAGTTACCTGAATATACATAATTCTGCCTCAGGGAAACAGTTGTTGGTTTTTTCATATGGTCTTATTATTCCAAAATGTCTATGGTGCCATGATTTCTTTTTCATCAGGGAACTATTCTTTAAATAGATTTTTCTTCACAAGTTTTCTTTAAAACAAAATTCAGTTGCTTAAAAATACCAAGAAAATAAAACATAGAGCATGTTTCTGTGTGTTGCAGACCTGTGCCAGGTCACTGAGCTCTCAGAGCAGTAGCTACATGTCTAACTTGGACACTCTCTCCTTTTTCAGATCCTCCTAAGCTTCACCTGGATGGTCTTGGGGAAAATAACACTGTGACAGTAGTGGCAGGAAACAAACTACGACTTGAGATCCCCATCACTGGTGAACCACCTCCAAAAGTCTTTTGGAGTAGAGGGGACAAGGTACATTGTCATTGTAGAGGTTTCTTCAGCTGAATAAGGAGCCTTTTCCTTTCAAAAACATAATCTTTAGCCTTTTGAAGACATAGATTTTAATGGCAGAAAATAAGGGGGAGATGCCCTATTGCTCAAAAAAGAAGGGTAAAACGGATAAATATTATTTAGTATTTTTTGGATCTTTTTAAGAAAAGTCTGAAAATAAGAAGGAAAAAAATGAGTTTACTATTAAAAAAATAGTAAAGGAGAAGGATATATGGGATGCAGAAGAACAGCTGTGAGAATTTGCCAAATGGCTATTTCTTCTATACATTCCATGCCCAGAATGGCTGCCAGGTTTTGGGAGGAAGCCATGATATGGTCTGGTTTTGGAAAATGAATGATACATTTTAATGGAGTTGAAGTCTCAAATGAAACAATAGGCAATGGGGGTCTTGCATCTGGTGTCTTAATGCAAAAATTTTGCTTAGATCAATCCCTGGCTCTGTAAATACCAAAATAGTCACTTTTTCACATTTAAATTTTCATTGTGCAATGTAGAAGCTGGGACATTTTGCCACCACTGCTCATATCAAACTTATCTGGTCAAATCTGTGACCTCTATTTTTCAAATATTAATTGTAGTGTCACCACTGTGGTCCTGTCCAAACAGGGAATTATTCTAGGAGAGCTCCTACACATATTCCAAAATATGTGACAGCATTTGAAATCCATGAGGAGAAACTACTTATCATTACAATCACTCTGACCTTTAAAGTGAATTACTTACTTTTGATCTGACTTTTGGAAGAATCAACTATTCTTTTTCCATCAAATTAATAATATGTCGTGTTGGCAAAAGTGTGCTCCACCTCAAAGGAGAAGCCTAATGCCTCATCCTTTGTGATGCAATGGCTTAATTGAGTAGTAAACTAGTAGTTATTAGTAGTAGTAAAATAGTAGGTGCTATGTTTTACTTATTTTAGTTATTTTGTCAGTTTTCTCATTAGATGACTAAAATGCTGAGCTTTGGTGTGGTTTTTCTTACAGTTGCTTTAATATTTTTGTTGAAGAGACCTGTACTACTTTCAAATTTTGATTTTTGAATATTGTGACTCTCAAATCTGGAAAATATGACTTTTCCCTCTGCTCTCTGTGGTTCCTAGATGGTCACAGACAGTGGAAGAATACGGGCAGAATCATACCCAGACAGTAGCTGCCTGGTCATTGATGCAGCTGAGAGGGAGGACTCAGGTCCTTTCAGAATCACTTTAAAGAATGAGGCTGGAGAGGACACAGCTCTAATCAACATTAAAGTGGTTGGTAAGTCATGTGAAACAGTGCCCATGAGCCATGTCTTTCATCACTGTGGAAGGAACTCAGGAAACTTCCATTTTCCTATTTGTCCCCATTGCCTGGTGTGGAACTGGGATGCAAGGGTACGAAAGCTGGGTGTTACTGAAGGGAATAGGAGCTTGGAAGGGATTTAAGTGGGAGTTGATTATTGCTGCTGCTAGGGGCCAAATTCTCTGATTGCCTCAGGCTGCCCTTATCACTCCTGGTCCTCCACTCCCCCTGTGGCTATGGGCTCTGTCTTGGCACATGCCCTTGAGAGCCTCTCAAGTGTCTCAACCGTGCAGAAGACCTTGGCATTCATCCATTCTGAGCCACCAGCCACAATCCACTAAATTTCTTTTTCCCGCTCTCTCTCCTCATTAGGAATTCCTGCTGCACCTCAAATACTATTTAAATTTGTTTTTTATTTGGCATTTTTAATTTCAACTTAAAAAAAAAGAAAAAAAAGAAAGATTTTTTTTTTTTAATAATATTTAATTTGTTTACAACAGATGTTCCTGATCCTCCTCAGGCACCAAATGTGACTGAGGTGGGTGAAGACTGGTGTATTATGACCTGGGAACCTCCAGCAAATGATGGTGGATCACCCATTTTAGGTACATACTATTTTTTTTTTGGTGGTGACTGTCTAATACAGACAAAAGAAGCAAACACTGAATAGGATCAGAGTTTAGATCAGGCCCTGGAAAGTGGCACTTGGAATATCCAGTAGCTAGAATGTTCTACCTATTCTGACTTTATCAGATACCTGTTTTTCTAATGCTCTGAGAATTTTCATTTTCTATGTTGTTACATTATCTTGTCCCCTACTTGAAAGACAACCTCTTATAAAACCAAACTTGGCATTTTAGTAATCTGTTTGAATGTTGGAAGAAATTTCAGAAACAATTTACTGGATAAAATGGTATATCTTTTAATACACCAAACAAAGAGGAAAGTCAGAGGGGCCCAGATGTCAGTAGAACCAGACCCTTTTCACTAAACACAGCAGTCTTCTAAGTAAAGTCAAAAAAAAAGCTCATATATGGCTATGAAAGCAAATAGGTGGCCATCAGATAGCTTGCAATAATGAAAATTATCACTCTGAAGCTAGAAGGGAATATTGAGATGTATCCAGGTAAAAAATTGTCACTGGGCAGTCAAAAAATAGACCTTTTATTACTGGCCTTTATGCCATCACTTATTATCATAAAATCTTTTCTGGTCAAAAGGATATTTCATTGAGAGGAAAAAGAAACAAAGCTCCAGGTGGATGAGGCTGAATTTTGAACTGTGTAAGGAAACAACTTTTGAGCCAAAGAAAATGATTGAAGGTGTTGCTTATGAGGTCCGTGTGTTTGCTGTCAATGCCATCGGCATGTCCAAGCCAAGCATGCCTTCCAAGTCCTTTGTTCCTTTAGGTAAGTAAACAAGAGCAGAGATAGGTATGCATTTAGAAAATAACTATTAATATGTTATTAAAATCACCTAATTATATTTTTTTTATTAGTGTGACAGCTAGAAGGCTTTGTCATTCCAACAGTGACGGGCTAACTCAGTGGCCTTTTCATATAAAGAAACAGATTTTCAAACTATTGTGACAACCACAACTCCCTGTAAAAGAAAGGTCTCCTGTTCTGTAGATCAACAAACATTCCCCCCTGGCTCAGCAGCACCCCAAGAATGCAGAGGAGGAGGAAGGAGGGGGCTGTTACAGCTCCAGCATGCTCCCTTCTTGCCAGACGTACTTGCTGAGGTAGAATACACTGCTCACAGCTTCTCTGCTCTACCAGCCACAGCTGCTTGTCCTTCTGTCTCCTCAGCAAGAGGAATTTATTTTCCCTGGGTCAGGCTGTGAGCAGATATGAGATGAGGTGAGATAGCTGCTTTTTCCTAGCATGGTCCTAATTGGGAAAGACGTGCCAGGGATGATAGGAAATCATCCTGGCCGGCAGGATAGCCTGTCACCTTGATAGTAAAAGGGTTTTAAAATCATGGGGATTTAGGGTTAAAAGGAAAATTAAGCTTAGTAAACCCTAAAAAAATAAATACCCTAGGTATATGAAGGCCTTGTACCTTGAACTGCACCTGTGTAGCTAGTACATGATAAACGATATAATTGTTAGATGTGATGATTGTTTAGTAATTAAATATAATTACTGTTTAATCATAAGAATAATCATGAGAAACTGTGGTCAGGGGCCTAAGAAAGATCACGAGAAACTTGTGCTTGAATAAAGTCAATGTATACAATAGAACTATACAATAGTTTAATAATTAATATGTGTTATATAACGATAGAATATTAAATACATTCAGCTCGAAAGCCATGTCGGAGTCAGATTTGGGTCCAGACCCCTGATTCCCAGAGCTCTCAATAAAAGCACCTGCAGATAATCATATCCCGTGATTATGTGTGCTCCTGAACGCTAACAACCTGGGATACTGAGCTAGAGCAATACAGACCATAAACGTAAGCCTTTAGTGGTAACAGTGTTCGACCTTCTCCCCGCTTGCTCCAGCTGTTACCAGCCCCCCAACCATGCTGGCAGTGGACAGTGTGACTGACACCTCGGTGACGATGAAGTGGAGGCCACCAGACCAGATTGGGGCGGCGGGGTTGGATGGCTACGTGGTGGAATACTGCTTTGAAGGAAGTAAGTGAGAACACCCGGGGTACCTGACTCACAGGGAAAGTGGGTGAGACTTTCTTCATTTTTTCTCTACAGGTATCAGGTGCTCTGGCTGTCAGGCAGAGACTAATCAGGCAGAAAACCTCAAGGAGCAGGGTTTTGTTCAGGCTTCCTTTGGTTTGTATTCCAGATGTCACCCACTGACTATGGTTCAACTTTTCTTGCACTTGATTTGAAGTCCAAATCCAAAGCCATTCAATCTGCTGTAGTGTACCAAGTACTGTGCTAATAACTCCCCTTTTTCAGACACTAAATGAGAGTCAGGGCAGTAAAGAGTTCATTGGTGGATGAAGGCATTGGAAATAATGAATGGCTAAAGGTGTGGCCCCAGTTCATTCTGTCTGGGTTTTAGGGACAGGAGGTTCTCAGTGTGGTAATCTCTGTGTTGCCAAGTTACTAACTAGCTGCTTCAAGTGCCAGCTGCCAACACTGAGAACAGCCTCTCCAATAACTCCTGTAGAAGTCATCTAGGCATGCAAAGTCCATGTCTAGATCTTTAATTTCTCCAACATTTCAGTGCAGTTTTGAGGATCTTTAACTATGTCCATCTAAGACAAAATTATATAAGAACTGAAGGAGGAAGATAAAGAGACTGAATTAACTTTTGAGAGTAAAATAAGAAGGAACAGGGAAATAGAAATTATATTTTACAACTAAGAGTCTTTGGTGATCAAGCAGCAGAAACTTAGTATTTTCCAGCACATTCTCTCCTGAACTTACATCAAATGAAGCCTATTTTCAAAAAATAAATCCGCCAGCACCTGGGTAAGTATCAAATAGCCTGGAGTGGTATGTGCAATACCCAGCCTCTGTGGACCAACATATCAACTGCAGCAATGTTGTGGACGTGGATGAAGGGGACACAGTTATCTTCAGCCGCTGCTCCTTGTGTTCCTGCAGAACAACTGCTGTTGCTCTTAATGGTGCTGTAAATCAAGTGAGGGGCTGAACACCTTTTCCACAGAGGCATTATTTCAATTAAAGCTTTTTATGAATAGCCTGGAGACAAAAGGTAGAGGACAGAATCTGTCACTCATGCTGTCACATGTTTCAGATTCAGAAAATCCAAGAAAACAGTAGGTCATAAACGTGGTCAGGTGCGACAGCACTCAACTCTGTCTCAGGCAAGTGGGAGAGGGTGTGAAGAAGAACCACTGGCTTTTCTCAGGAGCACTCAGCATCTTGTAGTATTGAGATGAATATCTTTAAGGAGCAGGACTGCAAGAGGCTCTGAGACCCGGAGAAGAGTACCTGAAGGCAGACTCAGCTGGAATGGTAGGAAGGGTTTTCCTTGTATATTGGGAGGGAGCTGTGGGAACAGCTCAGAGTGAGTAAGCATGCAGTCTTCCATCAAGACAGTGTACTTATTTTGTTTCTACTGCACAGGCCAGGTGTAGGGGAATATTAAGGGGACTGTCAATGTGAGGACTTCAGTGTATGCTGTATATTATGCTTTGTGTAGCACTGGGTAGAATAGAAGGGAAAAGTTAAAAGGTGCTTCACATTGGAGTATGTGATATGCAAATTAGGTGATAAGAGAGGATGAGAAATACAGACAGGTTAATTCAAAGTATAGCTTTGAAAAGGAATCTTCTAAATCTGTCTTTAAAGGGCTATTATACAGAAGAACAATAAATACCTGTTAAATGGAACAAATTCTTTACTTTTTTTTCCAGATAGGTTTTAAACATGAAGATACAACAAAATGACAGCCAAGTCTGTCATTTTACTGTTACCCACCTCAGTTAAAATACAATGGGTACAATGTATTTTACAGAGTTTGGAGTGTTTATGTATATCCATATATACCTCCTATATATGCATATACATCTGTATATACACAATTGACATTATGTATATATGTTATGAAGATGCTTTGGAAGCAGCAAGATAAGTAGAAAATACCAATTTTAAAATGACAATTTTAAAATACCGATTTTTAAAGTCATGTTATTGGATTATTCATCTTTTTCTTTCTGTTGAGTTGTTTTTTTCCCTTTCTTTCAATATCTTAGTGCCTCTTTTTTCTCAGCCCTGTTCTGACTCAAACTAATTTTTTTCTGTAATGTTTAATAACTCTTGTTAATTTCAAGATACTTTTTATGACTGTCTATATTCATTCTGCTGCTTTTTTCTCTTAGTTATCTGTTTGTAAACTCATCTATATTTACATCCTCCATTCTTTCATTGTTGTCACTGAAGTAGTTTACAAGAGGGGTGTTTAGAGTCTTCCTTAACATAGCAATCATTAGGAGAAAACACAAGCTGACAATAGGAAGGCAAAAAAAATATATGAAGATAATATTGAAAAATAATGTATCATAAACTTTGGTTTGGTTTTGCAATATTGGCAATTCCCTTTAGTCAGAACCACATAACTTGATCAATGTGGTGAATTCTTGGAGTCCTTAACTATGCACTATTTCATACATGTTACTAAAATGGAGCCTCATCATGAGTATCTTGATCCAGCATTGCATAGGTGTGAATAACATGAATATTGAATATATATATATATATATATATATATATATATATATAGAGAGAGAGAGAGAGAGAGAGAGAGAGAGAGAGAGAGAGAGAGAGAGGCCTAGTTTACAATATCCAACTTTGGCCCTCCTGCTGTGGAGATGTGGAGCAGACTGAATCCTGTTGACACAGGAGAAGTCAGTCCCCAGTAAATTGTGCTGCTGACCAGTTCTTGTGGGGCATTTGGAGGGCAGCCTGGGGAGCACAGCCTGAATGCTCCCCATGACAAAATGTTTATCTGCCTGTAACAGGCTGTTGTACCTGCAGATGATCTATTTTTATAGCCGGTAAATAAGTACTTCAGAGAGTTTCTGTTGGCTGAAATCTTTGCCAGTATACTCATCCAGGACCATGCAAAAATACTAGAATAGTATTTTTATTATCCCAAAAATAGCCAGCTCCAGGATTACAGGAAATCCAGGGCAGCGGTAACTTTGTTCAGGAAGTAAAGCCTTAGGGTTTACATCATATCTGTCATCATCCATGGGTCTGGTCTTCTTTAATCTTCTATCTATGTTCCTTCAGCTAAATGTGTTCTTTTCCTCTGTTTCCTCCAAGTTTTTTCCAAGACCTTTTTTTCTGTCTCTCTTACTCAGAATTTATCTCTGATTTTTTTAACTCTTCTATGATGTGTTTTCTTCTCCTTCTTCACTTTTTCTCATCATCATTTTGTTTCATTTCTCTCTTCCAAGTGTTCCTTTTGTCTCTTTCTTTTCATATTTCTAGGGCTATTCTGGAGCCCAAAAACTCACAGAACTTTATATCCTCCTCTTCTTTCATCCTTTATCTTTCCTGTGGGCATCAAATATAACTGTTCTGTATCTAGATGCCCTCTTTCCATCTCTTTTCTCCCTGCAGTCTCCCTAAATATGGGTTCTCTAAATCTGTAAAGCCCAGCAACTATCTTTGCATACTTACTAACAGGAATTGCTAACCACTGACAAAATTCTCCATCTGTGTGAAAGTGGGTGTCTCTGATTAATTTTAAAGATGGATTCTCTCAAGGTATATCGACAGATCTGTCTGAGGACTTGGGGGAGCCACCTTTTAACCTGGAAGGTACAGTATTCCACAAAGGATATAAGTCTTCTTTAATGAAGGAAAAACTCTCTTCATAAAAGTAAAGATAAATTCCTGACAGTGAATTTTAGGGGCAACAATCTACAGAATTTTCTGTAGTATAGATGTAAAGGGGAGGGGGAGATATTTGGGAAACAGTCAATGATTGAAATCCTTTTCTGCTGGAAGCTTGAATGAAAACTTAATATCTAAAAGCAAGAAAATGTACCACAGCACTACGCTCTAGTTCTGCAGGGCTCTCCAGTTCATAACAGTTCTCTTGTCTTGCACTCCTGTGCCCAGGTGCTCAGCACAGCAGTGTTAGGGCAGTCTGTGCTGGGAGGATGGGGTGGATAAGAAAGTCTGGTTTGTAATTGAAGCTGTTCAAAAGACTGTGCTGTTATGATCACTCTACGAATTTCATGCAACTACCTGGGGGTAGGATTAAAAATCTGAGAATGCTGTAATTATGTGAACAATTCTGACACAGCCTTCCTTTTTTTTAAGGTGTGAGGAGAGATGGCATTTCATTGCAATGTATAAATAGTCTCTGTTTATCTTATCTCTCAGTTATACTTTCAAGGGTACTCAGTACTGATTGAAATTAATTGCAAAACACATTTCTCTTCAGGGAAGCTGTTAAAGCAATGATGAGTGCTTTTGGAAATATATTCCTTGTCCCTCTTGTTTTATTCTAGCTGAATTAAAAACTCTAACAAGTTTTCTCTCTGGTACACTTAAATTATAGACATATTCTAATAACATTTGTATAATTATATAAAGATATATAAATATATGAATATACAAATATATAATCAGCAGAAACCCTTTACAGTTTGAAACATTCTCCCTACATATGAAAATGCATCTACATTGTGTTACAGCATAATTAGAAAAACAAAATATAGCTAGTAATAAGAATCTAACTAATCTACTACTGTTCTGTAATTTTCCTCATCCATGCTGTGGATGTATTTATAATTCCCTATTCTTTGCATTTGTCCTCTTCCCCTCACTTCCCTAAACCAGCTGATGAATGGATCGTGGCTAACCCAGAGCTGACAGACAAAACAAAGTTTACCATCAATGGCCTTCCAACTGGCTCAAAGATCCTTGTGAGAGTAAAAGCTGTGAATGCTGCTGGTGAAAGTGAGCCCAAGTACCACCCACAGCCTATTTTAGTCAAGGAAGTGATAGGTAAGATCCCGCTGCCTACACTTACCCACAAATATATCCTGTTTCCATACTAATACCTGGGGTTTTTTTTGAGGCTAATACTTGTTATTGGTAACTGATGATATGGCCTTACAAAGCCATTGTGTGGTGGCTAGAAATCAAGAAACTGTCTTTAAAAAATTTCATAATTTTGTTTCATTTCTGAGCTTTTATTTCTCAGTTTTTCAGGGCTTTTTTTTTTCTGCAGAACTTGAACCTGATGGTAGGTTTTTTTTAGTTCTTTTATGCTTCCCACCAAATCCTACCATTGTAGCATTTGATGTTATAAAAGCTGATGGTGTCGTGGATGCAATGCTGGGGAACCAAGAAATGTAAGACACCTCACTCATTAGTCACTTCTGGGAATTTTAGATCACACTGTCTCCTTTTTATACTGATGCACACCATGCTGCCTTGGTTAGAAAGGAAGATAAGTACTCAACACAAACTTTTGTTTCGTTCAGAACCTCCAAAGATTCGTCTACCAAGACACTTAAAACAAACATATACTCGAAGAGTTGGAGAAACTGTGAATCTTGTTATTCCTTTCCAGGTAAGAATTAAAAACAATGACAGAAAAATTATTTTTGCCTTTTTTTTTCCTTTCTTAAAATTTTTTCTTGATACTTCTCTTTTTAAGTGATTCCTCTGTAATTTTGGCCAGTGAGCTAAGTTAAGCACATGTGGAAGCACTCTGAAGTACAGAGGTGCTTGAAAGTTTTTGGTTCAATGTCTCAAATAAATTCTTTTCAGCCAAGTAATGAATTGGGTAACTCACTCAGACAGAATGATAGGTCATCTGTCATCCAAAAGACACTTAGAAATCTTCACAGTAGGCATTGCACATGAGACAATTGCACAATGCAAAGGGGTTGCACTGAAAGCAGTTAAATATAGGTATCAAGAGTGGAACAGCAGTATTTAATAGCTTCCTTGTCATGAGAAGAAAAATGAGGGGAAGAGCGGGCAGACTGCAACTGTTAAATCCCTGAGATCACAACTGTAATATGACTAGTTTTATAATACATAGCATGTTTTCCCACAGCTTTGTGTTAACCTTCATTCCCACACCTTTTAAACTGAAGCTGCCTCTCTCTTTGTGGGGTCCTTCTTCGGAATAAAAGAATTACGGCAGAATTCATTTCTCTTTCAAGTCTGCACATTTTAAGATACTGGGTGGGCATAACTCAGCTTCACAGAGGCTGTTAAAAGCCTCATAAAAGCTTGATCAGCAGTACACTGCAAGATATATTTCTCTTGAGAAATTAAAGGAATATTTTATGGTTATTCTCTAAGATAAGGTGTTCAAAATGGTGTGAGATAACCCTTTTCAGACAGCATCTGCAAACTGTTTGCCTGTGAAAGGCAAATCCCATGGCAAAGCGGGTGAAATTCACTCTACTTTAAGTACCTATATTGGGCACTTAGACACACAAAAAATGGCACACAAAAGAGATCAATCCAGCCTTCCTAGCAGCTATTACAACTTCTTTTGCAATGAAAGGAGAGATTTTAGGATCCCTGGAGGTTGAATCTATTACTTTCCTCTTTCACTGGCACTGTAGAGAATGCAAGCACTTCCAGAGAGTGAAATACTTTTTTCTATATTTTCTGTGGGTTATTTTTTTATCCCTTTTCTTTCAGAAAACAGGAAATTATTTGTCAAATTTAGCCAGAGAGACAAATGTCCAATATAGCCAGAAATTGCAAATATTTTCAGTCTCCTGAGCAAAAAAAAAAAAAAAAAGGGAAAGGTGAATTTTAGGTGAATTTGTATGATTGCATCTCTAAATGGTATATAATTAAAAAAATAATTCTATTTCTTTCAGGACAATTTTTATTTCCTGTCTGGGAAAAATGCAAAATAAACCTGTTTCCTTCTCTTCCCTTTTCTCTCCAAAAAAATCATACAAAAATTGTTTCCTGGCTCCTTGCAGGGAAAACCAAGGGCAAAAGTATCTTGGGAGAAAAACGGTTCTCCAATTGACAAGAACGACATCAACATCCGCAACACGGAGCAGGACACCATCATCTTCATCCGAAAGGCAGAGCGGGGGCACTCCGGGGAGTATGACATGAAAGTGGAGGTGGAGAACTTGGTGGACAAAGCTACGATAGATATTCAGATCGTTGGTATGTTTGGAGAAATGAAAATAAATCCAGCTGTTCCAAGGCTACAGGAAAATGGGAACGCCTACATCTTTCTTGGCAGTGATATCTCTCCATGTCCAATTACTTGGCTGTAGATTTGTGGTCTCTCAGGAAACCTCCATACACCATACATTGTTGGAATGTGTCAGCCTCATTTTTTCTCTGTTCAGCCCCTCATGTTCTTGTCTATCCAGGTTGCAAGATTTTTCCTGTTGAGTGGTACTCATAGACAGTAATGGTACCAAATTCATAGTAAGTTTGTCACAAATGCAGCGTGGAAGAAATCCTAAATACTGAAAGTAGGAAAGGGAGGAAAGACAAGAAAACACATTTATTTTTCATTTTTACCATCCATAATAGGCAAAACTGGCAGCACAACTTTATTAAATGTACTGTAATTCTGACATGCCTTCTCTTTGGAAAGTTTTATTTTGCAACCACATCTTTCTTTTGNACTAATTGTAAGATGTGTGTGGGAAAAAGATAGAGAAAGCAAACAGTAAAATAAGTCATTTTTTGTTGCAGATCGCCCAGGCCCACCAGAGGTTGTGACGATTGAGGATGTCTGGGGAGAGAATGTGAATTTATCATGGAAGCCACCAAAAGATGATGGCAATGCTGCCATTACTGGGTACACTATTCAAAAGGCAGATAAGAAGAGTATGGTAAGTAATAAGGAGATGTTTAAAAGCTGGATGTACTCATGAATTCTCCCTTTTAAAACCAGAAAGCTTTACATGCTTAAAAGGATGTAGGTGGACAAAGCACTGATTTATCAGCATTTGAAAAATCTCTACAGGATCCTCTAAAAGCTCTAAAAAATCTCTTCTTCACTAAGCCTAGAAGTAGAAATATTTTCCAATTATTCCAAAGAGGAGGACTAAAAATGGGAAGGATAGGTGTATTTAAGAGAAGTAATTCTGCATTTTCCCTGTGCCTCAGGAGAGAAAATAAAACCTTAAAATACTAATTCTGAATTCAGTAGGCTGCTACCAGAACAAAAGTGTTCCATTGCTGCTGTTTTCAAACCTGCAATGTCACACTGTGTAAGTTATTGCCATTCCTTACTACCCATGGCAAAACAGTACAGTCCTGTAACTGCTCTGAGATTTACAGATGAAAACTGCAATACAGAAATACTTATTATTTTCATTAAACTAACAGAAATTGTACACTTTTTTAAAAGATGGTAATCAGATATAATAATTACTGCAAATTCAAACACTGAAAATCTAGGGCAATATTTAGGGAGATGCCTTCTCCAAGAAATTCACTTGCTGTCCTCTCCTAACCCCCACATTAATATTTTGATCTCCATCATGGTCTGATCAATTCATTCTTATGCCACTATTCTCCCTCCCATCCTTTTTTTGGTTGTTTTTTTTTTTCTTCTCTTTCTCTTGAGACTGTAAGAAGATATGGTCTCTGGTACAGTGACCAGAACAATGTCCCCTCTAAATTACTGTGATAAGGAGAAAGTAACAACAGCAAGCAGCATCTAGTGTTCACTGTGAAATGGATCATTCAGGTCACTTTTCCTTCAGGTCACCGTATCTGTGGTGGTGCATTTTGTAATTTTGGCACAGCTAGTCTTCTACAAAAAACTGTTTTCCCAAAGGAACTTTAGCTCTTAAAGCTGACCAAATATTAATGCAAACTGTGGTACAGGGTACTCAGCACAAGTTCATCTTTAGAAAAGCAAGAAAACTATTTAGGGCAGAGTAAAGAAAAGCAAAAACTTTGCTGTGGTCATATTGCACTTTATATTAATTGCATTTTTAGCATTAACCTTTTTCATCTCAGACTGTTGTTTAGTTATTGTGTAAGACAGAATTCACACATCCTGTTACTGCTGCAAGATTAAAGCACTAAAAGCCACTTTGCCCATCTTGGCATTTAGATATCAGAGGACCAAGAGCACAGAACTACATTTCTCATAAAAACTCCGCCTGTGATAGAGAGGGCAGGTTAGTGCAGTGGCCTCTTGTGAGTGCATATTACTGCAGAACAGCACATGCTACTGCCTTCCCCACAGGAATGTAGTTTTGTTATCTGCAACTGTGCCTTCTCTGTCAGCAGTGGGGATTAGGAATGAGGGAGCCTACCCTGCTCACACCACACAACCTTTGTAATACTGCAGTTCCTAAAATGAACCCTTCCAGCTCTAACAATTCACTAGGGCTCACCTTCTCTTCAGCCTTCACTGTTCAGCAGTGAGCTCTGCTGTACTGCCATCATCACTCATTTCATTATTAATTATTGCTAGCTGCATTCTATTCAAAGAAGAACCTACTGCCAGACGCTTGATGATCCTTCCAGTGGATGTCTGGGCAGCACAGGGTGCTGGGGGGAACTCACCCTGTGTGTCTGTGTTGCCACAGATCCTCAGCTGGGTAATAATTAGCATTTGCTCTATGATTGTAGAAGGTTGATCAGTTGTTTTATTCTATTATTTTTTGCTATATTATTATGCTATACTCATTAAGAAACTCAGTAACCCTTACTGCTACTCTGATACGGCCTTGACCTAATTGGTTAATCCATCTAAACACTATCTAGTGTCTAATCAAGAAATCACCCTTTGGTAAACGAATCTCCATGACACATTCCACATGCACACAACAGCAGGTGCAGCAAGTGGAGATAAGAATTGTTTCTCATTCTTTTCTCTGCTTTTCTCACAGCCTTCCCCAGGAAAATGCCTGGGAAAGGCTGTGCCTGCTCTCTGTGGCCAGGGAGCTGCTGCCCCATGTCTGTGCCTTTCAGGAGTGGTTCACCGTGATCGAGCACTACCACCGCACCAGCGCCACCATCAACGAGCTGGTCATAGGCAACGAGTACTACTTCAGGGTCTTTGCTGAGAACATGTGCGGCCTCAGCGAGGATGCGACCATGACCAAAGAGAGTGCTCTGATTGCAAAGGATGGTTAGTTAACTACCCACGCCTCGTCAAGGGGGAGGGGGGTGCTCAGAGGCTGGAAGGTGACTGGAGGTAAAGGCCGTATCTCTAAACATTCAGAGGCACTCCCAGCCCCAAGCTGAGGTCCAACAGCAAAGGCATTTCCTATTGAGATGTCTTGGTTTGTCCACATAGCTCAGAGTCACTGCTTTTAATCAGGACTGGGACATTTCTCCTTTGATCTGACACTTTCTATGGTCTTGGATCTCAGACTCAGGTTACCACTGGCACATATGCATTGACAAGAGCTGGAGAGGAGTAAAGCAGCTGCTCTGTTAGAAGCAGTGGGTCACTGCCCTCCTCTGGAGACTTGGCATCAGCTGTGCAGGCACTCCCTCCTCTTCAGGCAGGATGCAACAGAAAAACATATGCCCTGCTTCACATCTCTTGAGGGTGGGGTTGGGCAAATTCTGATTCTGCAGTCAAAAATCCTGACATTTCAGATGATGTCAGCTGGAAATGGTACTGTAAACTTACACCCACAAAACTTGCCTATGGAAAGGAAATTCTAAAAACAAATAGCTTACAGGAAGAAAATCAAAGCAGTTTGCCTGAAAGGAAGGAGTACACGATGCAGAGGACAGAAAACCTGTAGAGCCCACACAGCCAGATTGAAAGACTCTGGAGTCATGAACAAGAAAATAGCTCTAGGAATTCTTTTTCAGCACTGCTTACTTGCCCTTCTCATGTGAGCAAGTATCAGGCCTAAGCTGCACTGAAGTTAGTATTAGAGCTTGAATCAGCTTTAAGTGAAGCAAAGCTGTGTAATGATACCTGTGCACAGGAATAGATGTCTGTCTGTCTGGCTACCTTAAATGCCAGATGAATGTTTGGCTGAAGAGGATTTGTTGGTGGTAATCTCTTGCAGAGTGAAGATAAACTGGCAGTGAAAAAATACATTTTACTACCATGTTTTTCTTATTCAGAAACTGCATCCATTTAGGTATCTGTTGTCAGTGCACTGTTTAGAGCAGAACAAAGAATAGATTTTCCGGTATGGGGACCATTTATAATCAGAACAAACTGAAAAAATAATTGGCAGAGTGAATAAGGCTTGCCAAAGACAGGTATCCTGCAGTACATGGGTTAGGATCCTGCTGTTTAGCAGGGCATACAGACACAGAATGAACATGATTTGTGTGCCACCTGCACAGGAATCAAAGAGAAGTTCGCAGACATCAATGCCAGACTGTGACTGAGGGCTACAGTGACTGTGCAGACCCACCTCCAGCCTCCCATGCAAGTGCAGCTACTGGAGTCACGTTGGTACCTAAAGCAGTGCAGATCAGAGCTGACTCTCTGTAGCCATTTAATGCACTTGGGTGTTTAGCTACCTGCCAATGCTCTTTTATAAATGTTTCATTTTCCCTTTGTAGGTAAAGTCTACAAATACCCAGTTTACGATGACTTTGACTTCAGCGAGCGGCCGCTGTTCACTCAGCCCCTGGTGAACACTTTTGCTGTCGCTGGTTACAATGCCACCCTGAACTGCAGCGTCCGGGGCAACCCCAAGGTACAGCACAGCTCTGACAGCAGAGCTTAAAACACCAGAGAATTTAACCTGACAATGAAAATTACGTGCCACTTTCACCATTTAACTCATGAGCCAGGCTGAAGGCTAACAGACAGGTGTGGGTTCTAAAGTACAAAAACAAAGGAGCTGCTAACCTGTGCTACAGGCACTACAATAGTAAATGCACAGGTAATTCAGTGAAGGGGCAGAACCTCAGGAAAAGGCTGGGCTTTGCTGGAATTCTCACTGACAACAGCTGTACAGTTAATATATCAGTTAAAATTGTTAATAAAATAAAGCCATACTTATTTTACAAAGAGCTAATTATTCTCTAAGTAAGCACCCTGTAGGAATGCTCTGGGTGCTACGTTGTTTCTCAGACCCACTGCATGATGTACCTTGCACTTTCTTTTGACTTGTGTCTTTTTGAGATCTTTTTTTCTGGTGTGAGAAACTGAACTGGCCTGGTAAAATGAGAAATCTGGACTGCTGTTCACTCTTCACCTTCACAGTTTCTGACTGCGCAAATTACCGTGGAAAAATATGTTTTTCCTATTGTCTTAGAGTAATTGGATGTCAAAAGCTAATCGTCAGCTGTTTGGTATAATTACACAGTTCTTGTACTTATAACAGGCTTGTACTTATGACTTTAATTAGGTGATAAGGTCTGCACTGAAAAAAAAGCGCTAAAAATCAGATGTATGATGCAGACAATGCTTATTTTTAAGATTTAGTTTCCTTTCTATCACTACTTCATCTGTTTTTTATCATTTCTGGATTACTCAGCTTTAATTGAACACCACAAAATAGGGGATAAAATATTTCAGTTCAGGATTGTGCATTTGGACTTTCTTTTTGTTGTTGTTGTTGTTGTTGTTGTTGTTGTTTGGTTGTGGCTTTTTTGGTTTGTTGTGGTTTTTGTTGTTTTGTTGTTTGTTTTTTTTTTTACCACAGCCCAAAATAACGTGGATGAAAAACAAAGTGCTCATAATGAATGACCCAAGGTACCGGATGTTCAGCAACCAAGGTGTCTGTACCTTGGAGATCCGCAAACCCAGCCCCTACGATGGAGGCACTTACACCTGCCGAGCAGTCAATGAGCTGGGAGAGGCAGAAGTGGACTGCAAACTGGAAGTAAGAGGTAATGGCTTTAAAACATTGCAAACACCCTCTTTTTGCCTGAGCAGTGTCTACAGAGATGAAAGGATGCAAGGCAAGTGCAAAAGGGAGTTCAACTTTCCTGGATTAAATCAATAGAACTGTTAGGGCAAAATAATACTGGTTACTTTATTTTGGTTTGTTTCCATTAATAGAAAAATTTTATAAATTTCAGGTAGTTTAGAATTAACTGGGATACCATGAATGGCTGGATAGGATGACTAATGAATAATCTCAGGACCATATTTTTCAGAAAATTACTTCCTAGGAGATGATTTGGTTAATATTTAGCTGGAATAATTCCCACCAGTCTTCCTTTCAACTGTGGAATAAACTAAGTGTTTCTCAAAAAAATTTTTATAAGGTTATAAGTAAGGAAAGCTTCCTAAAGCCAGCTGATGGGAAGTGTCTAACTAAGAAATTTTGAGGGAATTTAGGTGACATCAATATGGCTTTAATTACATTACCTCCATCATTTTAGTCTATAATGAAAACCACATTTAAATTTTTTATGGATTCCATTGTGTTTATTTTGCATTTCAGTTTCCATTTTCTGTATTTTCTGATGTATCTTGTCCCACAGCTCAGATCTGCCTGCAAGAAGACATTTCAATAGATGTTTGGTTTATGTTAAGTTGAACACTTAAATAATGTAATGTAATGAAAATATGAATAATGTATTTTTTAGATTTAGTTTTAAGATACTGTCTTTAAAAGGTGATATCTTCTTCCTGGAAGTAAGATTCCTTTCTTTAATCACAATCAAACTTTCTATTTCACAGCATAACAGAAAACTTCATCACCTGAGAAGGTTGCTTTGTCTTTGTTTTTATACTGAAAAGCCAAGTTATGTTGCTAAGTGAACACAGCAGCTGAAGCTTAGCAAACCAGGACAGGCTCAGCGTTTGCTCTAGGCAAATATAGCAAATTACTCTTAAACAGCCAGAGTACAAAGACATCATTACTTCTTTCTCTCTTCTCCTGACCTACATGTTGATTTATCATCCTCTTAAGTTTCCCAGACTGTTTGTTCATTTAGGAGGGCTCCCCAGATGACCGCTCACCATGCTGATGCAGAGCAGAGACCTGCAGATTTCTGACTCACTGGAAATTAATTGCAGTGTGTGTGTGTGTTTGCTTTCTTAGGTACAGCTTTAAACTGGTTCAGCTTTATTCCAGCAATTCAGACTACCAACTCTGTATTTGTAAAATGATGAGATAAAATTGAATGTTGTCTGAATAAGAATAACAAGCTCAAGGCTCTGCTGCCTATCTGGTGAACATACAAGCTATGGTGCTATTACTACATATAGTAGGTTTGACTTACTAGTAAGTCATGCTAGAGAGCTCTATGCCATGCAAGAGTATTTATTGTAGCAAGCTATGTTTCCTTATGCTGGCTAGAATTACTTTTAGCCGTCCATCTCTGACATATCAGAGAACTTAAATTTACCATGCTTATATAAATGCTCAGCCCCAAAAGCATCTGAAGAGCCTAGAATTTCAGAGTGTGTGTAATATTGGAATATTCTGGCTATGAATATAATCAGTATGCTACAATTTTATACCTTTTAGCCATTTTCTTACACTATTTTAGGTGTAAAATTAACCCCCCATGTTGGTAAATAAAATGCTCGTTCCCTGAAAATGTTTTAGTGATACATATAAGCACAATTAAAAGAATAAAAACTTATTCTGCCCTCATAAGAGGTTTTTCATGTGCTAATGTTATTTCAGAAATACAACTTTTGTTCTTTGGTTTTAAGTTTTGCTGAGTGAATTTAAAGATGGAAGTTACGTGACCTACTCAGTACAATTACACATTTAGTGGCTTTGTTTTTTAAGTGTGTTTGTGTAAAAAGTTATGTTATAGATGACTCTTTCTCATCTATCTTAAAAGATAATAACATATGCAGAATCTCATTACATAAAATACTGTATGTATATTTTGAGTTTGTTGAAGTAGATCTCTAAATTTGGCTCTAAATGTCCCATTACAAGCACTAAAAAACTGATTCCTTATCAGATTCACTGAGGGCAATGGAAAGAATTAGATAAGGTGCTGTGCCTCTTTTATAATGGAAGAAGCAGCTTTGGAGAACCTTTATCTTAGAAGTGAAATAAAGGTTGGTGATCACTCTAATAATAGGTTGGTGATAGCAAAGTTGCTGTATAAGAAATTTTATTTTTAAAAGGTGCTAAGATCAACTGGGAAAATTTTCAAATGCAAATAAATACCACTATAAATATTCTAATTCTGCAGTGATCTATCATGGAGTAATTAACCCAGGAGAACCACTCAGCTTGGCGGGGGATAATCAGGTTTATAATGCGCGTACTCCTCTGGACATTCCATTTCATTCCCACCCTCTCTTTCCACATGCAAACACACTTTCTGCATGCAAAGTGTGTATTTCTTTGCTTTTTTTAGGTTACACTAGCTGGAGTCTCATGGCATACATTGTCTATGTCACATGAGAAAAGAAGGCCAAATTAATCAAGAAAATATCCAATCATATGGGTATTTAATATCAGAATTACCAAAGTTTTAGACAAATTTCATAAAAGTAGATGTATCTATAAAGAATATATTTAATTACTGTGAACATGTTAGACCACAACACTTAGTTCTTTCCAGGAGAAATATGCATTTCAAATACACCAGCTCTCAGTTAGTTTGTAGAATTACTGAAAGACCAGCAGTATCATAAAGTCATTTGCAGCACTTAAAAGGTATTCTTTATAGCAGATTACTCTTTGGTTACAAATTAGTGCTCAGAATGATTATCCAAGCTTGAACTTAATCAACCAATTTTAAGGATGAAATCTTGATTCAATTACTTACAAGAAGAAAATTTTGCTTAATTTATTTCATTTCTTCTAGAGCTTATTTTATTCAAGTTCATTTGGACTCAGAAAATTTGACTCCTTCTATAGAAATGTCTTTTGCTTGCAATCTTGCCCAGATTCAGAATATTAACAGTGCAGTTTTAAAATTACAGATGCCCAGAACTGGTCTGCATTGTATTATGCATCCAGACTTATGATTTCAATCCTAAAACATGCTAGGAAACCAGACTGCATAATGTTTCTGCAGCTTTTTGACCTACTGAGGTATTTTTCTTAAAAGGCTACAAATACATAAAAGGTTCAGTGCTTTTATAGACATACACATAGATAAGTGTATATGAATGGGTGTTTTATAGAGTCAAAATGTTTAATTAAACGTAAGGGCTCCTACAGAGTAAACAGCATGCTTTAGTAATGTAAATATGGATATATGACCAAGTACATACTATAATGCACAGGTATATAATTAGTCTGTACTTGATTATTTTGCCTTACAGAGTTTCAACATATATATATATATATATTCTTCAGTGTTATGTGTGTGCCTTTTTTAATTACCCCAGTGGAAAATACTATATATATATATATATATATGTGTGTGTGTGTGTGTGTGTGTGTGTAGCTTCTTTGAAGCTACATTTGGACACTTTTATCATAAATATAATTTGGTTCCAATCTATACTTGAGACTAATTAGAAGTTTTTATAGTTACTTGTACCTATTAATCTAGATTTTACATATTAATGATAATTTTGAAGTGGAACTGGATCCCTACCTTTTACTCTTCATGTGCTTCTATTCCCACATATTTTACATGACTAAGGATTAAATTATCACTTTGACATAATTGTAATAATTTCACTCAACATTTTCTCTCCACTTTTGTGTTTGCAATTAAATTGTTACTTCTCTTTCTCTCTCTCCCTTAGTTACACAGTAAGGAATTTTGAATGTATATTGTCATCTAAGGTAAGCTTTCATATGGTTCTTGCATATGAAGCTTATGTCTGTTTATAGTCATACAATGTCTGCCTAGTATGGCATGATTTTCATTATTACACAATGAAAATGTCTTTATAAGTTAGCAGCATGATGGTTTTAAGGCACACAAATTCAGATTTTAGTAATTGCTTGTTTCGATAATTCTCAGTAGTACTTCCCATATCTTCTAATGGTGCATGTTTGAATGGAATTTAACAGTGCATGATTTAGCATGATTAACTAGCACAAATAAAATGCAAGTAATAAAAAGAGCATTATGTATTTACAGCAAGTTATTTATTTTTTATAGGAAGATGCCTCTACATAAACAAAATATTTATTGCAGCATAAACTTCTTTTAAAAAGGAATGATTCATAGCACAACTTGCACTCCATGAGCTGAAAGAATTGCCAGAAAGCTGAAAGAATGCCAAAAAGCATGCCTTTTTTTTTTTTATTTTTGGTCTGTTTTGTGCATCTTCCTAAGGTTGGGGGTGAACACTTCTCCCACAATGATGACATTAAATGAGAAAGCAGTCTCATAATTACTAGTAACTAATAGCATTTTAATTGAATAATCCTTGTGTTAATAAAGATTATAAATTCTTAAAAATCTGTACTTGGCATAAACGGTTGTATGTAAGTATCAGCTCAATTGCATTTAGCTGAAGCATTCAGATAGTATTATCTTTACCCTGGCAATGTACTTTTGCTTTAAAGCTTTTGGTGTGTCCCAGAAAAAGCTCAGAAGGTAAGTACAGCTATCAGTGGATGGTTTGCAACTTGCAGAACACAATATTCATGCAGATTTGTAAAGGAAATAGTAATGGTATATAGCTTTCTTAAAGCAATTTATACCCTTTGTCTGGAGAAAGGGCAGATTCTAAAGTTTTTTAGCAAAATATTTATCTTTTTTCCAAACATCATCTGATATCAATGAAACTAACAGAAATGCTGGTGTTGAATTTCCATGGCTTTTATATCAGTGGCATCGGGCACCCAAAACCACTATGGGCAACATGTGCCAGGGTCCCACCACTTTCACAGTGAAGAATGTCTTCTTTGTATCTAATCTACACTCACCCTTTTCCAGTCTGAAGCCAGCATCCCTTGTCCTGTCACAACAGGCCCTTGTAAAAAGTCCCTCTCCAGCTCTCTTGTAAGCTCTCTTTAGGTACTGGAAGGTGCTCTGAGGTCTCCCTGCAGCCTTTCCTTCCTCAGGCTGAACAGCCCCAACAAAAAGTTAAATTTTGAAGTGAATTTAAAAGCAAATCCAGAATGATTCCTCAGACTTCCCCAGCAGATGAAAATTTCAGCTTTCATTATCTCTCTCTGGAGACTATATCTGAAATCCTGGCTTTTTAAATGTGATTCTTTCAAGGATGTCATCCCACTTGTAATTTTCAAGCAACATGATAAATATTTTGCTAAATACCTAGAGACCACTTTAAGACCCAAAACTAGAATAAATTGAATATTTCTGCATGTTTTCCACAACTCATCCTGATCAGTGTTTTCTATATTGTTCCCCCTGCACTGACTTCCATCTTTGACCATGCTCCACCCAGCACGATGGAAAGCCAGGAGAGTTATTTGAAGTGAAGCTTATCATATGCTGTTGCATGTGGTGAGATAAATGACTGAATATATGATACCCTAGAAATTAAATTCACCCTGCACAAGAGGACAGGAAAGGTCTGTATAGTACCAATTAAATAATGGGTAGATGTCTTACTGGACTTTTGAGCAGGGCTGAATTTTACCAGATCTCAATGTAACAGGGACTGACTAAAACTTGTCACTTATGCCAGAGAATAAAGGTACAAAGCTGTTGCTCCAGGGACCTTCAACCTGAAGATTACCTGTTTTCCTTGTTTGTAGGTGGGCTTTCATTCTTCAAGCTATTAATGGATGGAGTGCCTCCGCATATCATTGACTCGTATATGCGTGAAGTGCAGGCAGACAAAACTGAAGGGAAGTGAGAGTCTCTCCACAGTGTTTCCTCCCACTGCACTGGAAACTGGTAGCAGAATAACAACATTTTAGTTCTCGCAACAACAGAAAAACATGTGCGGTGGGGGATTTTATGACTTTTTTTTTTTCCTTAATTGTCCTTTTGTTTTCCCTACCTGCCCTTACTGAAAAGAAAGAATACGCATGGATTGCTTTGAGGTTGAAATGAAATGAACTGAAGACAACACACGTTTTGTAATGTTCAGCTTTATTTTCTGCTTGATATCGTGTTCTGTTTTTTAATGAGGAAAGAGGGGAAGCTGTGTAACAAGCATAAGGAGGCAGTCTGTACTCAGTGGTACAAAGCATATCTTTCTCAGACTGGAAGTACATGGATTAGCCAGTAGATGTGCAATAAGATCCTTGGAATACATACCTCTGATAATGTATCTTATTCACTTGAGAATTGTTTAACAGAATATGGTTTTACTACAATGTAACTAATGCATATGTAATGAATGATCATTTAAGCTGAACATATCTTCGTATAGAAGTTTTGATTTCCTAAATCCAACCCATCAGTCTTTCAACTTAAGTGAAATTGTTTTATTTAATGTACAATAAACATGAAGTGTTTAAGATCGATTAAGCTCTTGTTTACTTTTTTCTGTATCATTTTACCACATTTCTTGTTTTATTTCTACTTACAATAAAGCAGGAACTTGTGCCTACCATGTGGAGTGGAAAGCAGTATCAGCAGTCACCTAACCTAGTGTGCTTACACCTTAAGATACATGACACAGAATGTGAGTAGAGATAAATGCTACCAATACATACAACTTTTTATCTGCACATTTTTCAATATTTTAAATGTGATAAATGCCAGCCATGATGGCTTTCACCATTCTGGATCCACTCCCTTTCCCCAGAAATTCATTGACCTCTTGTAGCTATCACATCAGAAAAAGGATTCAGACATAGCACGGGTGAGTTCACCGTGCATGGCAAAAGTGCCTGAGATAAGGTGGAATGGCTACATTTCTTCTCCAGCTGCAGCATCATTAACCTCCAAGTTCTTTAGGAGAGGGGGTGATTGTCCTGGAGTCTCCAGCAAGCCCTGAAACATGTGAGACACAAGGTCACACATATTTTGGCCAGGTTGTCAGTTCCCTATTGCCCTGACATTTATTTACCAGTTCTCACTCTGGCTGTACAAATAGGGCAGGTTAAGTGCTCACTGGCTAATGACTGATCTCCAATTGGAGTTTATAAAGAAAAAGGCCTATTTAGACCAGAAGTACATCACAAGATGTTTCTTTGGTGTCAGTGCATTTTGAAACATTCAGCAATCAATAAATATGCAACAATAAAAGAATGTGTTACTCTGGAGTGCCACACCTGAAGTGGTGTTTTTGCAATTGTGCTCCCACTTCTTTTGCTTTGGGGATCTGAGTGCATTTTCTCACATTGTTCTGTGAATCTCATTCTGAGAGATAGATAGATAGATAGATAGATAGATAGATAGATAGATAGATAGATAGATAGATCGATCGATCCTTTTTCTTTTCTTCCTTCTTTTTTCTTTGTGATTTCCTCTGCAGGGAAGCAATTTTGCATTCCCAGATATCCTGGACACCCCTCCACATCCCACCTGCATTTCACTCTGCTCCTGCCAAAATCAATCGTCTCCTATACATTCATTCACACTTATAAGTGAAAGAAAGCAACACATCTACTAGGAAAATAATTTAATACAGGATTAATAATTTCTGTTTATTCTGTATCTCACCAGTGAATTGAGACTCCTTCCATCTATTTTGAAGCCCAGAAAGCTGCACGAGAAGGTCAATTTGACTAAATGCCATAGAGGTTTAAGTATGTGACCCTCATTTAATGTAGTATCAATCTGCTATAGTCAGCACCAAAAGCTACAGTTATTGTGAGTTTGTGTTTGTCAGTAAGCCCACAAATGAAGCACACAGCCATCTGCACTTTGTATGCATAATGTGTACAGCTTCAAGGTTACATTTATCTGCCTCCTCAGTCTTAATACATAACACATAATAACTTGGAAGCCAGCTTCTGCGGGCTCTCTGTGGATGGAATTAGCTGCTCTAATTTCTCCCAGCTGCCAGCGTTGTTAAACAACAAGCTGAACTAAGCTCCTTTTCCCTGTGAGAACAGTAAGTGTTGTACTCGGCTGCCCTCAGTTCCTCCCCCCCTCCTCGCCCAGCATTTGCCATTGGTCATCCCTCGGGCTGGGGACGCACCAGGCTGACAGGAGCGGGCATTAACCTGCTCTAAATCCAGACTACACTGAGCAGCCACCACTCTGGATTAAGCATTAACCGACTTTCAGAGACATGATTCGATGGCATAGAACAGTACAGAGATTTCTAGTGATTTAAAACAGGCTGCAGCACCTCATCTGGAGAATAACAGAAGGTGAAGTTTTGGTTTATGACAATTTGCCCTATGGGATTCTCCAGGAAAGATGTTTAGTGGATGTAATAGTGGCCAAATCTAAAGAGTTAGGAAAATGCTAACGAAATCTGCAGTTAATATCAGCTTAGGAAAATAAAGAGGCATCGAAGACAGCAACTACAGGAGAAGCAACTTAGAGGGAACAGAAGCAACAGAATATCATGCTGTAGAAGATGTGACATAATGCTCCAAAGAAATTTCTCCAAAGCTACAGGGATTTCCAGGTAATTAGTGAACCTGAAAAAGACCTAGGAGTAACCTAGGAGGATAGCAAATACATGTAAACACACATACACAGACACACAAATATGAATCAAAGTTAATTTTTAAAAATTTAATTTATTTTTAATGATACCAGAAAAAATATTTGGTCTTCTCTTGGCTTTCATTTGCTTTCTTTGCGCATGGAAAGTTATTTGGCATGTAAATGTATAAATACAGCTCCATTCTCAAACTGGTATATGTCGACATTTATATGGGCACTGCAGTTACCATTTGCATTGAAATAGCACAGCTACTGCCAGCACACTTTTCCCTTAGTGAACACAATCTCACAAATATAAAGGAGAGGAAGAAAAAAGAGACAAGTGATCTTTAAAAGATTGCTTAAATTGGGATATACTGTTAATAAGGTCTTTATGGAGTGTGAGAACCCCGGCCTTGCTCTGGGGTCTCATATGGTGGTGAAATTCCTCCTCCAACCCGTGCTTCCAAAGAAAAACTCCGCAGGCTTTAGCTGTTCGGTCTCAAGGCAGTTTATTGCTAGTTATCTAACAGATTATGTTCTTGGACTGCGGCTATTTGATCAGCGGCCTGGGTAGAGGCACACACACACACTGACATCCTCTCTATCTGCTGTCTTCTTCGTCTCTCTCCTCGCTCAGGGCTGCTGCTGTCTTTTATATGATATATTACGTATAACATGTTTACAATTATTCCCCAATACCTACTACCTACGTTGCCAAGTGTTTTTCTACTCTAAACCAATCTGTGAGTGCCAACATCACCAAGAACATGGAGGTAAGGAAAAAGAAGGAGGAAGAACAGGATCAGCCCACTTTCCTCCATCTTAGAACTTCTGACCCCCATGTACAAAGTGAAAACCCCCCTGTACATGTGTTAAAACCCCCCTGTACAATACAAAAAAATTTCCCCTCTACTTTGTAACTACTTTTACTATACTATCTAACCTTTTGTGATTGCTTGTTCCACCTCCAAAGTTGGTAATTCATTCCATGGCTCAAACTCAAAAACACAGCTGTTTTTCAGCTGTCTGCCAGGGTCTAGAATGCTTCTTACCAAGGCCTGGAACCTCTAAAAATGTCTGAGAGACATTTTGAGTTCCCACAATGGAGAGTCAGAATTTTTTTTAAATAGTCCTTTTATAAGAAATAGTTCAAGCTTCCTGAACTTCCTTTTAGGGGGAAAAAGAAAAAAAAATGTAATATTGGTACCTTTTACAGAGCATTGTGAAGGTCTCTTACTTTATGAAAGTCTTTTGTTGCATTTTGAGATTCTGGAGCAAAAGGCATTCTATTTTAAGCACAGTGTACTTACTGCCACTTGACTTTCATGTCCTGCTTTCCTGACTGACAGGTAAAGCTGCTGCTTTGGAAGCAAAACTCTGTCTTGAATGCTGAGGAAGCACTAGAAGACTAAACACACTGGACTTAAAATTCAATGCTTTGTTGATTAATACTTTTGAAACTAAAACAAACTCCTCCCCAAACCCAGTGATAAATTCAGTAGGGAATCTGTTTCTTCCTTTAATGTGGCCCTTGCTTTTTATGCCAATTACTTTCCTCTTCACTTCTTTCCCTAGTTTCTCTTGTCCTCCAGGTTTCAAAAGAGCAATCTCTCCATAAGTACTAGTTCTATTATGCTCCTTGACCACAGTGATGCACAGGATATTAAATGAAACAGTTTTAGCTTCTTCCAAACGTGATTCCAGTGGACTGGGGATCTGACTGATTGAGAATCTGTCAGATTTCCCTTTTGCCATTCTCCAGTTGGCTGTAACTGGACCTTTCTTTACTATGTTATATGTTACCTTCTGTTCTGCTAGCAGTTCCTATCCCCTCTGTTTTGGCCTCTAATGACAATTGCTGCATCATCCTGTTTTCAGTGAACTGTAAATTAAATCAGCTGAAGAATGACGTAGCACATAGTGGGATTCCGAAACCACCATTTAACATATGTCAAGCATTCCTGACTCTTGCAGTAGAGAAACCTACTCATACACATAATAACTTTATCAGTTTAAGTGAATCAGCTCACTTTGAATAACAGGAAGCGGCTCTGTCCAGGAAATTGCAGTGTCTGGACAGAAAGCTGCACCCTCTGGCTCACAGTGAAGTAACTTAAAAAGAGAATTTCTGATACTAAGAAGATGCCATTGCAGGTTGTATTTTTCACTTTCTACTACAGCTACACAGCTTTTCCTTGGCCTCACTCAGTAGCCACACACCTTCCTGGAGACTCAGCGATACATCTAAAACCCTTCACACGACCAATTCAAATAATTTGATGTGCCACAATTCTCAAAAGGCACATTTGCTTTGAAGAACCCTCTCTAAGCAAGTCAACGATGTAAATTAAGTAGTGTGTAACAGCGTGTGCAGCTGCTCCAGAACATGTTAAGGCCAGAACTGCCCAAGCAATGGGTCCCCTCCGGGAAGTGGAAGAATCCGTGGGTGATGCCGTGGGATCACCTCCCTGCAGGCACAGCTGCCCTGCCCTGCTGGCAGCAGGGAAGTCATCTGCTGCTTAAACCCTGCCTTTATGCTTTGCTCCAGCAAAAATCCTTCTGGCCACCTGCTGCCTGCACACCGCTGTGGCCACTATGTGCACGATCAAACTTGAGAAAGGCAAATGAGCGGAACGAGGCAAGGCGCGGGTGAGAGCGGCACCCGTTCACCGCGCCGAGATGAGAGGGGCGCGCACGGGCGCCTCTCCGGGGGCAGCACCGACCGAGCGCTCCCGCGCCGCCCGGGCATCCCCAGCCCCGCAGGGCGAGCCGGGGCCGGCGGAGCCGTGCCCGCTCCGGGGCCGGGGCCATGACAGCGCCGCGCACTCGGGGCGAAGAAGCCACAGCCGAGCGGGGGGCGAGGGCGTCCGCCGCGCGTTGCCGAGGCGGGGGCGGCCGTTCCCCGCGGCCAAGCCGCTGCTGGGCGTCGGCCTCTTCCGCCGCTGCCCCCGGCTCGCCTCAGCCCCGCCCCGAGCGGCGGAGGCTCCCTGACCCCGGTGCCATGCGTCCCGGTGGTGCGGGCATGGCCGTGTCCTGGGCGCTGCCCGCGCCCCTCAGCCCGGCGCAGCTGAAGCGGCTGGAGCAGCACCGCTACAGCGCGGCCGGGCGCTCGCTGCTGGAGCCGTGGCTGCAGCCCTACTGGGGCTGGCTGGTGGAGCAGGTCCCGCGGGGGCTGGCGCCCAACGCCATCACCATGGGCGGCCTCCTGCTGAACTGCCTGACGGCGCTGCCGCTCATCGCCTGCTGCCCCAGCGCCACCGAGCAGGTACCGCCCGACGCGGCTGGAGCCGGGCCGGGGGCCGCGGCTCGGCCGGCAGTGCCCGGGGCCGTGCCCGGAGCCCGGGCCGTGCCCGCCGCGCTGCGGTGCCCTGTCCCTTCGGGCTCCCCGCAGCGACACGCGTGGCCCGCCCCTTGGCACGGAGGGCTGAGGCGGGGTTGTCCTGAGGAACCGGGGATGCGGTGACGCGCAGCTCGCCCTTTGGGGCAGCAGGGGTCAAGCTGAAGATAGGTGCTAAGGCTGGAATGCCGAAACGCTGTAGGGATCTCGTGGAAGGACGAGGTTCGCTGCCCAGAGGGCGCCGTGCGGCTTTGGCGTGCGGGCACTTGGCCTGCTCGGCACGCTGTGGTGCGAGGGGCGCAGCCGGGCTCGCCTGGGGCGCGGGACCCCCGCCTCCCCCACGGCCCATCCTGCATTCCACGTGCGTGCCTCTGGCTGGGAAGGGAATGTCCCCTTCCTCAACAGTGTGGTTGTCACACACGGGCCGTGGACGTAGAAACAGCAGCTGGTCATGGTAGAGGGTGCGGGCTGTGCTCAGGGGCAGGGCAGGGCTGGACCCACGAGACACGGCTGATGCCGCTTGGGCATCAGAGCTGCGGCTGGGTTGGGTGGCAGATGGGGTAGCTGACGGCTGCTCAAATGTATCCCTCCTTGTGTGGGAAACATTTAATTGCTTTGACTTCTGGAGGAAAAACAGGCTTCTTAACGTGGGCTGGCTGGTGCTGCTCTCGCTTGACCTGCAGTGCCTAGAGTTTCTCAGTCAATTTCAGGAGCTCCATCAGAGCTTCCCAGCCTGTTGCAGGTTTCCCATTGTAATCTTTATGGTAGAGTAGAAAATAGCAGGGGGAAATTGCTTTATGTGGATAAAATACCTTGAAAGGTGGCCATTGTTTTTCTTGTGTTCTGATGGGCTTAAATTCTAACAGCAGAGGTCGGCAGTTGGTTGGGACTTTTTTAATACCATAGCTTTACCCTGGTGAGTGTTCTTGTCAGAAGAACATTTCTTTTTCTCTAGTTGCTTTGCCCTTTGTGGCAGACATATCAGGAAACTGATCCAGATCGAAATTAGCTTTGGTTTGGTCTCACCCTAATCGCTGCCCCAATACACATCACCAGGTAGAGGCACTCAGGCAGTAGAAGGGAAGAGATGACAGGGAATGGCTGGAAATTACAGATGGTCTTCTAGTCCCACTTTTAGAATTAAAATGCTTGTGCACTGCTACCTTTAGCTTAGTTCTGTGATGAAAATATAATTTGTGCCAGCTATGTGTCTGAATGCTCATTTTAGCTTTTTCTCTTTGTTACTCAAAACTGAAAGCAGAAAGTAAATTTTACTTAAGTTACTTTTCCTTTGAGGACTCTTGTACAGAAAGAAAAAGTTGTGTTGCAAATATCCAGGGAATTATTCATTCCAGGAAAACTTAGGATGGATTTTAGGAATTTTTCTGTTTGAACTGTTTATTTTTTTTTTTAATTGTGGAAGCTGGATTTTATAAGAACCTATAGTTTGGACTATACTTTCATGTTCAGATATCAGTACATCCTTTATAAACATGGAGTGTGGATCTAGTCATATCCTATTGTTTTGTTTGTTTGTTTATTGTGAGAATAGCCCTGATTTTCTGTTGCTGCATCACTTAGAAGCATCATTCTCCCTCCAGCTTGTTTGATGACTCAGCTTCCACCTATGTTGAGGTCATGTTTCTGGATGCTTTTTTGAAAAAGCTAAAACTGCTGCAACACTGACAGGTGCTGCATGCATTGTTGTAATAGCTCCTTTGTAGGTTTGACTGGGATGTGTAGGCTGGAAGGGATAGGTGGAGCTGACAATTATGTTAAATACGGTTTAAGTGACAGACTGAACTAATACTGTAGTGCACTTCAACAGCACCTCTTTCCATCATGAACATGTCTTGATCACCTGATGGACAAACATCCATTGTTTATAACATTGTTATAGTCTCACAGGTAGGAGCACTGAATAGAAGACTTGGATAAAGTTACAGGCAGGTTTAGGTTTGGTGTCGGGGGTTTTCTTTGAATTGGTTTATGTAGGTTTTTTTTATTTCCTAACCAATATTAAGCGGGCCATTTTGGTTAAGCACAGAAGTCTTGATGTTTCTACAAACCATCCAAAACAAGACTGGTAGTTTAAATCCCTCAGAGAGCAGCTGCTAATAGATGCTTTGAAAGGAGATCTTTCTCCAGTATATATATATATATATATACATCTTTCCAGCTGCCAGAAGAGTGGTTTAGCAGTCCCTTTGCAAGGGATTCTGTTTGGGTTACTTATTAGAAAGCAACTGACAGATCTGTTTTCCCACAGATATTGCCTTTTTCCTCATGATACTGCCTTTTGAATTAGTCCTTCTGAACCTGTTTGTACTTTACCCTTCCATTTTGTCCTATTGCAGTGATTTCTGTGATTTCATACTGCTTATTCCCATCTCCAATGAAATTAATGTCTCAAACCACAGAATGATCTTTTGTTCTCCTAACATGGAGCCGTTATTTCCCTATACACTATCCTTTTTATCTTCATCAGTATCAGTAGCCACTAAAAGCCAGTTTGTTACTGACTGGCACAGTATGTTTTGGAATTATAAAATATTGTCTGCTTCAGTAATGTTTCCTTGCCTAGCAGGATCATGGGTTTTATATGACTGTCTCCTGTAAATGCATGTTTTGACACAAGCTTTCTTATTTACAGCTAAGCCATTAGCAGGTTGCACCCCTCAGGCATTATTATAGCCATGATTCACATGCACATTTTTGTTTTCCTAATCTCTGTAATTTAGGACAGCAATCTGTAAAAACAGTATACATGTGTGGTGGTGGAGAGGACACCACCTGCACATTTCATGTTCTGTGGAGTGCTGAAATACTGTTTTCACTGTGTCTGCAGCCTGGGTTCTATTCCTACTTTTTCTCTTTTTTTTTTTTTTGTTTTGTTTTTGACACCTATTAGGATATATTTAGGAATGAAAACTCTTGCTGACATTAATAAGAACAGTGTGTATCTGATGCATTAGAATGTGAAAGGAATCCTCACTTTTTAGGTGAGGATTTCTATTTCATCGCCACCATAAGACAGTGAATTGTTTTGCTCTACTGCTAGCAGACCACTCTGAAGCAGCTAGTCAGTTCATAAGGCTTTGCAGGGGAATCTTGCATATCCTTCCCCTTCCTGAGGAAAACAGGAAGAAAGCATCATTATGTTCTTAAAAAGGAGAAAGGAAGCTCTGATGCTCTGTTCTCCTGATGATTGCTTGTGGAGGGGTCTAGCTTTGGTAATCTTTCAATATCAGTGACAGGTCTCTCTAAAATCATAAAATAGCTGGGTGGAAGAGACCTTTAAAGGCCATCCTGTCCAGCTTCTCTGCCATCAGCAGGGACATCTTCAGCTAAATTGGGCTGCTCAGAGTCCTGCCCATTCTGACCTGAATGTTTCCAGGGATGGGGCATCCACCAACTCTCTGGGCAACCTGTGCCAGTGTTTCATCACCCTTCTTATATTTAGTCTAAATCTGCCCTCTTTTATAAAGCCATATGATTGTTAGAATGGTTTGAGAAGCTAGAATTTCAGACAGAAGTGCATGCTAACTAATTATTAGATTGTATTGAATTATAACTATTTGAAAATTAATCTTGTAGCACTTACAGCATGATCTAAGCAAAGAATCGGGAACAGAGGAAGACAGGAACAGAAAAGGATGGATTATGGATTTGCTTTTTGGGCAGTGATAGGAAAAGGGGGCAGGAACCCAAGGGTTCTGCAGAGAGCTAAGGGAAGGAAGGGAGGCTTGTGGTGGCTAGCTCTGTAGGGTTGTTCAGGAAGTGTGTAGTGAGTTTATAAAAGGGTTTCATACCTTGCTGAAATGTCCTGTTTAGAAAGCCATGTATCTCGGGAGAGCAAAATCAGGGAAGGGTCTGCGTGCCTTCACCTGGCTCTACTATCAGCTGTTTGGAGGGAGAGGAACATTCATGAGATGCTGTCTCTGCTTTTCTCTCTCTCTCTGTCTTTAAAAAAAAACTTTAAAAAAGAATGACAGCAAACACAATCAAACAACTGAACCACCTTTAAAATGAAAGAGGGCAGAATGAGGAAAAGATATTGACAGTTGTGATATTATGTAAACAGCAGGGACACAGCTGAGCTTTGTGGGAGAAGGAGTAAACTAGAAAAGAAGTTAAACTGGAGCAGTTGATATGAACAGGGCATGTGTGTGGAGGGGGAGAGCATGGAGGAAAAAGTATTGCCTGACTTGGAAAAGAAATGTGAAGCAATGAGTGGAGTGGGAAATTCAGCCAAAACCCACAAGACCAGTTGTGAGTGGGAGAAGGAGGTTATTTGTCATGCAGTAAGAAGGTACAGGAATCTTGACACAGAAGGGTGGGAGCTCTCTCAGACAGGGCTTGTTGGAAAGATGAGGATGTTAAAGGAATGCAGAGGGTCCTTGGCATTCATGAAATGCACTTACTTGGACTATGGTATGTTTATTTGATTATTATTTTTTTCATCCATGCTGTCTTCTCTGCTGTAGTTCAGGTTTGAGCAGCCTCTTCCCTCTTCTTGCTATTAGTATAATTGCACAGTGCTTTGTGCCGAACAGGAGCGTGGGAAATGATCCATGTTTAGGGGGTAGGGGAAGTCCAGTCAGAATGTTTCCCTCTAGTCTGGATCTGATCCAGAGATGTGCCATGTAAACTAGAGCAACACTATTAAGCATGGATTGAGGAAGTGAGATTATGGCTAAACGTGATGAGTAATTAAGGAACTGAATCTTTAAATACTGCAGAAGCTTGGCCTGTTGAATTCTTCAGATTTGAGAGCTGTACTTGAAATAATTTCTAGAGGTTTCCCTGACACATGTAGTCTTTTGTAGATGTCCATGCTCTTTTGTGGGGTGGAATCATGGAAGGAGAAGAATGTGTGCTGTTCAAGTCCTTTTTTCTCCTGAAGGAGAGGCATGTCACACAAACCTGTCAAACACTACATGTACATGGCTTTCTTTGACATGCTCTGGGTTAGCAGATGACCAATTCTACTGTATCCAATCTGTGTGTGACAGGATTCTGGGGTTGTAGTATCTTCAGACACCCCTTTGAATTGAAGCAGAGAAGCATCCCCCTCTCCCTCCCTGCCTCCTCCCCCTCAGGTTTCTGTTCTCTTCTAGTTCTGTGAGAATAGCACCTAGGTCTGGCCAAATAATTAATTTGCTTGTGCAGGATATAACTTTGGGCAGAGATAATAAACACCTCATCAGTGAAAAGCTGATGATTATTGGGAGCCTCCTGACCTTTCTGCTTAGCCATGTGAGCATTCTCAGATGCACCCACTTCTCTAATTTGAAAACTACTTGGGTCCAGTGTGGGAAGCCATCAGGGGACATCCCTGAATGGACAGCCAGGCACATGAGAAGGCAAAGGAGACAGCAGCAGGAGCTGTATGGGGAGGGTGGATAGCAGAAAAATCCATGGTTATTAGGAACCTTTGGTGATTTGGAAAACTGTGGTTTACCAATTAAAGCATGAGAGCATTCATTTAATCTGCTAAATGATAGTTGTTCACAAGTGAATTTTGGTTCTTGTCACTCTGGGTTAGCTTTGGACTCCTGGCCTAGGGATGAAATGCTCCAGATAGTGTTTCTAAGCTCTCTGACATAATGCTATTCTTACTAGGATCTTCTTCCTTTCTCTTTAACTGTGAGGGATACCAATACATCTGCTAAAGGTGCTAATGGATACAGATGATACTTACTGTGGGAAACAGATGAAAATGCTCACCCTTTGTCCAGATCAGCAAGGGCAGACAGTGCTTGAGGGATTCTTGCTTTAATTTGTCCCAGTAGGAACTAATGCAAACAGACTTGGATTAGCCTGAATGATCATTCCTATACCATAACTTGCAGCTGAAAAAAAGCTACTGTTTTGTCAAAAAACCCTAATAGGAGAAGTTTGAGTTAAAGCTGATGTATTTGGGGTTTTTTTTGCATATATTGTGTTAGGCTTGCTTTGTGAGAAGCTAAATGTAGATCTCAAGGTATCTTTTCATAATTAATACAAGTATGTCGCCATAAGGGCACCTCACACTGCAAATGACCTTTGTGGCACTTCACAGAAATATTGCTGATAAAATTGGCAGTGGTTTTCAAACACTCCTTTAAAAGACAGCAGTGCAACCAGTGATTTCTCATGGTCTTTCTGCTCATCGGTCTGGAGCTGGCGTGTTTGAGATTCTCTGTTATTCTCCATATAACAAAGTTATTCTGAAAGCCAGTGTACGTACTGTGGTAACTTTAGTATGTGGATTATATCACAGCTAAAATTATCTCAGCTTCAACAAAGTCCTAACTGTGTTTTTCTGTTCTGTAGTACCTGAGAAACGACTGACAGCCCTCTGTTTTTGAAGGGTACAAGAGCAAGCCACAGTCCCCCTGCACAATGTGAGACCAAGTGAGCTCGTGCCATGAGAGACCCTTGAGTTCTCTTTGCCTCCCATGGGGCTTTTGGTGATCTTCAGTCCTGGGGTAGCCACAGGCACCTCTTGTTCGCCACAGGTTCTGTGCTTTCACCTTCATCAGAGGAATGAAACTTTTCCAAAAGATGGCTAAACATTTCCTCCCTGGTTTCACCACATCCCCCAAGACAGGATTCCTTTGTGTAACTAGATTAAAAGGGAGAAGAAACCTAAGAAACTCAAATAATTCCCTCACTAAGCATCAAATGTGTATAGCTGTCATCACTTGACCTGGATTTCTGTAGTGTGATCTTTGTAGGACTTACCAAATATTAGTATGTTAAATGTCCATTGGAATATCTCCTCATCCTCTTTCACCTGCTTAAGACTTCCTACATGACCTGTGATAACAATTTTCTTCGTTTCCATGGATTTAGGAAGGAGACAGCCTTGCCAGTTTTGAAGAATGTTAAGTTTTCTAGATTTTCATTTGCATACAAATCCAGAGCTTGCACCTAAAGTGAGTTCCTGATTCTTTGACTGTCTTTTCTTTAAAGCAGCCAACCATTTGACTTTGATGAAAGTGCATCAACCAGCCTGAAGTACATGAGGAATTCTTAAATAACAGCAAAAATGCTATTCAGAACTGGACTTTCCTTAAGCATGTGGCTGCTTAGTGTGTTTTGTGACCAGTCTAACTGGAGGCATAACATTTTCTAGCTCAAGACAATTAGTATAATGATGATGAGACATCAGAATGTCTGGAGGAGCAGCTGCACCTCATCTGCATTCTTACTGCTGCCTTTGAACTGATGGATGGCTGCCATTTTTCCTTTTTCCACAGCAGTGACACTGGGTTTAGTTGAGTGTGGACAAATCTCAGCACAATGAGATCTAGTCTGTTGTATAATCTGCTTAATATCCTTTACTGGTCTCAGGAAATACATGGACACATGTTGGCCAATTTGTGCTGCAGGAGAGGAGCTGCAGAGGTGTAGCAGCACCATAGCAGCTGTCCCTAAGCAGGGAGTGGGAAAGGATTCAGCTCTGTGACTGCCTGTGGGTGTTTGCATGTTTAACCGGCAAGTTGCATTTCCAATATTTTTGCCTGACTTTGTTTTCATGAGCAGTACTTCTGAATGCTGTGGGTACCTCTGGAAGCTGCATGAGGCAAAAATGTTGCCTGTGCTTTGTTCCAAAGGTGTTTTAAATAATTTTTAACAAAACCTAATTCCTAGACAAAGCCAGACTGACTCTACATATGAAAATAGTGCTTTTGAAGGGAATGACTGCAGAACAGTTCCTTTGAGCCTAAGAGTTCTGTTAATGTAATGTAATCAAACTGACGATGTACATTAAGTAGATAGTTTCTCCTTCATATTTAGTTAATTACTTAATTTTTTAAGCCCTTTCCAAAGTGCTTAGGTAGTAAAATATCTTTCTCTAAAGGCTGAAGTCTTTATTTAGTAAAAAACTTAGTGGAGTTTTGTATCTATATGTTGTAAATATGAGCAAATCATTTAAGTGTCTGTGACACAAACTGCTGAAAGCTTTAGTAAGTGCATTGCTACTCCTTCCTTTTTTAAATATTATTTTTATTTTTATAACATTTTTCAGCACAAAGAATGCAAATAATCACAGAAATGGGTTTAAGGTATCAAAAAAGGTCAGTTGATGCAGAAGAGAGGCTAAAGTTTTGGGTTTGTTTTTTTTTTAAATACATAGAAGGACCTTATCTGGAGTAGTTCATGACTAGTTACTCCAAACCATGTAGAAATTAGTGCCAGATGTTTGGTATGCCCATTAAGTAACAAATAGCACAGTATAGTACAGTTTTGTAGTGAAAATTATTTTACCTTTAATGAAACAGATTATCACCTAAGAAATTGGGAACTACCTGTTGACCTTTTCTGTGAATCTCTTTCAGGCACCTTTTTGGGCATACATCCTGGGTGCACTAGGACTTTTTATCTACCAGTCTCTGGATGCCATTGATGGGAAGCAAGCCAGAAGAACCAACAGTAGTTCTCCCCTCGGAGAACTCTTTGATCATGGTTGCGACTCTATTTCCACAGGTAGCCTTAATTTACTGTCACCCATCCTAGTTTATGAAAATTACCTATTTTCAGGAGCAGCTGATTAATCACAGAATTGTTGAAGTTGAAAAGGACCTCTGAAGATCATCTAATCCAAAGCTCTGCTTGGAACAGGGTCTTTTAGGATAACTTCACCATCTCCTGACCTTTGCATCCCTGACCAGTAATGAGGTATTTTAGAAGTTCCTTTGGCAGATGTTGGATAAGATGTATTCTGCTTTTACTTAGCTGTGTATCTTCATGTGCTGCACTTTAGGAGTAAGGTGCCAAAACAGCAGTTTGGTAATAGGGCATCCAGCCTGGCACTTCGGAGAAAGGTAATTTATATTCCGTAGAAGAAGTAGTTCTAAAAATGTTTGGAGTCCTTAAAAAGTAAGCCTTGCTCGGTTTCACTTTCTACAGCTGAGCTGCTGGTGGTGCCAATGCCTGTAGTTCTTTAAAGCTCAATGGCTGAGACAATTGCTGTGGGAATTGGTACCTTCTTTATGTGTCACTTCCAGAGAAATGGAGCTGCCAGTCTCCCTGAGCTTGGCCCTTCAGCTGAAGTTGTTGGTCTTGCAAAGAACTCGATATGACAAGGCCAGGAGGAGGGAGAACAGCCACTGTAGGCTAGAGGGCAGGGCCCTGCCTTGGCAGGAAAGGAGTGCTGTGTTTTGTTTTCTCCTGCCAGATTGCCCCTGAGGGTCAGCTACTCAGTAAAGTATCAGTCATAGTATTACTTCGTTAGAGTAATGTAAATGTCCTGTGTTTTTATTTATTTGTTTTTTCAATTTCTCTTAACTTCAAGCAAAGAGGATATATGACTAACATATTCATTTCTTCTTTTCAGTATTTGTTGTCCTTGGATCCTGCATAGCAATCCGACTAGGAACAAATCCTGACTGGTTGTTTTTCTGTTGTTTTGTGGGACTGTTCATGTTCTATTCTGCTCACTGGCAGACATACGTATCAGGCATACTAAGGTTTGGAAAGTAAGTAGGTATCATTAGAAGTGCGTGTGGCCTAATGTCTGAGACTGCTAGCTCCTTGATTTTGGTTTCTTCTTGGTTTACTCCCTGCTTTCTCTTTTTCTCACCTTCTTTCTCATCTCCCTTCCAATATAGCAGACTTGTGTTTTACCTGACAAGAACTTGAAACTGCATAATACCAAACACTTGTTCTTTTAGCAGCTGATTTTAGCTCCATATGCTTTGTTTGCATGCATTTGGCTCTTTTTTCTGCAGATTTGTTGTCAGAACCCATACAAGCACCATACAGGCTCAAGCCAGAGAGGTCTTGTTTACATTGCAGACAAGTGCCCTGTGTAGGAGTAGGGACAGAGCAAGCATCTGGGTACCTCCCTTTGTAATCTCCCAGCTGTAGAACAGTTTCATCTCCAGGGGACTCTAAACCAAATGCATTTTAGAGAAATTTCCCTGCTAATGTGTTTCCCTTTCATAGACATCTTCAGTCTTCCTTGGAATGAACTCTCTGCACCCATTGCATCCTCAAGGAGTTCCACAGATCTCTGGCAATGCTTGGAGAATGTGAGGGCCTTTTTTAAATCTGGCTTATACTGGCTTTGATGTCCTTTATGTTTTGAGTTAGGTCAGTTCTAGAGACTGCTGTGATGCTGTTCATGACTTGATAGAAATTTTTTCTGTTACACCGCAGCATAGGAGGAGAAGTCATGTCATTAATATAGAAGTCAATAATTTCAGTTTAACTGCTAATTGTGCAGGGATTGCTGCATCTCCTATGCCTGTGGTAGTTCCTGGTCATGGCCTTTGGCTGGTTTTAAGCAATGAGCTTCACTTCAGTATAATTACTTCTGAAAAGAGGAGAAGGTCTGAGACTTTTGTGGCAGCAGAACTGAAAATAAGGAATATATGAAGGCTGCTTCTGCTAATGCCAGTCATTTGCTAAATCACCTGTACACAGTCCTACTTAGCTCTGCCCTGCAAATGCCTTAGCAAATCAGCAGGCACGCAGGCTATGACCAGCTATCCCTGCACATTGCATCAAATGTAGCTGTCTCTATGATATTGATAAGAGCTCCTTTTGATTTGCTGGTAAGGCATTTTAGCACATTATTATATTTACCACTGTAATTCTTCTGCCTGCCTGCACATCCTATTGTTTTTAAAGGACATCTTGTGCTGTAAACAAAAATAGGTGTTTTACAGTGATGGCTGAAATAGGACTATTTCTGTCCATGACAGTATGCTGCTCTGAAGGGAGTTGGATTAGGCCATGAGCTCTGACCTTTTGCAGACATTACTGCTTTTCTGTACCTTTTATTCTTGTAAAAAGCATGAGAATGATTTCCCCACATTGGGAAGGCACTGAGACTCCTTTACCACATAAAGATTTTGTTAAAAACTTGGTGACTTCTACTTTAACATAATGATAGTGCATAATACAAACAGGTCATAATGGCCTGGTATTCCATTATTACTGTTTAAGGTTAAATAGACACAAATTTTCCATTAGATAACTTACTTCTCTCCAGTGAAAACAGGTCACATTTTTTTTCAAGGCTCCCAATTTTGTTTCTCTTAAACACAGAGGTGTGAATAAGTTCTCTAAATATGATGGTACATAATAAGATGGATGGAAGTTTTCATGGGTGCTATTTCTCAATTAGCAGCACTCGATTTTAGAAATAAATCACAAATGAGATTCCTAGTGCTGATGGCCAGGAAGGATCAGAGAGCTGAATAATGTGACATTATCAGGTTGTGTTCAGTATCTGAGTAAAGTTTTTGGACTCTGATTTGGGCTCTGTTGCCACCAGCAGTCTGAGCAACTGTAAAATTAAGTATTAAACTTTGGCACAACAAGTTTGAGCCTCCTCCACCCACCAGCAACAACAAAGGCAATGCAAATTAGAAATCCTGGTGTTAATAGTCTAGAGTGCAAGCTCTGGACACTTGGCATGGGTGCTTTTGTATAAAGTAACTGGCAAGTTCAGCAATGGCAGGGTGGATGTAACACTTCATCCCTGGCACAGGAAGAAGAGCCCACTCCCAGCCCCACTGTCCTGTGACCCTGTCATTGGACCTCAAACCACTTCATGAAATGGGCAGAAGGTGAAAAGCCTACACTGAACTGGCAAGCTGGACTGGTTCACCTTGCAGTCCAGTGAGCACTACAGCAAATAAAACTGAGAGAATACAACACCTTAGGAAGAAGAGGATTCCCCATTCTCTTGGCTTTAAGAGGTGGTGAGCGCCTCAGCTTATCATCTAACTGCAGTTTAAACTCTGGATCCTGTAAGAGTCACAAGATTGTGATGAAACTTAACATATGTTACCACCATCTTTCTGATGAAAGAAGAGCGTTTTAACTGAGATTATGAAGTTCAGATAAATGTTTTCCATTACCCAAAAGATGATTGCTATCTTCTAAAAATCCACTGCTTCCTGTGCAGATAGGTCATGTGCTAAGTATGTGGCAATACATATTTGCCACAATACTTTAAAACAGCAAATTTATTCCAACTGCTAAAAGAAATCTTGAACATTCATTATTAGTGTTTGCTGGTAACTTTAGTATCAAGATAAGGTACCTGTCTCAAAACTTTTGGTACCATAAAAGGTACCTTTGATATGCACTTTTTTTTGGTCGTTATTTTAATTATTTATGTTAAAACTTAGAAAGTACTGATTTTTTTTTTTTTCTTGAGCCTTGGCTTCGTATGAGGTTTCATCAATTAAATACAAAAATAAAGAGTTGCCTTCTTGTCTGAGAACAAAAAAAAAATAGGTGAAATCTGGAGTCTGTACTTCATAGGGTATACAAGGCCACCTTTCCTAAAACAACTTTTATGGAGGAAAGCAAGACAGCTTGCTTTCATGTTCTCAGAAATATGGCAAATGCTTACCTATCCACTGACTCAGTCCTCCTTTGTTTTGCAGGCTGTATCTGTCAAGTTTTCATTATATGAAGCTTAAAGAAATCCCTTCTTTCCCAGCCTCCTTGTTATATTCTCTGCTTTTATATGCTGTGCTTTTAATGGAAATGATTGATTGCATTTACTATGAGTTTACCTTAAACCTTGATTTGACACTTACACATCAAGTCTGTAAGTTCGTACAGAATTCTCAAATAGTTAACAGTGTATTCATTAAAGAGTCCCCCTTCCAAAATTATGTGTAGCTTGCTCCAGAAAAGGAGTATAGCTTTAATTTTAAATCTTAGCCAGAGATGTGTGCCTCCATATAGAGTAGCTTTCTCAGTCAAGTAAAGAAATATTCTATATATACTTCCATCATTTGAACTACAGTTACTGGGGGTTTTATCCCCCCCCTCCCTCCGCACACACTTTACACTTCCAGCAAAAAGTCTTTGAGCTAAATCACTTTTTTTCCCCCTTCACAGAATTGATGTCACTGAAGTTCAGATGACCATAACAGTGCTGCTCTTGATATCTGCCTATGCAGGACCAGGAATATGGGACTATAAGGTGGGTGTGGTAAGTGCTCAGAGTTCCTGTTGAGTATCTTATCAAGTGTTCACAGTTCCTGTAGTATTTGAAGCTGCTCTGTACTTGCTCTGCTGCAAGTACTGTCAACACCTGCTAGTTGTGTAATGTTGTTTTAGCTTACTGTAGGTTATTTTATTGTCATAGTTAATTTAGATCTATTGGTGTGACTCCCTGTGCAGAGAGCTATAGCTACATAGATGAAAAAAGACCCCATCTGCCACATATAAACTTCTGATCTGGAACTAGTATTCCACACATACTTAAGCTTTAGCAAATAGTTTTTTCTGGTTTTATATATTTTGTATATTTTATTGTAAGGCATACATTTCAGTTAGACAATTTATCTTAAAATTTAAGGATTAAATACTTCAATTTAATGAAGCTATGGGAGGAAGCCAGAGGGTTTTAATTAAGTTATCCGTATTTGTGTCGACGCAGATGTACTGATTTTTAAGAATTATGTCACAGCTTGTAAATATAAATATTTATATTTAAAGCATTGTTTTCTGTCCCAAAACTTTTCCATATCTTTGGCTTTTATTTTGATCTTTAAAGATGTACTTTAGTGGACAGTATCAAAAGATCTTCAGCTTTCTAGGGCTTTTACTCAGAAATTTATAGTTCTGATTGGTTATAGTGCAAAGAGCTGATATTTACTTTTTCATACTATTGATAACCAATAGAAATTCACCTAAATATAAACCACCAAGAAATGAAAACTAGTTCAAAAGTTTACTCAAAAATTGAGTGTTTAGCTAAACTTTTTTTTCTTTTCCCAGCCTTTTTTATTTCTATTTTCAAAAACCTTGTTTTCATGATGGAAAACAAAGTAGGTGTATTAAACTTAAATTGTGATTAATTTTTTCTATTAGAATCTGTTGCAGTTATGCTGTATCTCAAAAAACTATATATTCAAAAAATACAGTAAACTGTTTCTATTTATTATTTCTTTTTTAAATCCTCTGCTGCCTTTGGAAGTTTCCTTGAAACTGCAATTGATTCCAAAAGGTAACTTAAATTAAATTTGTGTCTGGAGACTTTTCATGATAGTCTCATTATATGCAAAGATAGAGCATACAGATTACATGCCAAAATACACAGTAGGCAGATGGTGTTTGTTTTTCCTGTGGATCAGTGTTGTTTTATCCAGTGGAATAGAAGGAATTATCCCTCTTCGTATAATGGTGATTGATGGCAGTAGTCTATGTCATGTTTTCGCTTGTGTGATGAAAATACTTGAAGAACATATTAAGGAGGAGCAGAATAAGATCTAGCTGAATTTCAAGAGCAGAACTTAAGTTCTCAGTAGTGGAGTTTAAGCATTACAAAAGATACTTGTTGTTTTCTTAGTAAGGAAACAAATTTTAACCACTGTTGTCCTGAGCTTGTTCCCAGGAAAGTGAGGGTTCAAATAAAACGTTTCATTAGTAGGTAAGAGTGGCTGCTTTAATCACTTCTTAAAGAAGGTGTTGTGTGCTTAACTTTTACTATCTTTCTCTTGTTTTGTTGTGATTTGTTGGGGTTTTTTTTGTTGTTTTGGTTTTGTTTCTTTTGTGTTCTGCTAAGGTCCCTTTGCTGGGCTTAGAACTGAAGTTCTTTGCAGTTATTGGCATCCTGTGTGGAACAGCACTATCTTTTTTCAATTACTTCCGTGTCATCTTTGGTGGAGGGGTCGGAAAGAATGGATCTACAATAGCAGTAAGTTGCTCTAAAAATTCAAATGAGGTTTGAATAATTTATGACCATAACTTATTGTGTTTCAGATGATCCATAAGGGTTTTATTTGTTCAAGCATTTAAGCAGACAGGTATGTGAGTGTTAGATGGCTAAAGCAAAGATCATTTTCTACCTTCTCTTTGCTTGTTACTGAATTTCTTCTGTCATGGGAACCAGCAGTCAATTTTCTTTAAGAATTGATTAGTGGTCACTGCAAAGGGTACTAAGAGCAGTAGCATAAGGCTTATGGATTTTGACAAGTTTTGACAACTGGCTTTGTTTAATGGGATTTGAAATATGTATAAAACCTGGACTTTACTGTGTGACTGAAGTTTAAGACAGTTTTTCCATCCCTTTATATCTTAGGGAACAAGTGTTCTTTCACCAGGCCTGCACATTGGACTGCTTATCACACTGGCCATTACAATTTATAAAAAGTCTACAACTCAACTGTTTGAAAAACATTCTTGCCTGTATGTCTTGACATTTGGGCTTGTGAATGCCAAAATCTCACAGAAGTTGGTGGTAAGTCAGTCCTAAACTTCCTAAAACTAAACTGGTTCTTGGCTTAACACTTATTGGATCAGGGGGCACAGTTTTCCCATTTTCCTTTGCTACTGTATTACCAGATTTGTGGTGATCAAGATTCTGAACTAGACTCAGAGAGATTATGTATGATGATACTGATGGAAACATGTATTTGCTATTGAATGGACTGGTTAGGACTTTCAGTTTTAACTTATTCCTAGAAATGCACTTAGTGTCTGTCATTAACATCCTAACTGTGGTCTCTTAAGCCTTACTAGCAGTGCTGTGACCTCCTTTAAGTATCTGAAATAAGAATTTACTATGATCATTAAAATGAAGAGAGAAACTTTTCCCTTTCTATTCTGTCTTTTTGGTCTTTGTATTTTTTGTACATAAAACACTCCTTAATGGATTAATAAAAAAGTTTCCTTACTACATATTTATTAACATCAGTAATCCAGCCAGATGCTTTTATTTTTTCCTCCAAGGATGACATTTATCAAACACTAGGAAACAGGTATTCTACAGACTTTCTCACTAAACAGTGAGAACAAGTGTTGCCACCTAAGAAAAGGTCTCCTTCCTAGTTAACTTTTCGCTATGGAAAGCCAAAATTAAAAAAAAAAATCATAGTATTTGTTTTCAGTAATACACTTGCATAGTCTTACCTTTTGAATAGAGTGCTGGAAAAGTAGAGAATGGGGAGCCCCTGGAGATAGCTGAACTGCACAGGTATAGATGTAACTTCCAAGAGGACATTGCTGGGCAAGAATGTGATGCCTGTTAGCTGGTAGTTACACCAATCTTGCAGGGATGCACTTTTTAATTTTTTTTTTCAAACGTAGGTGGCTCACATGACAAAAAGTGAAATTTGTCTTCAGGACTCTGCATTTATTGGGCCAGGGCTTCTGTTTTTGGACCAGTACTTCAACAGTTTCATTGATGAATATATTGTTCTGTGGATAGCATTTGTAAGTGTTCTATACTTTTTGTTTGGACCATGCTTTAAGGAATGGCTTGAGAATTGTCCCTGTCATTCTCCTCTGTCATTTCTGACTTGCTTACATTTCTGCTGTCACTGCAGAGGGAGTACCAGCCTATCAAATAAATAAGCTACTGGGAGTTGACTGGCTTGCTTTCCTTAGAACAGAGAAGTAAAAGTAAATTTATAAATCTCTCCTGAAATTATGCTTTAGTCCATATGGATTTTTTAAAGTCATTCTTTGAACTGCACACAAATGTTTTTTTTATCAGATCTTAGTGTTTAGTGCTGTTAGGATGTTGGGGGTTTGTGATGGTTTTATTTTTAATTCTAAACTAGACCACTCTGTAGCCGTATGTTACAATGATGTATTTATGTTATGCTTGTGACTTGGATAAATTCTGATTAAAGTATAGCATATTTATAGTAGGGACAATTTTTAAAAAATGGATTTTTTAACCTGTTCTGTTTTGTTCTTTTGAAGTTCATATCCTTGTTTGATATGCTGAGATATGCCAGTGGTGTGTGCCTACAGATTGCCGCTCATCTTCATATACATGTCTTCAGAATTTCATCTCATCAAGCTCCTGAGCAGGTTCAAAACCATAATGACTGATTAAATAGGTCAAGGACAAGAAGCAGTTAGGGGAATGAAGCAGCCTCTGTATTTTTAGGAAGACAGATTGAGCTTTTGAAGAAAACAGTTTTGTGAGAAAGTTCACTGTTTCAGACATTACCAGATGTTAGAATTAGTAGGTACAAAGTTCTGCAGATGCTGTTGTACTTTTGAACCAGTATGGATTTCCCTGTGTTTCACACCACAAATACTGCATTTGAAAATGTTGCCATTGACTGTTAGGTAACTTTAATTCTGTACTTCTCTTCTGATGAATGTAGATGCGAACCAAGGGTCTACCAACCAGAATTCAAAGAGGAATTTCATGTCAAATCTTGTAGCATTAGGTTTTAAAGTTTTGTTGGAACTGCTCTGCTGCTGTTGTCAGATGTACCAATGAATTCAATCCTGCATTATTAAGACTGGTAAAATGAGGCAGCCATGACCTAAAAAATCACTCAATCTCTCCTCTGGTACTTCTAAGGAACAAGCTGTTGGATCAGTAGATAAAGGAGGTACAGCTCAAGAAATTTTTTTTCTGATCCAAAATACTGTTATGAGTGCCTTTAGAATTAATGCATTCTCTAGTATCTAAGTACAAAACCTACCACATAAAACTTTAGCTTGCAATTTCTTTCAAGGCCAGTTTCTGGTTCTGTGGTCATAGTAAGGTCAGTCTCATTGTACTTTATCCTTAGCTAGACTACAGGTAGCTGTGTAAGGAGAGGATTCTAACTTGTATCTGTAAGCCTATGCAAGTTTAGGACAAAGTTCATTGATAAACTCCAATGTCTGTGGCTCCAGCACTGCAGCCCACCCTTCTGTATTTCCCTCTCTGGTCTTTTTGCTATCCTGTGTTTATTTACCTTACAGTTGATCCTATTGTCTTGTAGCTACCACTGTACTTTATCCAAACAAAAGAGCACAAAACTGAACCATAATGTAAAACTCTCCATAACAGGAACTCAGGCCCAATATCAGCTTCTCTCTACCTTTAAGAACAGACCCACTGAGTAACATAGATATATCTAATAAGAGGGCTGTTGTCATTATAGAAAAGCTGAATTAAAGTAGCTTGTTATCTGTATGAGAAAATAATTACTTGCACACAAACCCTATAAGCTAAAGCTCCTTTCAAGAGGTACTATTTGAATGTGGTTTATGTAAAAAGCTGTTGAATGTAAGTGTGCATTACTTCTTCCAGTTGCTGATATGTACCTGAGCTTCCGAGTTAATGAAGTTCTTCCTGAACTGTCCAATAAAGAATGCCATGGTTTGTTTTAAAAATACCACCACTGCAGCTTCCTACTGCTTATTAATTCAAAAATACTTCCTGAGGCATTCAAGGAACTTTTTAAGTGGTGTATTGTCTGCTGGTCTGAAGGAAATAAAATAGCATCCACCACCCTCCTGCCTAAGAGGAATATAATTATCCTTTTGAGGGATAACTGTAACAGTTACTGCCTGTTAGAGTTAGGACTAGAACTCAAGTGACTAATAACAATTCAGAATGAATCCTACTACTCATGTTTGAGGCTGCAAATCACACAGCATCTGCACATGAATTTAGCCTGAAGCCAGGCCATGGTCAAATAGAAAAGAAGATGGTAATGACCATTTTACTTTGGCTGAATAGTGTATGCAAATTAACCTCCTGATGAAGAGACACAGGTAACATCTTAAGCATGAAATGAGCAAGTTCTCCACAATGGTCAAAACTGTATCCTGGCATAGTAGGTGTAAGTAGTTTTGAGGATATGATTGAGGTATGTGGATAATAGGAAACGAATACAGAAATCACTCAGAAAGCCAGAACCATGACTCAATACTAACACACAAAACCAGAAGCAGGAGTTAATGCTAACAAATAACCTCCTTTTCAAGATCTGAAGCAGAACCTGTCACCTATTGCATAGTCTCCTGCCACTGGCCTTAGAGGGCAGAGACTCAGTAATTACAAACCAGCATTGTTACTGGTTACCCATGAGGCCCATTCAGTGTAGCAATAACTTCCATGTTTGCTCCCATAGCACTTGATCCATCAGTGTAGCAATAACTTCCATGTTTGCTCCTGTCCTGAATTCTGACAGGGGCAGAACAAGAAGTTCCATACTCGTTATGTTATAATCAAATAGGTGAAGTTGCTGCAAGGTAGCCGTCACTAATCTGGCTTCCAAACCTGGAGAACCACCATCAAATGACCTAACTCTGACCTAAAAAATGCTAGTAGGCTGAGAAGAAAAATATGGTTTTGAAACACATTATTGTGAAAACATCACATTTTGTGTGTGTGGGTGTGTGGATGGGGTTTTTTTGAATCTACTGTTGTATCAAATCAAAGCATTAAATATGTTGGCAACTGCCTAATTTATAAAAGCAGATATTCAGATGTAATGGTTTTCTATAAAAACAAACTGCATGCGCACTAAGCCAATTGTTTCGTTTATACTTTCTTACTGTAATGAGATACATGAAAGATAAATGCTTTACCCTTAAAACTCAGGCCTCCCTAAATTGCTAGTCATTTGGAATTGCAAAAATTAATATTCCATCTCAAAGGCTACAATAGCCTGTACTAAATAAATGAGGTAGATTTCTTCTAGCAGTGGGTCTACAAAAAGCAGACACCAAAATGCATAATGGTTAGTTATTGTTACTTGAGCTGATACACTAAGCTCATCATTTAACTAAAAGAAACCCATTTTCTGGACAAATTACAGAAATTTACAAATCTCTTACTAATACAGAGATAGTACAATGTCCAGACTAACAAAATAATTAGCAAAATTTAATTTACCATAATACACATAATTAAACAATTCTGAATTATGTCATACTTAGTGAATTTTTATAACAGCAGACTAAATGTTGAAACTGTAAAAATGTGCAGCTTGTTAGAAATGCTTCTATTTGCACAATGTGCCTAAAGGCCTCAAGTTATTATGAAAAGCTTGGGTAATGTATATTCATTAACTCTTCCCCTTGTTACAATTTGATATTAGAAAAAGTGAAACAATTTAAACAGTCTGTTGCTATTGGAAGTGGATATGAAATTTTTAAAAATCAGCTGAACACAGTGAATGGTTTGGGGTCCATACTGCCCCACAATAATAAAAGTTTACTAAGATAGTTTCTTACAACATGAACAGATACAAGATTAGAACAATCCAGGAAAGGGTTTAATAGGAACCTTGAAACATTTAAATCTCAACATCCTGCTAATGCTTGTACTTGTATTGTGTTACTTAGGTACAAGTTGCTCCTCCACTGAGCCATCAGAATAACATGGACTGAAGAGACTTGCGAACAGTTGCCATCTCCTGCTGTTGCTGTCACAAGAAAAGGAGATAATGCTGAACAAATGCTGTATCAATATGATTCCTTTGAATTAAATGAATGTCAAATGACTTTTAATTGAATGTTCTATTTTTGCATTTAATTAACTTCATAGATCTGATACTTACAGTGTCCATCATAATTTTTTTCTGCAACATTGCCATTTCCTTGCGAAGCTCATTTTGGGCACCAGCCAGAAGATTTTCATTGCTCTTCTCCAGCTCTTCCAAGCTCTGAAGTTAAAGATAATATCAATTCAGAACTCCTCAATGTCAAGCAGTTAATTTTAAACAACCAAACAATAATAATTCATACTACAATTTAATTTTTACAGTGATCACAGATAATTGATGAGTTTGTCACAAACTTGGCAGAGGAATCATCCAGGACTTCATACTCCAGTCTACATTCCTATTTAAGCAGTATGTACCCTGGGAAGAAGACAGAACCCTCCAGTCTGCCTCTGTGAGGTCTCAGCTAATTTTTCTGCGTTTCAATTAAGATAAAAATCCTACAAGAGATCGAACCAGACATCTGTCAGGAATTCTAGGGGTTCAGTATTATGACAGCCTTGTGGAACTTGAAGTGAGGAGTGTAAACCCCATTGTGTTTCTTTGCACACTTCTCCCCAAATAAGCCAAATAAAACTCTCTGGTTATTGTCCCTTTTTTTGCATACAATTACACTTACCTCTGCGTATGTGTCTAGTTACATTTTCCTTAATTTGTATTTATTTAAGCTTATTTGAACTTTGACTTCTACCTTTTGATACTCTTTGAGAAGAAAAATCAAAGGAATACTTGACCTTCTGTTCAGTTTTTCTTCTTTGATGAAGAGATTTTGACATTTTGGAATAGTTATTATTTATTAATGCTTCTGTAATATACTCAGTAAATTCTCACTATTTTAAACTAAGAGATGCTCCATTTCAGATTTATTTTTATCAACTACCAGGTTTGGAAAAACCCAAACCAAACACCAAGGTTATCATAACTGAGATTTCAAAACCAGCTAGAAAATGACTTGAACTGAAATTAAGGTTTGTCAGAACTGATGGATTTGAATCTGCCCTGTATACTGGGGGCTGTGCAACTGGTGAACCTGGAGTGCTGGGTCCAGTTCAGACTCCCGAGGACAAGAGAGACACAGACATACAGGATAGATTCCCACAAAGGGTCATCAAGATGATTAAGGCACAGAAGAGTTTTCTCTTGTGAAGAATGCCTTTAAATAAAAAAGTAAAATTTTTGTGTAGTGGTACTCAAAACAGTTTTTTTGCTTGCTAATATATTAGTTACTTTGTTAAAGAAATACCAAACAACTTGAAACACTGAATTAGTATAGCTTTCTTAAGTGATACAAGGATCATAAACTGCTTTCCAAAAAAAATTTACCTTTAAGAATTGCTCGTAGAGTTGCTTAATGGTTTTCAGTCTCTGACTTTGAACTATTCTTGCCTGTTGAAAAACTTTTTGTTGCTGACGAAGCATATTCTGAAGCAGAAGCAAAAGAAAAACATAATTACATCAGTTGTTAAGTAGAGTGCTTGGACAGGACAGTAGTTCATTTTTCAGAATCAGAAAATGTGCCTTTATTGGAAATCTGTGCCTTGTAATGTGGATCTCTCTCTGGAGAAGTTACCCTGGCTTTTATTAATGGAAGTAAGACTGAAGACTGGATTAAGCCCCACATCACCTCTTGAGGTCTCTTGCAACCTGAATTATCCCTGTAAAATTCCATGAGAATTGCTATGCCCCACAGCTTCTTAGGGTATCCCAGAGGAATGTGCTACCTAGGGAAAAGCAAACCTTGCAAATGTGTTGGAAATACAAACACAGCAACAGCACAGGATTACATTCCATTGTATAGCTCCTATCCTCTTTAAGGAATGTATGCTAAAAGAACTACTTTCCTTAAAATTCCTTTGTTCCCTGAGACTATGGATGGAGAGAAACAGCACATGTCTTTCTTCTGCTTAAATGGTTCTTGCTTTTCTCAAGCCATATGCTGACCTAGGGCACCATTTAACAGTGTTTATAAACTTGCAATAAAGTTTATAAATGCACCTCTCTTCCCAAACTTAAACAATCACATATTTATGTTTAAACTACATAAAGTGTTTTTACATTTCTTGAGTATTGAAAGAACAGTGTTTTCCTCCTTGTGGAAAATACAGTGAAACTCACAGCATGCTGGAAACTCACCCCTAGTTTTTCTTCCTGCTCCTCTGCTTTTTGCACATCTACATCCCATTGCTGAAATAAAGTCAGGAACTGCTGGGAGAACTCATGATTGAGCTTCTGCCTACAAACAGACACTGTCTGTAAGTATGACAAATGCTACAGGTAATTACAAGGAAAGCTAAGGTTCAACATACACGTGGAATAGAAGAAAAGCTGGCATAGATAAAGAAATGGGCTATTTTAACATCTGATCCCATTTAAGTAATGTATGTTTTGAAAAACTGAACACACACATACACTGAGTGGATGTGGAATAGATCTATAGAGACAGCACTCCCATAAAATACTGGTTAAAAAGAAATTGTAACAACTCTTCCTAACATTGTCAGGTTTTCTGAGATTTACTATGTTTTTCTAATTCAATTAAAGATGGTGACTTTAACACAAGGTGTTTATTTTGCAAAACTGATAAGCTCATTTCTTAAAATTTTGTCCGTACAACTTTCAAATACAAATAAATGTAGAACAACATCAAGGCAGTTAAAAGTATTGCTCACTTTTTAGCTGTCTCCTTTTTCACATTGATATCTCTGGTATCTGATTTAGTAATTAAATATGCCTTAAGAGGGGTGAGGAATGTTAAGCACGGTGAAAACTATTTACTTTCTTAACCAGAATGGTATTAAAGTTTTACTGAACATTTTGAGATTTCAGGTAGAAACAGAAAATTCCAAAGTGGGAAAAACTGCCCCACATTGTTTTAAAATATGTAATAACATCAAAGGTCACTTGCCATAAAGATAAAAGTAAGCCCCGCTCTTTAACGTACCTTGCTCTCAGAGTTCCAAATCCTAAATTTATCTGTTCAAAAGAGAATGAGTTAAACTATTTCTGTCAGATTAACAAAGTAGACACAACAGGAGGCAGCAGAGGCCCTGAGCAGATATTTAACATTAGATACAGTACTTGCTATTACAAGGTGACAGACCAGCTATCCATTCTGTGACCCAGGTCACAGAGTCTAGCTCCACAGGCTTAAAAACCAAGAGAAAAGCTCACCTTTGCTCCTGCTGTGTTTTCCAAACATGTTCAATCTTTTGGTTACTGGTTTTCAGTGAGGCTTTTGTATACATTTCTAATCGTTTCCTCTTGGCTAAGAGAGCCTTGTTAATGTCAGCTGAAAGCCACGGAATATTTAGAAATTAGGCATACTGGATACATTGTGTCACATACTAAAAAGGCTGATGAGTTACACTTTGGAGAAGCAAATTAGGTGTATTCTAGCAACAAGAAGCTCCTGTGATCTGAACTGATGTGGTGAATGTCCCTCAGCCTGCTGGTGGCACTGGCGTGAACGTTGCTTCCTTATGCCCCTCACATGCCCTAACCAACACCTGTTTCAGAGTCATATGCAAATTTCTTGAATTGCAGAAATAAATTAAGGTTAGTATGTGGTTACTATCCCTGTAAGCATACTTAATGAATGAACAACTATTTTTATACTTCAGAGAGACAGTACTTTTTATGTATTAATGTAAGTTACTGTATTTGTTTCACTTCAGTTTACATTTGGAGATTTATCAAGTCACAGCTTGAGATTAATACAGTAATTTATTTTCCTGCTCACTGTAGATTTCAGGAAACATCTGTCAAACTTCTCTAATTTGCTGAGGCATCTGTCTCTGCTAATGCCAAACCTACAGTTTTGTGCAGGCAGCATCCTCTCTGATCCATTCATTTTCCCTCCTTCTATCCTTCCTTTCTTTCCTTTCTTGAGTCTTAAATTACACGCAGTTGTAACTTTTTAGCATTGAAATCCCCTTCTTATCTGAATTTCCAGATCTGTAATTCTAATATGTAATACAAAATATGTAATTTTATGACAGCCAAAAGTCCTATTTGGGGATTAAGGAGTTACTCAAGTTCCTCTTTCACCTTAAATTTGACATGCAAGTAATGACCCTGTACAGGTTTCTTTTATTACATACAATGAAAGTATTATTCAGCTATTGAGTGTGTAATGCTGGCATTAAAATTGTTTCCCTTCCTTCCATGGCTTTTTGATGTGTGCTTATTCTGTGATAGGTATTGTACATTCTTTACAAATGTTAAAAGTTTTTTTTTTCTCCATCTCTAGTTTAACTAGGTAAAGTCACCTGAGGATCTGATTATGACTATACTAAATCCTGCTAAGTGACACACACAAATTGCTCATCACTGGATGACTGGTATTACTTACCCCCCTTATCTAGCTGTTCTAGAAACTCATGTTCCTTTTGACTGCTGAAATTCTCTTACCTGCTGATTCCCTGTTCTCTAGATTCCTGGAAGTACAGACTGCTCTCTCATTCTGTATCACAACTAAACTCTACTTCCAAAATTGCTTATCTAGAATTAGAACTGCTGCTGCTTATATTAACATTTACATTTCCCTTATTTCTCACTTTTGCCATCCCCAGTATCCTCTATGTCAGTGTAACAAAAAATTAGAACTGTTTGTTCTCTTTTGCTGCTTATATTAACATTTATATTTCCCTTATTTCTCACTTTTGCCATCCCCAGTATCCTCTATGTCAGTGTAACAAAAAATTGAGTGAGACCAACAGCAAACTGCTGTCGTCCCTTTTCTCTACAATATATTAATTACCTCTTAGACTTCATCTTAAAATTTGAATTGATTATCCAAAGCACTCATGCATCTTTCCCTTTTCCTTTGTAATTATCTACACTTACAAGCTGTGACTCATTTATATGCAGTTATTCCCTCCTCTTCTTTCCCTTTGCTCTCCTTAGATATAACTTTTTTTTCCCTGAAAACTGGCTTTATTCAGAAATGCTGAAAAGTACTACAGAGACTAGTCATTTTACATAAGTCTTGAAAGTTATTTTATGGTGAGTTATTACTGCCAACTCTGCAACTATTTTTTTATTTATTAGAATGCAAATGTACTTACCTCCAAATCTCTCCAACATATTCTGGACTTCACCCCTACAAAATAGTGTTTCAAATTTTTACTTGCCCATTTTCTGACTTCAGACCTGTTGAATATGCTTAGAACTAATTTTATCCACATGCCTGTTACGTCTAAGAAGAAGTAGAACTGCCACTGCCATAAAAAAAAATAATTTTACTCCTTTTCTCCTCTTATAAGATGTTTCTTTTTCAGACTAATTTGCTTAAAAAAAAAAAGGTAGAATCTATTAGCTGACTCTCCACTAAAGAGGCACTATTAGGTACTTAATGGTTGAGTAAGGGCAGTCAGTAAATTGATTATTCCCTATGACAAAGAAAACAGAATGGGTATTTGGAACACCAAATGAAAACTAATGCATCTCAGTTATCATGACTGGCACAGTAAAAAATCCCAAGGCAAATAATTTCAGGGTTGTTTTTACAGCATCTTTAAGATGGTAACACCAATGTGTAAGGTAGTGTTACAAAAAAGTAAAAACAGTGTATTCAAACTAACAGTTATAATCTGCTTGAAAACTTTTAGCATGTATTTTTTTATTACATTTACATTGTCCATGAATATGAAATCTGGTAAGATTTATCTGTAAAATAAATTCTTTTTCATGCAACATGTGGATTGTTTAAAGTATTGGTAATATCTTCAAGCAACTAAAATGAGAAGAAAAAAATTAAGAGAATTTAATGACATTACCAACAATTTAGGATAAAAAAGTAATCTTGTAAAAGAAATTTTAAGAACAAATATATAAATTTCTTCTGCATGTTCAAAAGAAACTAAAGAATTACTGTTTACATTTTTTTCTGTCACTTGATTTTTTTAGTCACATACTAAAAAAATCCCCAAACCAAACTCAAACAAAGCAAAAATAAGCATAGTGAATAACTGAAGTTGGTATCTATTTAAGATCAACTTATTTTGGAAAAAGCCCCCAAACATCTAACCTTACCCCACATCATCTGGAACCACATGAGTAGTCACCAGAGGTCTTTTCTTTCCATGCTTGTCCATTACTGGTATGTCACCTTAAGAAGGAGTATAGAAATACTTACAAAAATACATTTTTTGTTGGTTGTTTGAGTTATAAAAAGTGTAATTACTTTTCTGTAATGCCATTTCCCTGACCATGCCTCATGGTCAGTTCCCATCAGTAACACAGGCAGCTCCTATAACTCTGAGTCTGAAGCTGACAGATGGTGGTGAATTATTCTGAAAGACCAGAATGGAGCTGGCACTGCTTTGAGTTCTCTACCCTGCTCCCAGATAGTTTTACTTTCTCTGTCCACTATTGCACCATTACTCACAACCCTCAATATAGCAATCATCAGAAAGCTAAGAATAACATAAATTTTAAAAGTCCAATCTGAATTTTACTGTAAAAAAGGTACTAAAATTCTGTACCTTTAGAAAAAAAATCAGAGATATTTATATGATTTTGAAAATTACCAATCAAAACTACACAGTAGGAGCCTGGTGGTCTTTGGCACTACAAATCATGCTGTGCTCAGTCCCTGGCTGAGTCACTTCTTCCCTTGTTTTCATAGTAACAAATGTGATAAAATTCACGTTTTACAAATGTCCTAAAAAAATCATATAGGCACCTTCTCTAATATCTTCCTCTGATCCACTCAGTTCTTTTCTTTCCTCCTCAAAGTCAAAAGTAGGTATGGTCTGATCGTCCTGTGCTGGTTTACCAGTTTTTCCTCCATGCTTTCTTCCCGATGGTGCCATGGTGAGATCTTTTCCTACTGAAACAGTATATTGTGTTTGTGACATAACTTCCTCCACAATAAATTGAAAATATGTTTTCATGCTTACATGGACCTATTATAGATATCTCTTTGTAACAGACTGCACCTGTAAAGATATGCAAGCAGTCAAACTCGTTTAGTTTTGAGGTATTCCACAGCATTACCCATCAGTGATGCTTTTAAAAGCATGCTAAAAAATGCCAGGGCTATTAGGAACGTACTTAATTCTGCTGGAAAAAAACAATACAAATAATCTGTTTTATTAAGATGTCTGCCAGCTTAGCTTCCATAAGGTTTATTACACATTTTGTCATGTCCAGCACGGCATTCCCCAAAAGCTATGCCAATAGTTGTCCAAAAAAGAGAAATGCTAAATCACAGAGAACAATGTGATTCTACAAGACATCCCACACTGTAAAGTATACATATGCTTACTGTAAATATAAATATGCTTATGCCATTTTTTAAAGTCCTGAGCAACTTCCAGGTTCCGATTTATCTTTCTTTATAGCTATTATACCTCTGCATTCTGTAACATAAGTAATGCCATTTCTACACTGGCAAACATTATACAGATAGACTACTCTTTAAAAAATTATTCATTTATTTACTTTAGTAAACCTCTCATTCTAGACACAATCCAACACTGCTAAAAATAGCAATAGGTTTTCCACTAGCCAGGGCAGAGACAGAACTAAAAATTAAGTTCACACATGGAAATGGAGAACTCCATTAAAGATCTTTTTAATTTCAAGGACTGTGAGGTCCCCCCAATATTATCAACTCTCACACCTCAGTTTACTATTTATGTTTTGGTTGTTGGGTTTTTTTTTGTTATTTGTCAATAGCTGTGAAAATGTTTTTTAATTCCAAATTCCGTGGGTCTGTACAAACATAGCCACGCTATGCTAAGGGAAGAGTACTTTTTAATACCGAGCTTTTCCTGAGGTTGATGTTTCTCTTCATAGTATGTAGAATTTTAGATTTTACAAGTGTCTTGAAAAACAAGTGTCTTAACTGACTGGAAAATCAAAAGCCTTTGCATTAGAATTATCCTCAAATGAGAGAAAAATGCTAAGACTTAATCTGCTTTTTGACTACTGCCTGTTGAGGACGATGTAAAGGAGGAGAGTGCTGGTCCATAGTGTCTGGCTGTGCCTGTCCCTGTGCTGCTAAGACACTTTAATTTTGAACTGCAAGCATCTATTTTATCTGACATACACTTTCCTTCGTGCTAAAACTCAGTTTACAAAGTAGAACTTGTCAGTCCCCCTCAGCCAGGTGTAAAACAATCCTGCCACCTCACAAGCCCAAGCAGCCCCCACCCATCCCGTGCAGGTACCGATCTACCGTGTTTTAGCCGATCTGAGCGTCTTCAATCCACAGCTGCGTATTTTAACGGGGACTTTTAGAAAAACTCACCTCTTTGTTTCCGCCCTGCCCCGAAAAGACACTAAACAAAACCGGTGCTTGTGTGAATTTCTTTCCTGTGCGGGGCTTTTCACTGCGGGGACGCACCTCAGAGCAGCAAGGGAGCCTTGGCCGCTCAGCCTGAGGGGACGCGCCGGGGCAGGGACGGCGCTGCCCGCACCGGCCCCGCAGCAGAGCCCCGGTCCCGCCCGCACCAGAGCCCCGGCCCCGCCCGCACCAGAGCCCCGGCCCTGCCCGCACCAGAGCCCCGGCCGGCGGTCCCGGTCCCGCTGCCGCCCTCACGGCGCTCCCGCTGCCGGGAAAGGGCGGGAACGGGCGCGGCGCCGCCGCCCTCAGGAGCGGGGCCGGGCACCGCCTGCGCATCCTCGAAAGTTTCATCCCGCTTTGAGAACGGAGCCGTGCTTCAAATTACTATTAAATCATTAAAGCTGCAAGGTTTTTTACAGAAAATATAAGAACTTTTGGCGTAAAGACTCATATAGATTCCTGGCTAATTTACGAAATTGTGTGAGCTTTGGTTGGCTTTGAAACAGAAACAGCAGACGAAACTTTCATCACATTTTAGTTAACTCCAAAGCAAGCCAAGTATCTTACAATACATATGCACATACATTTTGTACATCATCCGATTACAAAAATTAATGCTTTTTGAATACTGCTAATACAATTAAGTGAAGATACACCATCAAAATTTTATGCTTGAAAAGATTCAGTACCCTTTCCCACATAAAACCACACTATTCCCATATCTCAGCAAAATACAGGGCCAAATCCTGTGAAATTTAAAAACACCACAGCATTGTATGTCAGTACAAATATTGTTTTATGAAGTGAAACACTGCTCCCCATACTTTTCTATTTTGTTTGTTACCCATTCATACAGAGGCACTTTTGCTTTTTGATTTACAATGCTTGTAAAATATTCTAACTTTATCATTTTCCTTTGATTACAATCCTCTGTAATCAAGCCAGGAAATAACACCATTTCTTTCTGTATTCTTTGGACTATAATACACCACATATAAAACATCTTTGAAATAAACCATTAGATGTTGTTACTGTGTAATTTTTTAGTAGCATACCTTTCTTTCAAATCCCAATTATACACTACAAATAGAGAGATGAATTGTCACTGTGCTTTAAAGAATGTCAACATCTATAAATGTATTCTAAATTTAAATGACAAGTTACATAATTCTCAATTTTCCCTGGAGGGCTAAAAAAGCAGCAATGACAGAAATTTGCAAAATGCTTTGGAATGCAAGATCAAGGACTTCTTACGCTGATCCCAAACAACTTTTCCTTCCAACATTTTATCTAGTTGGCAACATCCACTGCAATAAATGCAGTTACATTTATTTAGGTAACCCTTTTTATAAAAAAGGATAACATGGCCATGAACTAAGAGTTGTAAAGTAAGATCTGTTGAAAACTGCCTATGTACAGGTGTCCTGCAATTATCTTTTGTTGTTATTTTGCATTGTCACAGCTCCAGCAGCTTTTATATCATGAAGAGTACTGCAGAGATTTGAATGTAGGTGCATGATTTTTTTTCTTCATATCAATGTAGTTAAACAGCAAACCAGAAAAGACACTTATGAAAGAGACATTTAAAATGCTTAATCACAGTTTGAGGTAGACTGATCTCCAAAATAAAGCTCTTCTACACTTTGATTCGTTCATGACCAACTTCTTTTTGGATCCTTCTCCTTGGAAAAATCTTTCGTTTAAGTGCAATTAGCTGAGGAGAGAAAAAAATACAATATGTAGTTCTCTGCTGGACTAAAGGTCCACAGCTGGTCAGGTTTTCATCCTACAGACTATCAAATCTGTACCACCCATGGTAAATACTCAGTACTGAACTTTTTTTTCAGATTATGCCAGAAAGTCATTTTTTACTCCAATTCATCTATTAGATGTGCACATTTCCACTAGACTTCTCAATAATCAGAATACAAGCAGAAAGTGAAAAAATACACCATCTCTTTATTCTGATTATCTTAAAGGTAATTTATGTATTTAAATTAACACCAGGCTACATTCTATTTTTAAAAGATCAGCACAAAGCTGACATCTTAAAATGGTACTTAGATTCCTAACTGTACCACTGAGTTGAGTATCCCCTTCCAAAACCAAATTGCTAATGGAGTTTTCTAATATATATATAAAAGGCTGAAAATCGAGGGATAGAGTCATGCAAAAGTCACAGGTGGGAAAAAATAATAATCAAAAGCCAACCTTTCAAGAATTACACCCTCTTCATCAGACCACGGAAAGTGTAACTTAAGGCCCCAACCTGCAAAGAATTACCCATATGATTTGTTCCATTGACTCCCTCTGAGTTTAGCAGGACTAATCATGTTCAAGAAAGCCATTTTAAGCTTGCAGAAGTCAAAGGTTTTTTTCTGTTGAGTCAGATTCAAAACCTTTTGAATTCAGTAGGAGCCTTTGCAATTTACTTATGGAAGAGATTTTGATAAGGCCTTTAAGTAACTTAAGATCCCCTTCTGCACTCATTTTCCTTCCTCTTAACTTACTATACACTTCTACAATATCCATGTTAACAGACCAAGAGTTTCAAAAATTTAGCACAGTGCTGATGGCTTCACTGTCACAAGACACCTGAGAAGGTGCCACTCTTCTCCTCCCCATATAACTCTATTTTCAAAGAAGCTCAACATGGTGTCTTAAAAATTAAAGCAACCTAATCATGAGTCATGTAACATCTTTACTTCTTTTAAGAAGGGAAAATCCTAGCTACTCTTCAAAACCTATTTTAAAAATCCATCCAATGTTATCCTGAAGATTCCATAATCTGTTAAGTGTTATATATATTTGATAAGACATTAACTTTACCTGTTCAGCAAAAAATGAGACGACTGTAAATAGAATAAGTGTTATTAGAACACAGTGGGTCCAGAATTTGAGCTTGTCTCTATATGCCCTCCTGGACAAAGAAAGAAGGAAACAGAAAAACAGCTTCATATACCATAAATTCAAATATTTAAAGAGTTTCCATAAAACATACAAAGAAAGTTTTTTTCAGTTCTTAAAGGGTGACTAAAATGAGGACACAGGCTCTCTCTTTACAAAGAGCCACATAGAGAGGACAAGGGGCAACAGCTACAAGTTGGACTGGGAGAGGCTTCATCTTGATATAAGGAAATCTTTTTTACAGTCAAAACAGTAATTTCCAGAGCAGTCTCCCCAGAGGCTGGATAGAGTCTGCACCACTGGAAGTTTCCAAGATATGACTGCTCAGGGTGCTAGATCATAGGATCTTAAGTTAGAAATTCCCTCAAAGACCAAGTCTAACTGTTAAGCTAACACTGCCAAGTCCATACCTAAACTACATCCCCAAGTGCCACACCTACTTGTGGCAGCTGTGGTTTTGCAGTCACACTATCTCCTTTTTGACCAAACTGCAATTCCCTTATGTGCTACAGTTATATACCTGTAGCCAGAACACTTGAGAGCTGGCAGGTGGTAGTGTCATCTAAGTACCTTTTCCCATTAAATGTTGGGCCAGATAATTTTCAAGGTCCCTGCCAACCTGGGCTGTCCTGCGATTCTGAAAATACTTTGATTTCCACTAGCACTTTAGCCTGCCTTAACGCACCCTGGTAGAATCATCTTGGGCTACAAACAAGACAAAGTGTCTTTTTGAAGCTATGAAAAGACTTGATGGAGGATCTCTTAAAGGGAGCCAATACTGTGTCTATTTCTCCAGCACAAATTTCTAAAGCTAACTGCTGAAATGGGTTCGGCCCCTGCTCCCTCCACCACTAGTACAGCAGGGCTTGTAGCACTACAATTATGCCTACAATCCTGATTCCTTCTAGAGTTCTTCTAATGCTTTCTATTTTCTTATTAACAGCTATTTCTCATGATTTGCTGATCAGCAACAGGATTGCTTATATTAGTCTTGTGTCATTTTTGTCACTGTATCTGTCAACGTTTTGCTTGTCAACTACTCCAATTTCTTCAGTTGTTATTTATAAAATGGCAAGAGATAAACACTCACAAAAATTTCACATATTATACAAAAACGAGACACACATATCTTTTCTGATTTTTATCTAGATGGTTATTGCTATGTGATGGATTAAAAAAATCACGTCAGAAATGTAACAATGGTTTGGGGCTTTTTTACATTTAAAGAAAGCTAGAATTCCTGTTTTATTTTTTAAAAAACCAAACAAAAGAACAAACCAACAACTGTTGTTTGCAGTAGGTTAGTAACAATTGATAAAATACTGATGAGCATTTAAGCACTGGAAAAGCCCAAATTCTGCAGACTTCATATTTTAGTCCATTAAAATCTCACCACGCTATTTTCACTGTTAACTCTTTCATGACAATACTGGAGGAAAATCAGCTTGTTAGCAGTATTTTAGGTAATTATATATTACTGCACTACAGTAACTTGAAAAGAACTTGTGGAACATACCATTCTTGGAGCTCATGCATGTGAAGGAAACGATTCCGATATTCTCTTGGCAGTTCAAATTGGGAAGGGATGGGAAACATCGACTCATAAAAATCCCTAAGCACTGCTTTCACTGTTTGCGCATCCTTATGATTGTGATCAATATTGTCATTTAGGCAAACAAATTTTCTAGGAAACAAGATGAAATTGTTAGAATATTTCCTTGATAATATGGGAAAGGTATTGCCAAACAAATAACATAAACATAATCCTTTAAAACAAAATTGAAACCGTATCATTTTTAAACCAAACAGGAGTTTTTTATTGTTGCATTATTTAAAACTAATTTTATTTTAATTCTAAGAGCACTAGGATTGTCAGCAAGTCAAAACCTCAGAAGAATCCAGTGACAGGCCACATTTCTAGTTATATAATGCTGCCATCTAACGGGCACTAGAGTGTGCACCATCCCATTGAACAGTCCATTGAACACAGCATTAAAATCTGGGTAAGGATTTTTATATTTATCATGAGCAAAGTCTCTTAAATAACAAAGTGAGCTTCACTGTAGGAGGGAAACATACTAAATTATTACTATTTTAGTGTGTATGCTGAATTCTTTATAGAAAATCAGCATTAAAACTATATTGTATAGTATAAGACAGGGCAAAGCTTGGTCCCTAGGTTTTGGTTTACTGAGAACATTATATAAATTAGTCTGTTAAGTCACAGACTCAAAGCTGGACCTGTATAACCAACCAAAAAAAACCAAAAAATCAACAATTTGGATAGAATTTACATGGAAATCACTGTGACTAAATAAGCACGCTCCCAATAATGGCTCCTGCAGAGAGCTACTTCTCACATAAAAAACATGGAACTAAGTTACTGCAAAAAACTGACACTAAAGCATCAGCTAGTGTGCTAAACTGCTATGTCCTCTTGGCCATTCTGACCTGGTGCTTGACAACAAAATTCCCCTTCCCACATTTGGGCAAGGTTATGTGCTTTATTTATATTGTGAGATACAAGAGCCTATATTTTCCCCGGAGGCAGAAATCATATCTGATGACATATGCCTTGTCATTGCTAACCTTTGTAAATAAGCAGTTCTGGTCAGCTGTATTCTCTATAGTATGGTGTGCTCCCCCAAAGAGCAAAGTTCAGACTTCTACAAGAATCTGGAAATAAGCAGAACTCTGGAGCTTGTCTATCAGCCCACACAGGGAATTAGCAGTGAATGGCAACACATTGCATCTGGCATAATTGGTAATACACTGCATCTAGCATAATTGGTAACCTTGCTCTAGACAATTATGTGCAGGGCATAACCAGGCATTCAAATTGCTACATCTGAGAAGGAAAAATATGCCTCTCCAAAAACGAGCAGGCTGTATCTCCTGTATCAAGTAATGCTATGCAAAGCAGCTGGTTATGGCAATCATGGTTACACTCTAAGCATTTTGGGAGTTAACTCTGGACTGTCCCTGACCTCATCCCTTGGACTGGCAGCTCATTAGTCCTAGGAATGCAGTAGCTGTATTCCTAGAGTGTATATTCCTGCTTAGCTTCATGGAATAGAGATACAGCTTACAGATTGAGAGGTTGCTGCACGCAGCAAAGTACAGGATTGATGAGGATATTAGCTCATTTCTAATAGAAAGACTGTTTAAATTCATCCCAAAGAAACCAAAAATTACATTCCTTTGGATATTCCAGAAATAATGCCTAGACAATTAATGCTCACTTTGCCTTAAGGGTGCAAACCAAACATTCCTGGGAGATCAGTAAGTGAATGAGACTTTCAGTTCATTCCAAGACAGGCACTAAAAACCTGTTTTTGGAGACTGGTTATAATTACTGGTTTGTATGCAAATAAAACATGGTAAAGAGAAGGAATGGCATGCCTACATAACTGTGCCAGATCTCCTTTGTTAACAAGATATGACTACAGTACTGCACTGTACTTCACAGGAATGGAGCCCAGGTAATCGACTCCTCACTTTGTGAACACTGAAGGTGAGAAACTTACGTTACTCAGGCCTCTCTGAGCCTAACAAGAAAAAAAAACCCTCATAGCCAGCAGACAAAGAAATAGAGAAGGAAAAGGAAGCAGCAGGACGAGCTAGAGCACTGCCTACTTTTCTTTTAAAATGGATCATTGTGGCTACTGGAAAATAGGAGTTATGTGGCCAGAAGGCACTCTTTGAAATAATAGCAATATATACAAACCACCTTCAGCTGTAAAATGCCTCAAGACTACCTTTCCGCTTTCTGAATAAATAACCCAGCAAAAGTGTTGAGAGGAAAGTATAAATCTACTCTTTATCTACAAATACAAATCATGCTATAGCTTTACAGGCAGCTGAGATCACCCAACAGCTTTCTCTGACCAAAAGAGGAGGCTTCACTTTCCCTGGCCCAAGGTACCTGGTTCTACTTTCCTCCTTGCTCTGCCTTTTGACACTTGTCAGACCTCTTCTTGCAGCCAAACTCATTAAACTGGCAGAAAACTCTGGTTTTCTGAAGACAGAAGCAAGATTCTTTCCATGTAGTAAAAGAGCTTGAAAGCACAATGAATATGCAAAACTGATTTAGTAACAAAATAATCCATACCTAACTCCTAGCATAAAATACCTGCATAAAGCAGGTCAAAAAGTTCTTCCTTTAAAATAAAATTGCCTGCAATATAAACTGTATGCCTTCTAGAACAGCAAAAATGGAAGCTTCAAAAATAGTTGAAGTTTCTAAATTTTTGAAGATTTTAGATAAATAAAAAAGTAACAAATTATTGAGATAGCCCCTGGCATAACAGAGGGAGGAGGCAGCTTCAGTCAAACAGAAAAAATCAGAAATACTTTTGGTTCAAATTTGTCTTACCCTGGAACACACAGTTTAGAAATACATGATAATAAATTATCTTTTAAATACAAAAAAAAAGTTCAAAGACTCAAACCAGAAAATTAAAACCATCTCACAGCTTCACACAAATCACAGAACAGGATACCTGGGATTTTTTCGTATGTCATCCAGCTGACCAACTACGTGAGAAACATTTGTGCGAATCATTTTGAAGGCAATTTCCTCTTCTCCCATGATTTCAAACCTTATTGTTGAAATAATATTTATTTATTAATAAAACAGCCTAAAGTTTGGCTCAATGAATATCAATCTCATATTTAACATTATTGAGCAACATTTCTAATCTGATTGGCCAACCTTCATTAAAATTTGCCATTTACTTTCTATTGAGACATTTAAATTTTTCAGCTAATGCTCTTACACAGAACACTTCTCTATCAATCATTAGTAGCCACCTATCAATCATAGATCTGAATTCTAAGAGAAAGCATATAAAATAAAAACATTTGACTCCAGGTAAACAGTCTTACTAGTTGTAGGTAACACACTTATATTTTTCACTTCACTTATCTAAATAGAAGAAAGCACCCTGAAGGCTTCTTCAAGTCTCACCAGAGACTCTCCTGCAATTACAAAGCTCATGCCACTGTCACTCCTACATCTCATAGGAAAGGTACAAGGTAGTTAAAACTAAAATGCTTTTTGTGGGTTTTTTTAAGCATTAGTAGAAGGAAGGATGAAGTAGATGTGCAACTTCTAGGTACAGGAAGACTGTTTACTTCTTTGTATGCCACTTGAACTTCACTCACTCTCTAGCCATCCAAACATACTCTGGCTTGCTGTTGTACAATATAAATGAGTAAATGGCCCAAGATGACACAAGTAACATGGAATTATTTAATCCACTAAGCAAACTATGAAAAAACCCACGTCATTCTGCACAATGAAATACACATAAGTTAACAACAGTATGTTTCTTTAGTTCCACTGTTAAAATGGTGTTGAGCTAAGACTTGCTAGCTAGACGTGCAATCTTGGGTTACGTGTGTATATGTCCCTCCTCCTATGCCTTTACAACACTAAGCATCTCTTTCCACAGGACTGCCACAACATACCTGTATTTGTTTTTGTCCTTGTAAGCCTTACGAATCCTGTCAGTTACAGGTTTGCAATTGGTCACTAGGTTTTTGGTTACTGGAGGCTGGAAGAAAACACTGTTTAGATTATAGGTTACTGAAAATCACAGAGTGTTTTAAAAGTGTACTTTGTAAGAAAACTTGTATTACAGCTAGAGTGGCCTGCATACTTTACTCTCCTGGAATCAAAAGCAATAGTTTTATCATAGTAGTTATCATCTATGGAGGGAAAAAACAAAACAATATTGGTACATAACATCATAATTTCCTATTTTACAAATCATTTTTCAGCAAAACCACTGCAACTTCATTCTCAGTAAAATACTCAAAAATTCTAACTAACTTGACAGCTGCCTAATAGTCCTCTGATAAAGGCCACCAGTAAAACTGGCCAGGCAATCTCTGTACAGCAGAGAGTTTTGGATTTTAGGGTGTTTCTTGAATACATGGGTTATAATTCAGATAAAGACTTATCAGACAGTTCTAGTCAGAAAGGTATTTGGCTTACTGTCTTTTCGGTTCATAACAGTAAATTTTCTGAACAAGGATGATTTTTTAAATCCCAATTATAATAACAGCCTAAATCTCAGCTTTCCTCTGCTTTTAAAGAAAATTAAGGGTTAGTAAGTTAGGAAGCAGCCTGTAAAATTTTAATTTTGTAGCACTCACTTCATGTACATACAAAGTAGTGATTTTTGTAAATACTTTCCTTCTAGAAATCAAACCAGCTTTTGAAGTAAAGACATACTCAGGAATGAAAATAAGCATATTTTAAGATCAATGCATCTTACCAGATTTGGATCATAATATGCTTCCTGAGTTGGAGGAATAACATGGATCTGAGTGATGTTGGCAGGGAGAGCCTTAGAGCAATTTATTAGCATTTGTTCTAGACCCGTCAAATCCTAGCAGAAAGAAAGGTGGAAAAAAATCTATTTAAAGTCCTACTGATTTTCGCACTGACATAGATCTAAAAATTCAAGGTGCACAAATGTATTTAATGTTATCAACATAACAAACTTCCGTGCTACAGTCCACAGAAGTAGACTTAATATTCAACAGACCCCATTTCAGTAACTGCTAAGTCAGTGAGACTCCCTAAAAGGTAAAGCAAATGCTCAATACAGAGTTTAATTAGGACCTGATAAGGTATGACAATGTTATTTTCATTTAAAATTAAAAGCACACCTTTTCTACTAATGTCAGGACAGTAAAGAGTTCCCAAATCAACACTAGCATATTAAATTCCAAATCAAGCAAACAAACAGAAGAGTACATTATTGTAAGGACAGGAAGATTTTCTGATTAAGGTACAGGCCAGGAATGAACTAAAGCAGGGCTGTGTTCCAACTATGCCAATGATTCTGTGCCCTGTTTCATAAACAAATTGTTTCACTGGTTTGTGTCATTGCCTCTCTGTTAAGAAAAAATATCACACTTTGTTCTCTACCTGTATGTTTAAGAACGCAAGTCCTACAAAAACCATGTCTCTGTTTATGAGGTTCCTAGAACAGAAGCATGAGTCTTTGTATATTATCACACTATTTACTAGTATGACTTCCTTGCTATCCTTTTTCTCCGTTCTTTTTTAAGCCAAGTTCCTCAGGGCAAGTACTATCTTTTACTATGTGCAGAAACTACAGTAAGCACAGCATGATCTAACTCTTGGCAGTGAACTCCAGACAAACTCACACTGTTTTCTTGAACTCAGACAGCAGTGAGCCATTTTTCTGAAGGTGCTAGAACTCAGTTTAATCACAGACTCCACAGAAAAAACAAACAATAAGTTGAACACAATGCTATATTTTCCAGGTAATATTTTAAAATTGTCAAATGTTACTGATGCTACAAGGGAGGATAAAAATTTGACTTCTTTTATTTTAACCATTTCGGACTTTGAAGCTGTTTTAAAAGTTAATCAGTAAGGAAAAAGTACCTGCAAACTTAATGGTAGTTCATGGATCCTTGTGGCCAATGTGCGAATCTCTCGGTCAGACAAGATGCCTGACTGGTCTGTATCAACCTCATCAAAGATCTGAGAAATGTTCAGTGGCTGAACTGCACTCATAAGATAGTAGAAATATGAAAAAGCAAATTGCATATCTTCAGAGTGACGCACTTTGTGAAATGATGTCTTGTCAAACTCCTCAGGAAACCTAGATAAGAATGAAAATTCATTTATTACCCTAATTTCCTGAAGAAAACATTCCTTTACCTAAAAATAAATTCTTATCCAGAATTTTGAAAGTGCCTCAAAAATCTCATTGTATCCCAACTGTAATGTTGTAAATTTCTTATTTTCTTTTCCAAAATATAATTTTAACAAGTAGCTATTAACACACTGGAAATGGCTACTGCAAAACAACAGAAAGGTAGAATTTCCCACAGCTTTACATTATTCCAAGCAAAACCACACTCACATATCCTGGAGCTCTTGCATAACAGTACGGTCAATCATGTGAGGCATGTGAGCAGGGACTTTACGAGATGTAAATCCAAACTTGCTGTTTAACAGCTTATTTACGTATCGAAGGGAATCAGCAAATGTATCTTTCAGCTGCCTTCCAAAATGTTTACCTTCAGTAAAGTACGACATTTCTTTGAGTAATGATTCTTCTTCCTAAAGAGCAGGACAAGCATAAATCTAGGTTACATTACTGAAAAAGTCAGAAAACACTAGCAAACATGACATTTCAGCCACCAGCCAACTCATCTGAAAACAGAAAGAGAATATCTTAGATTCCTTAGATTATTATTTTATATTCCTTAGATCTTCCTTTAAAAATAATAAAATTTAAATAAATTTTAAATAAAAATAAATAAAATAAACTTTTCCTTAAAGCTTTGAGGAAAACTACTCCTTAAAAGGCTTCCTTAATAATTGTGCTCTGACACCTCACACATACTTAGAGCCTTATTTGGCATCATTTGCCTTTTTTTGCAGATTATTCATCCATATTTGATAAACTTGATATAAAGATTTTTCAGGCAAAATTCAATCTCAGATGAACAGAGATAAGTCTTTATAAAACATAGCCCTTTTCTATGTGAAATAGGGCAAAGCAGCTGCTACCAACTGAAGCATGGTATCTTCTCTTCTAGAGTTTTTCAAAACTGCTAAAATTCTCTGGATGGAAGCAAAGGAAATTTCCTATACATTTTCTTGACACAATCTAAATAAGGAGCTTCTTTTCAGGCTTTAAATTTAACTTCTAGAATTTAATTATTTATCATTATACCTATTTTCTGTATTTTTTAAACACAAACTAAATCCATAAATGTATAAACACCATCTAAACAAAATTTAAGCTTTCTGTTCTAGTGCTGTATGTGTCTGAGCAAGAGCCCTGTGACAACATACAATGACCAAAAAATTAATTTGACCAAGAAAAGGTAGTAGAAATGGAACAGAAATCGTTATTTGACTTTTACTACCTAGCTAAGAGAGGTTCAGACCATAAACAAGGCACATTTTATGTGTAAAAGTATCTTTAAAAAAAAATTCCCAGCATTTGCCTCAAAAGCAAATCAAATTTCAAATTAATAAATCACATTAACAATATTCTAATAAATGCAGAAAGATGCAACTATTCCGGTAAGGAATAACATTAAGATACTCACATCAAGAAGGTCTTGGAAATATTTCTTTTTCTCCCATGGCAAAAAGCCTTGGTAACTTCCAGCATAAGACTGCAATTTTCTTCCCACTAGACCCTCCTTCATATTTGCATCCACCTGCTCAGGCTCTTTTATTCCTTCCATACGCTGTTTGCCTTCTCCAGGATCAAAATTCCCAGTATGTTTTGATTTCTGTGTTTCCTTTAATATGAGTGCATTCAATACTTTTTCTCGAGTTTCATTTTTTTTCCCCATGCTCTGGGGGGGAAGTGTGGCTTTTGGCTGTACTTTGTAAATATCTTTATTTGTGCTCATTGTCACAACAGTCCCCTTCACTCCCATAAGCCTCGAAGGAACTTCTTCCTTTGCTTTTACTCTTTTTATTTTGCCATCATTTACATCTTTATAAGACTTCTCCCAGTTGCTCTGGTTCTTCTGATCTTCTGAATGATCATGCATGCCCTTTTTTTCCAGGCCTACAATACTCTTTGCTGTGCTTAAAAAGTGGAAAGGTCTCAGAAGAGCAGCCTTGGATAGGTTATATCCTTTCTGAGTTACATCACCATTTAGTAGTTTTAAGTCCAGTTTCTGCAGTGCTAGTTGGACATCTTCAGGAAGAAGAGACACATTTACTGATGGGATTATCAGCTCTTCAGGTACACTCTCTTTTGTGCCATTTCTACGTCTCCTGACTCTTGGAAAACGTTTTTCTTCTGGAATATCCTCAAATATCATTTCAGCTTCTGGCACTGAAGTTACACTTTTAAAATCAGAGTCAGATCTTTGCATGGAAGTTGTGTTCTGTTTTGGCTCCTCCCTAGTATCCACTTCAACAGCTATTTGCATTTTAAACTCTTCATCATTTTTATTTAGGAATGTAAGGTTAAAATAGATCACAGTTGTGTTCATGCCACTATGCATGATTAGGTGGATAGTTTTCCATTTGTTAGCAACTGAAGCATGCCTGATAATTGGATTATCACTGTATGATCCCTCAATTCCTTTCTTGGCTATTTCACTGAAACTGAAGTAGGGCAGACATTCACCTTTGGGAATAACATAGTAGGTCTGATTAAGCTGAAGCATCACCTTGTACATCTCTTCAAAGTGATCTGGGAAAAAAAAATCCCAAACAAGAAACAAAACAAATTTCTGTCAATTTTCAGCATAACATTTATCTTTCACTCTTTTTTTAATAGCAATATGCCCAGTTACAGACACTATATTAACAGGGAGACACATTTGTGAAAGAACACTTATTCTAGTTTCCAGCTTCTTGCTCACTTCAGTAATGGATGACTAGAACATACTCAGATATACAAAGCTACCAGACATTCCCATGCTAATTCTAAAAACCAGTATAATTCATCACTCTTTCAATCTCTACCTGAAAAGCCTAAAGTGTCTTATTATCATGTCACTTAAAATTATGTATCAGTAATAAGTAGCTTGCCCATATTATATTTTTACCATACTTTAGGAGAGTAATGTTAACAGCTGGAGTTCACTGCTACAGTGCTGCATCTTGATTTGAAATAGAAAATTTCAGATAGGAATTTCTCCCTCCCACAGCAGAACACAGATTATCTGTCACCTCCCAGATGAACAAAACCCCACTGCACACATTAGTCCCAGCTGAAATGCAAGGGTGCTCTTCCAAACAGGAAAAATCTTCTCCTGCATATATCAGACAGCACTTTAAACTACTTTGTTCACTTCTTGCTAATCTTTCATATGCAAATGAACTTCAGACAAGTTCACCTGTGACTGAAAGAAGCCTTTAGCAAGAGCCCAGGGCCAGACTTGAACTCATACTGTCAACATTAGAGAGGTTCTTGAAACTTAACTGCTGCAGGCATCATCAATTCAACTATCCTTGGTCAGATGAGGATGCTTGTACAGGACACCTTAGCCCAGTCTGAGAGCAATGACAAACTAGGAAAGGTCAGGCAATTCAAGAGAATCCGCACAGGAAGTTCATCAGCAATTTTACATACCCTGGCCACAGTCACCAGCATCAAATCCACATGAGAGGACATTGCAGGCCTGGTCACAGAATTTGTCTGCTAGCCAGGAATTAGCACAGCCTTGGTTACAGTATGAAACGCCACTTATTCCTGCTCCAAACTGCCATGGTGGGCCGTTCCCAATACCTCCAACTGCACCTCCACCAGCAACATAGCGATTGCCCCCACTGTTACCTAGAGAAAAGAGAAAAAAACAAACTCAGCAGAAGTAAGAATTTCAAATAATTGAAGAAAGGCACATTAAGGCCAGCATGTCAAAGCTAGACTGAAGACTAAACAATAATCAATGAAATTAAAAAGGGGCAGATCCTAACTAGACTTCTGAGAGTTTGTGCATACTATAGATTTTACACTCAGCGTAGAAGCTTAGGAATCAAGTGAAAAGGTTATCCAAAGTATCGTATATTGTCTTAACTTCAAAAAGGCAGGCAGAAAACTGATTTACTACTCCTTGTGCTTGCCATCTTGACTTTGCAGTCTCCTAGAAATCTATCACTTCTTCAATCCAGAAGTACCACTTCATTTTATTACACTGCAGTCCTGAAAATTTGATCTAGGAACTAATAGTGTAGCTTCACAATCCATTATATAGATTGTGAGTCTAAATATATAATACTGTGTATTAATATATAATAATTTAAATTTCAAAACATCTCCATTCAGCTAATCAAATTTGATACCAAAAGATTATCCTATGTCCTATTATTTCCTGTCATTTTCCTTAAAAAATTGTAGTCTATAAGAAATAAGGTTTTACTCTAGAAGTCAACTTTTTTATTATTAAAGGAGGCAAATACTGTAGTTATATGAAAAAGACAAATTAAAGAATTATTCCTGTAAGGAAAAACAAACAGCTCACTTTTCCTAAATTTAACATTGCTGTCTTACCAATGCAATCACCTCCATCCCAATCACATGCTGAGTTATTACAGGCTTTATCACAGTAACCATCTTTAATCCATGAGCCAGGACATCCCTCAGCACAGTTTGGCACAGGCCACGTCAAGTACACCTGGAACAACATTAAATTCTGAGAGAAGGACTGGCAAATAGAAGTCAACTGAGCTCGTTTCTTTGAATATGGAGACTTACAATAATGTCTCCCTGTGTACAGTGCCTTAAGATTTCACAGAACTTTACAAATAGAATTTAAACCCCATTGTCTGTGAAATAAATGTTATCCCTTTCAAAGGGAGGGAAGAACTGAAGAGTTCCCAAGGCCATACAGCAAAGCCACAACAGCCAGAAATGGAAAGTAGAACTTCCCAAATCTACTACTGCAAACCATGTTCCAATGAAAACTAATATCTTCTCTTTTTTCAGATAGGAAGGGTGAACTTAAACTCTTAAATAGTGCTGCAGTTCACTTGTTCTCCTGACTCAAAATGTTTCTTCATTACTAAGCAGTCATGAGATAAGCAGCACACATTGAACATAATCCCTTGAAGCATCTCATCCTCTATGACTTAAATAATCCTAAGAATTGGCAGGATAAAAAGTGTGCATGTTTGTTCTTTCAAAGGAGGAGGCATTAAAAACCCCACATATTTTCCTTTACTTTATTGTTTCAAGATTTTAGCAGCATATTTCCTACAGCAACACTTGCTGATCAGGTTATCACAAACAACACTGCACCTAAGCTGACTTCATCATCATAGCTGGGATGAATAACTAAAAAACAATACAAATGCTGAAACAATATGGTTTTGCAGTTATATGCCTCTATCCTTAGAGATTTAAACTAAGAGCCTCTTTAACATCTCCAGGTACAATTATTTTAATGTAGCTTAAACTAATTTTGCTCAACCCTTCTGTATGTGTATGCAAGTGTGCGCATCTGCCTGCATAAAATGTTTAATTCATTGGCCTTGTGTACCCACCGCTTTAATAGAAATAATAATACATAAATCTTTTTTTTCCTCCATGTCACTCTTGCAGATCAAGCTAATGGATGAAAACCCTGCTGGCAGGCAGAGTGCTTATGCATAACTATTGCTAATGTTTCCTCAGCATGCTTTCATTCCTTAAACCCCAGTTGTTGATAAATGGGTTTGTTGAATGACTAAATTACTTTACAGTAATAAACGTGGAACAACATCTAGTATTTTAGCAAACAATTATACATATATAGTGTGTGTATATATATGTATGTGTGTGTATATATATATATATATATATATATATATATGATTATTTACAAATTGGGTAAAGCTACTATGGGTGTCTGAACAGAGGCAATTAACAGTAAACGTTAATATTACAACCACTTCAAATGTCATCTAACCTCAGTACTTCCACAGGAAAGTCAATTCTTGTTTGAGTATTTCCCACAAAACAAAATTGCAAGGAAGGAAGACTAGCAACTGCCAAACACCACATCAGTCTTACCAGTGCTTCAACAGGAAGCAGGAGAATTAGAGAATAACTCTGAAACTAAAGTGAATCCTGAGAGAGGAACCATTATAACCACCCAAATGTAGAAGCAAACAAGAAACATAAAAATACAGAGAAGAGTCTTCTACACTCTGAACCTTAGCCAACAGTTCTCTAGTTAAAAGGGGGAGTTAGTGCTCTCCCTTTCAAAGTAGCATTCCTTTGACTTTTATCATTAGAATAAAAAAGTTCTACTTCTGCTAAATAAGCTTTTCATAATGGCTTACCTTTTGACCTTTTGAGTGACTGTAAAAATCATCAGGCCAAACATCCTTCCCAAACATAACATCATCATTGAGATAAATAAACTTCTGAGAAAGGCCACTGATACGATGAATATGACTTTCAATAGCTGGTGAACTGAAGGTAGGCAAGTGACTCACATTTTGAAATATTTCCTAAAACAAGAAAACCCCCAACAACCAAAAACTGTTTCAGTCAGGCATACAAATACTTGACACTTATCTATTTAAAAAAATTATCAAGAATGAAGATAGATACAAAAGAAAAAAGACATTAAAGAAAAAAAAAAAAGACTTGAGTATCTCTTTCCCCACACAAAACCATTTTCAGTTCTTCTGCTTAACTAAGAAACGCGATTGCTCACAAAGTCACAAACTTTCACACACTCCTCTTTCAGTGAGTACTGGACCAGGCTCAGAGTACACATTTATAATTCTCATTAATTTGAGGCTGCACAAAATTTCTAGCAAACTGAATCTGTTGCAGCATTCAAAAAGTCAGGACTGTCCATCTTTTTCAAGTTACTTCACCAGCAGTCAGCAGAAGCTGAGTAAGTATCTCCTTCGCACTTCGGTTGTGCAGAATTCCTATGGCATGTCCAGATACCAAAATTACTCATCTTGTAATAACCAGACAATTTGGTTTCAGTTATTCAGGAAGCTTGAAGGATTCCTTTTCTCTTTTTAAATAAGCTTTTGAGATGCATAGCTACTTTTTTTGTAGCGATCTTCTTAGTCACAGTAATTGTAATCCATCCTCAACACAAGTCTATTAGGTTATTAATGGTTTTGAGAGACTGCTTATACATTCAGATTACATTTTCTTCTCCCCAGGTTTTTATATATAGACTCTATAAGGAAATTAGACATGGGTGCATGTTAGCTGAAGCCTCAATATTTGGAAGATTGTACTAACAGGCTTGATATATATATTCTGTTTAGCCCAAATATAAAGACATACATGATAAAACCTGGGGTGAGCAAGAGAAGAGGTTGCCACTTCTTCCAAACAAATGCAGCCTTTTGCTGCAAGAGGATAACTGCATTTCAAATCAAACAGGCTATCTTTGATGGCCCTTTCACAGTGGAATTTTACCTGATGTGTCACTATAGTTATCCGAGGATTATCCAGGTTAAGCCAGGAAGGAATCTGCCCATTGGTGACAATGAAAATGTGCCGTACCCAAGGGGCGTGTCTCTCTATTGATCGCAACGAGTACCGCAGTTCTTCGTTGTCCTCGAAGCGGCTGGCAGAAACATCTTCATCCTGCTTGGACTACAGAAAGAAAAAAATCTTTTCTTAGATTTTTAATAGGACACTAAAGTTCTGATCCAGCTAGGTAAGGACAGAGTGTTTTGGCATGTGGGTGCATAAGCACTTCAGGACTTAAAAATTCAGAAATAAAAAGCATGTTGATAATAACCATTATTCTTATAAATAATCATATTCTTCCAAATTATCAAGGCAAACAATACAGTGTTCTGACATAACTGGCTGAACACCTGGTATAATTAGGATGTCTGCTGACCATGCTGAAAGAAATTCTTGGAGAATGAAGCAGAAAAAACACCCCTTCCTGCATTTCAAACCAGTAACGCCACCTTTCTGAAATCCAGTTTCAAGTACATTGCATCATGATCTAATGATATTAGGTGATATAAATGTCACCTAATATAGATATACGGGAAGTGTCATGATGTAGCTGCTCTTCAATTGTCCCCTGCTCTATTATTTTAAAGAATTTAAGCAGGAGAAAATGAACAGAACTTAGCCTAAATAATTTAACCAAATAGCTAAATGTTTCTGTATATTTTTATTAAATAGAAAACATTTTAGTAATAAACTTATCAGTCAAGTAACAAAATTAGGTTTAGGACACTGGAACATGTTTCTTTTCACATTCATAAGAGCTTAATGACCTCTCCTAAAGCCAACAAGTAAGGTTGCTTAAAAGGAACTTTTCTAAAGTCCAGATGAAACACAAAACTCAAGAAAATAGTTGAATGTTTAATAATTGCCATTTTCACTGCAGATTGTACACACTGTACGTAAGTTTACTAATATATACAGTAACACAGCTTTCACATTTGCAAAAGAATAACAACTGAAAACTTTTTAGCAGCACCAGTAGCCATTGGCTAGGTACCCATTCACAAAATAAACTGTAATTTCAACATGGGGAAATATGAAGTTGAAGCTCAGGGCTGGTATTAACCAGGAAAAATTCCCCTAAAGTCCCATCACAGGATATGAAGACAGACTGCAAGCTTTTCAGGAGTGGGCACACTAACCATGCCATTTGATATTTACCATTAAAAATTAAATTCCAGAAGGAAGAAAATCCCAAAGACATATTATTACAGAATATCTTATCTTGAAACAGACACTTTGTTATTTAATTTCCTGTTCTTAAACCAAATATCCTTCATTGTATCAAAAGCATTTAAAGTAAACCCCCTTTTCCTTACTGACATCTGTATTTCAGGACTTCAAAATTTTTGAAAGAGAAGCCATTAGCATTTGCTCAGCATAAATGATGCTCCAAAGTAAAAAATGTTTAAGAAATATATTGGGAATGAGACAATTATGTTTGTTAAAAAAACCCTCCATTTCCTCACAGAAGCAGCCTGCTTATCTGCCAGTCAGGATCAGTTAAGCCTTTCAGGACTTAACTACACACAGCTTTATCAGAATATGTGTGCAGAGGGCAACATTTTTCACTTAGTAGAGAACAGGGAAATTTAAATTAAGTATCACACTGTTTGATCCTTCCTTCTAATTGATTTGAGAACTGGACAGTGTTCTTGTGATGTCTTCTTACAAGCTAATAAATATTTGATTCTTAATAAATATTTGATTTCCAAGCTTCTGGAAAAAATCTCATGTTCCTTGTCATTGACTAGTTAGCTTCTATTTGCAGTTTTGAAAGGTTGTAGTATTTACCTGCTGTAAGAGAATTTACCCACCTGACTGACAGAGCTGAGGTCCCACAGTAAATAGGCAGGATTAAGCGTCAGTTCTTTCCCATCTATAGTCATGTTCTTCTTTGCTTGTTTGCTCAGTTCTTGGAAACCCTTGGGGTTATTCAGTTGCAAGAGAGCCACGCTGGCTTCTGAATAGAGCTGCAACTATAAAAGCAGAAAAAAACAACTCCAGCAGCACTCTTCCATCTTTTTGTTGTATTATTTTTACTAGAGTTACTTCGAAGAATGTTTGTAAAGAGCCTCAATTTCGTAAAAACACAAAAGTAAGTGGTGAAATGGGAACTAAAAACATTTAAAGATACAAAACACTTTGACTTTGTAAAGTAAATGTCTCTTTACACAATGATGCAGCAATGGAAAACCTTTTCATGTTTTAAATACTTTGGGAGTAAATTAATAGTAAGTCCCCACTCATTCTCTGTCACTCCAATAACAAAATTCATGTTTTATTATGTGACTGAAAGAATTGTCCTTTTTTTCCCCCATCTTAAACAAGGAATGATCCTCTCAGAAAATTAGGACTGATGTATCGTCACTGTCAGAAGTGTGAAACGTTCAGAATGGTTTACAGTTAGTTCAACCTACAGCTCTGAAATCTGAGATACAAAGGGCTCCAAAGCTAATCCATGTGGGTCTCCAAGCCCTTAGTGCTGGTTGCCAATATGCTGCTAAGGTCATTTCTTAGTTGTGGACTGTTTGATCTGTTTGCTGTTTTCATCTCTTGCCACCAGTAAGTCTGTATATCAGATCTCATAATGCACAGGATCAGGGGCTTGCACTACACGCTCTAATATAGTTTACAGATCACAAGGCATCAAAGCAGCTCCCTAGGAATATGGCATAACCCAATAAATGCTGTGTTTACCATATGAAGCAAGATGAGCAGACCCAATCAACCTAAAAGCATGACTGCACTTTGATTTTCCAAGTTCATACATTCAATAGTATAATTAAGAATAAACACAGTTAATCATTAATGATGCTATGTTTAATTTTGTTCCTTCAGGCAATATAAGACAACCACATCTACCACATTTTCAGTGTAAATGCAATTCATAAGCTATCAAATTTTAATAATCATGTTCAAAAAAGCAAAAAAAATCACAGATCCCTTTGGAACAACTCTAAGTGGTTTTATTTTTTTATTAAATCTGACCCTTTCTGCTCATTTTAAAACAACACTTGTCCCAGAGTTAGCAGCCCTTCCCTTAGCAAGACCAGCTGTTCCACTTGTGACATTTTAAAGCTGTTGATGCTTTGACTCATATGCTATTTGAGATCTTTCAATCTGACTTATGAGGCCTGTCATTAGAAAAATCTGATAAATCTCAGACCTTCCAGGGAATCATCTGAACTTATGGGTGGAAAGGATGGCTTCAGTAGCTGAATGGCTGAGGTATAGTTACGGACTGCAGGCAGCAACCTCCAAAAATATCAGCATTGAAATGCTGCAGATTGCAAAGCTGCCAGCACTGGGTATGTACTTTATTTAGCAATACAACAGTGCCACACAGTCCCTTAGAATCTCTCTCGTAAATCATATATACAACAAACCAAAATTATTACCATCTTAGAGCTTTGAAAGCATGTGAGAACATTTAGTTTCTCTTTAACTTGCTCCCAAACTCAGCAAAATAAGTACCTGTATTACAGACTCCTACTTTGATTACAAACACTTATCCCCCACTAACAGAGCATATATGCAGTCATTTTTAATTTGTAATATTCCAAGCATATACAGGAAGCAGTGGAAAAACATGTTCCATTTCTCAGCATCAGAATTTTAGCTAACCCCTGCACTGAATAGATCATTTTTATTACATCAAAGTGGGTTTTTTTCCAGTAATACCTTTTGAAGAAACCAGTCCTTTCATAAGTAGGCTACCAGTAAAGTTAGACTACAGTGAAGTTATCTGGTGAAATAACTAACTAGCTTACTTGCTATATTTGTGTGATCATAATACTATCTCTTGCAGCCACCTGTTTGCTCCAGAAACACTGATGAGCAGCAGTAAGAATCCCAAACCCCTCATCCTCCAGTGAGGACAGAAAACATCCAACATCACTGTGGTTGCAGTTTCCCATGTCCATTTACTTCCATTAGTAAGACTTCCCTAAGTTTCTAACATATCTTGTCTATATTATAGAAGTGTGTGTGCATGTGGATTAAAGGAGATGATACTTTGCAAACAGGGAGATCTACAAGCTCTTAGTTGTCCTTGAAGCAATTAGGATATTAAATCTTGAAGGAAAAATCAACACTCTCCAAAAATTTTGTACACTCCTCTGTACCATTTCAGTGAAAAATTGTTAGCATGACAGCCTCAAAAAACCCAAAAGCAAACAAATCAATGCTTAAAAAAATGTAGTTTTTAAGTTACAAGCATCTCTTTCAGCTGCATAATAGTCTCTTTTAGAAATGTAGTTAAGGTAGCGGGCAGGCGGGAAACAAAAATTAAATGGTTGTTCTTCACATATAGGTCTTAAAGAAACCACTTTTGGTCTTAAAGAAACAGCTCAGCAGCCATCAGCTGCACAACCAGAGTAACACCTCCATCTAGTGGCTTTCTAATAAAAACAATAAAAAGCTGTCAAATATCACTTTCAATTTCATCTGTCATAACACATGACCTACAACAACAAATGTGACCAGCAGACACACTGCTGCTCAACTTTCATCTTGAAATAAACTTTCATACCTTTACATTACAGTGCAGGCCATAAGTACAAAAAAAAAAAAAAAAATCAGTAGACTCTTGACAGATATAATTCACCTTGAAAACAGGCCTATTAAATCATGAATCTTCACATTTTAATCACCTCTAGTTGAGCTCAGTTGCTTTGCTCAGATATTTAGATTTTTAGTAGAACTATCTGGTCAAAGAAGCTTTGGTCTGTCTTGGATTTAGAAGTAATTTCAACCAAACTAAAGCAATCCAAGCAAAACAGCATTATCAACATACAACACAAATGCACCAATAACTACACTCCTACTTTTCTCATCTTTCTTTCCTTCTAGTAGCAGCATTGTTCAACTAATAGCAGCATTGCTCAAAGCATTTATTATTATTTCTTTACTTGTGGTGTTGAAGTAAGAAACAGCCACTTAAAGCAGACAGATCAGGAGGCATCTATGAGACATAAGTCTCAGACTTATGAGAATACAACTTTCTTCCTCTCCACCAAGCATCTCGCATCACTTCGGAAATTCCATAAATGATAACAAGAGAGAAATTGCTGCAAAATGTCAGTGGAGACTGCAAATAATCAATCTTTTTCTACTTAACTGTAGCACTAACCCATCATCTCCCTTTGGTAAGAAGAAAACCACACTTGACTGTGTTTACCATTACTGCCTACCTGCCATATCCACTGAAAGAAGAACTGACTCTGAGCTCAGAACCTACCAAAGGCTTCTATGCAAATAACCACATCCACACTTGATGTAAAAATCTTTATGCATGAAAATAAAACATTTCTTACCTTCACATGCATAAGTTTCTTCATAACATACATGAATTACTGCTATCAAGAATAGAGGACTGGTTGGGAAAGTATTCACTGCTATGACCACACAGGGTGTAATAATCCTGATTTAACTGCTCTAAAGCATCCACCAGGAAAAGAATCACAGACAGCAAAGATGACTCGAAAGAAAACCACAGAGTATTGTGGATACCTAAGAAAAAATGTGCTTATACAGATAAACACAATTTATATCTGTAAAGATAAGCGGTGTTTATATCTGCCTAACCAAATTGCAGACGTGGAGCTCTTAGGAGCAATCACAGTGGCAATGTTTACACACAGATAACACATCAAGGAAGAGGGAACCAGCACAAACAGATGACACATGACCAATGACAAAAACCACAACTAAGACAGGGTAAGGAAAAATCATATAAAAAGATAATAGGCACAGGATGCCACTTCCATAAAGACACACAAGGAAAAGGAAAATATATCTAAGATAACCCAGAGATGTAGTCTTTATGCTCATCTGGAAAGCAATGAACCATATGAATATCCACTGTTGTTTAACTGCTGTGACACTAGAGATGCAAAGTCAAAAGAAAATACCTACTTAAGCATAAATAAGTGCTTAAAAACTCTATTAATCTGTTTTAGGGCATGTAGCAAGAGAGGTACAAATGTGTTTACTTTGCAAGGTTTCTGCCATTAGCAAGGCTCGAAGTCAGCTAACACAAGTTGAGACAAGAAAGAATTTGAGATTGCATTATGTTGGACTGTGACCAGCCTATGAAAGGAATTACACAAGATCATTTCTGCAACAGAGTGCATGGGTTGTTAGCCCAGCCTACCAAATGAAAAAAACAAAAGAAAAGGGAAAAGGACCTCATGTTCATTTGAGCACCAAGAACAAGCCACAAAGTGAATCAGCCCATATTACAGGTGTATATCCTACTGATGGAAACAAATTACCTATGGATTGCCATCCCATTACCTCTGCTAACTCCTCCTCTTCCACAAACTCCTTGGCCTCAATCCTTTTCACCCCACAAATCACAAAGCCAGTGGTTTTAACACATGTCTTATAGTTCTACCTTCCACTAAACCTGACTGTAACTTTAATAGATGCCCAAATAGCAGGAGAGAACAGAAGGCACTAAATGGCAGTCACACAGGTTGTTTTCTGTTGCCTCGCAGCTGGGTGAGCTGAAGTGCAACTTGCTGAAGACCCTACAGAGCATGTGGCAGAGAGAAACACAGGGTTCAGTGCTGTTACCGCTAAGAGAACTAAGAGGGAAGAAAAAGCTAAGAAGCTACATAAACAAAATTCTGTCACATTTAACAAGCTAGTGATCTAGAATTCTACAGCAAGAAAACAGCCCCAGCAAATGGCTGAGAGAAACTGATAAGGCTGCCTTTTAATCAGCTGCCGGCTAGCAAATGTAATGCCTAAGAACTTGCAGTCACAGAAGGGACAATTGGTCTTTTACAGGCAGCTCTTTGAGTCACTATTTGCTACTCTTCACTACTCAGGGAAGAATCGCACAGAAACCCCCAGATTACTCTCAGAAATATCCTAAGTCTCCTAGGTGGGTGAGATTCCATACCTGAGCCATTCCAAAAGACCAGTACAACAAAGGCACTCTCCTCCAGAGCCTTACCAGTTTTACTTTAGAGGCCAGGCTCTCTGGCAGTTTTGTTCTTAGCTGGTTTGTTTCTTTGAATGTAGCTGGAAATCCACTAAGAAAGGCCAAGTCTTGCATTAATACCAGACCTGGAACTTCTTTGTCTGTAGTCTAAAAACAAGAAAACAAGTTCTAAGGACCATTTTAAAGGTAGAATAATTCACATAACAATAAGGGTTGCTCTGAAAGCTTTCACTTTTTACTACATGTGAGTTATGAAAAGAGAATAGCACAGAAACTTTCTAAAAATGTACAGAATGTTTAACACATACAAAAGTTAATCAACAGATTGTCAAAGTACATACCAAGTAACCCCTCCATACTATCTGTTTGCTGTTGTCTTTTAACATTCCAGAATGGGCAGCTTCAACTAGAATACATAAAATTGCAAATCAAAAACTTCTTCCAGTATAAAATCACTCCTTTTCTGTATTGAAGTAACCAATAAATACTTTTACAAATTAAACACATATGAGTATTTATAGTGTGAAAAGTTGTCTTTACAAATAGTAAATAAACCTTGGTGGCAAAATAAAGAACAGTGGTTGGACTAGTGGTCAGGCACTACATATTAAACAAAATATGAAACTCATACCTGCTCTAAGACCTAAAGTGTTAAACACATGAATAATTTTGTCTTACAGTTGCTAATCCTTTGAACAAGGGCAGAACTTACTACACATTATTCAAATTAGACTTCACAGCAATTAAAAGAGGATTTCTAAAACTAATTTTCCTCAGTCTAAACCCCAGGCTCTTGAGATTATCAGAGCAATACAGATATTCAGATATCAAACCTCTTTTGCAATAGCTCTTTAAAGCACAGAACTCTAATCATCTGTAATCAGTTGTCTGGGAGGTAAGCAAACAGTATCATTAATGTCATCATTCAGAGAAACAGTTTGAGGGCAAGAGAGACACTGAATGACTTGCTAAAGTCAAACAGAAAATCAGCATCGGAGTCAGTACTGGAGAAAAAAAAAAATAATAACCCCAAAACCAATTCACAGCAGCTTAAAAAATTTGCTTTAGAAAACTAGATGGAATCTGACATAGAGCTTCTTACCGTCCTTAGGGCTATCAAAAACAATCACAGTCACATTGGTGGAAGGATTTTTTGGTTTTGCTACAAAGAACATATTGTTAGCAGCTTGTAAAGCAGGGTGGATGGAGGGCAGGTCTTTCAGTGTGACGTTGGCAGGCAGCGCAGGATCCAGGACAAGCATGGGCACTTTGATGCAGTGTGTCAGCAAACACTCCAGCTGCTTCTCACTACAGCAAAATACCAAAGCATATTTAGCACCACTACAAAACTGAAAATGAAAATCAATCTTGGATGCAATGGGAAAAAATTTTGTGAAATCTGATTAATTGTAACATTTGCTGTGGCAAGGGGAAATTATTGAAAAGCATGCTTATTTTCCTGCAGAAGACAAATATCTGACTGGTAGTGTTCATTCCCATAACTGTTTTTCCTAAAGTTTCCAAGATTTCCATAACCGTTATTTCTAAAGTTTCCAAGATTTCCAAGTCTGCCCATGCAAGAGACCTTATAGAAAAATATCTAAATAACAAAAGGACAAGCTAGGTCCTGCTGCTTCCTGACAGCAGAGACACAAGGGGCATGGACCCTCTACAGACAATTACTTGCAGTGCCACGTGACAAATGCCAGGTGAAAGCAACATGGAATTTTTAATGCATATATACCTGGAGTTTTACAACTCAAAAGCATGACATTTTTTTCATACTCAGAACAGGAGCTAACCCTAAACAGTGACAGGGATATGCATTCCAAACTCCAGAAATTGTTATCAGAAGCTCAATCATATATGTCACAATAACATTACTTTCATTCAGCAAATATATTATTATGCTGTCAGCTCTTGAAGTGACATAGGACTGCCTGCATAGGCTATAGAAAATCAAACCACCCCACAACTAGCATCTGCTTTCAGCTAATAATGAATAGGATATAATTTATTCCAATTTACGCCCAAAAACTCACCTCTTCTTTGTAGGTTCTGTTGCATTCTTTCCAAGGATTTCCCTATTACAAAATTTAAAAAAGGATAATAAATAACACTGAATTGAGCAAGGAATTGAGTCTAATTGCATATTGTTAATTGAGTCAGGGACACCTTGTCAAAGCACCAATAACCCAGAGAAAAAGCTGCCAAGGCCTTGCCATTGGCCTTACCAAGGCGAGTACAGACTGACATGTGCCCTTCACTGCTCACATGCAGTTTGGAGCTCAAACGTTCATGGCTGTGCTGAGAATTGTGGCAGCAGGACTCTTTCTGCTAACAGGAATTTATGGGGTTATTATTAGGTTATTAGCTTACTTATTAGTATTATTAGGTTACTTAACAAAATTGGAAAACACTGGTAAGAAACCAGGATGGAGTGACCTGAAACTAGGTTGACTTGATTGTTTTGCCTAACATAAATATTCTGATAAGGTCTGTGAAACAGCTCTTTTTATAGCAATGTGCATTGATTCCAAAGGCCATGAAAAAAAATTGTCTACATGGGAGGGAACCAGGTGTCCCTGTACATAGCAAACATGGTATAGTCACCAGTCTTATTCGTAAGCCTAATCTCAACTTTCCAAACCAGTGCTACATAAAAAAAAACATGTGTTTTTCCTTTCCTGAAATAGGAATCATAGCATGAGTGATGACAAAGATAAACTCACTAATATTAGCTATATGAGCTGGTAGGAAAATATTAGCATAAACTTGAAAGCTTTTCAGAGCAGAGACTGTGTATGTTTAAGGTCAATGAATTTAAAATTCTAATATTTCCAATGTTTATGTAACAAAGAAAAGATCAAGAATTTCCCTTGAGATCATACTGACAATTGAACCTAAACTGCAACACATAGCATGCCAAAAATCAGATCAATCCACTAACTTGTGGACTTCTCATTATTCTGAACTAAATTATTACAACCCTTAAAATACAGACTTGTTCTTCCATTTAGCATATTAACTGGCCAAAACAGATGACGTGAGCAGAGATGCTTATCAAAAACTAAATTAATGGTTACAAGACATAATCTAAGGTATCTGCAGCAGCCTGTGTTTGAATGCCTAGACCAGCAATTTTGCAGAACTCTATAGCTCAATCTACAACAACAAATGCAGCAATAACTGTCTTTATTTCCACAGATAAAGGCCAATTCATACCTTTATACCATGCATAAATTATTTGCCCAATTCTCAGTTTCAGTATTTGTGAGACTATGAATCTAATCTAAAACCAAGAACTTAAGAAACATGCTTAAGATTTTATGAAGCCTATTACTAAAAGAAATCCCAGAGGGATAGGGAGAGAAAAAAGAGATGAAGAGAGGTTATATATTTGAGGCACAATTTTATTATTATTTACAAACTGTTATAGAAATCAATACAAAATGACATACACAACACACAGTTTTCCACATGGCATTTCACAAATTCATGACAGGAAAGCATTAATTATTATACTTATCTTAAACAATTTTCTAATTAGACAGTACTTGACAGCTAAAAGTAGAACTGAAACAAGGTTTTGGGAATAATCAAATGAAAATGTGTTTTTAATTTACATATTGAGTAACATGGGGAAAATAACAACAAAGAAAACTAGTATAGCATTAGATTGCTGCTGTCAGTTAAAGGGAAAAAATATCTAAGATTATTACCTCATTATTTTCTGTTCTTCCTCCATCTGTTCCCTGACCTGTTGCAATTCTTTGATCAGTTCCACATCTGTGCCATTCACCCAGGTGTACACCACATCAATTGGCATGGGTAAACAAAGCCTACATAATTCAAAGGAAAGCCATATGAGCTCTTTAATATTACATTACAAGTGTTGTGGCATCCTACAATAGCAGTTTCTGTCTAACAAGGGAAATACTTGGTGTCTGGGCTGCAAACAAGACAAAGCAAAAAGACTCTCTTTAGCTATATATATCATGTCTCAATTATACACAAGCCTTTGATAAAACAGCACAGACATCAACCCAAAGAACACAAAGTGGTTTTAATGGTTCAGTAACTAAAGGAAATCTGAACTTTATGCTCTGAATTTCACTGACAGACTCCTGGCCCACTTCTTGAAAACCCACCAAATATTTTTCAAGTCTGTACCAAGACCTGAGCATATTCTTAATTCACAAACTACTTCAGATAGGACAGCATGAAGCATAACTTATTTAATTGTTATTTAATTGCACAGAGCCAGTAAGATCTCAGTAGGACCAGGTCTCTATCCTAGGAATGTCTCTTAGATTATATTAACAGGGCATTTCAGAAAACAACAATCTAATTTGGGTGCATGAATTCACACTCTAGACATGGCAGACAAATTAATTCTTGACACAGCTGAATATCCTGAAGCTGCTTCTGGAGAGTTAATACTTCCTAGCATGCATAAGGCAGAAGGAGGGAGTTTGGGTACCTTTTTCCTACTTTTTTTTATGATAATCTCATTTCCAAGGCCCACAGCTTTGTGTCAGAGCTACTGCCATAGGTGAATCCAAGTCCCATATAGCAGGAGGATACCCCAGTTATTTTCAAAAGTTCCAGTGTCAAGCTATTTAATACTTTCCTAAACTGTAGATGGCCTAGCAAATATTGGAAAACATCATCCTGTGACTCCATGGATCTCAGCATTAGAGAGGTTTGAAGATGTTCCCTCTCCACCCACTGCATCCTTCCAAAAGCATTCAAAGAGAGCTTGCAGACAGGTATTCTGTCCACCTGCCCTTGCACAGCATTCTGTGCAGAGTAGCAAGCTTTGTTTTCTACTGGCTCAGACTCAACAACTGAAGCACAAAATTTGTTAAAAGGTCAGCCAGGAGCTTGTCACAGCACAATAGGCAGGAACATTTTGTTCTCAACTTATTGATGTTCCTAACTGAGCTGCAACACACAGAGGATAATGGTGGGGTATTCTGAGACAGCTGGAACATCTCAGCAGCAGTGCTGCCTTCCTTTAGCAGCACCACCCAGAAAGTCTCTCACATCTGCAGGAGGCTACCCTTCTATCAAAAAAAGTCAATTTACTGAATCAAATTACCCTTCTATTCAATTATTTCACTTTTTTCTCCAGAGATACCTTGTAAATTAACCAGAAGTTAGGTATGTTTTGAACTAAAACATCCTCCAGAGGAGTAGAAATTCAATGGCAGGAGCTCTTCCAGCTTTTCTGTATTTGTTGTGATCAGTTAAATTACTGGTTTGACAATACCTGGAATGCTACAGCTCAGAAAGGAGTGTTTTAGGTAGAAGCACCTGACTAAAGTCAGCAGATTTAAAAAAATGTCCAGCCTTCAGCCTTCTGGGCAAAGTGCAGTGCTCATTCACCCAGGCTTAATTGAAGAACATAGTAAAATGGAGAGAGGCTTCACAGAAGTCAAAATTGCCTCACACCATAAAAATAGCTGGAGTTCTTTTGGATATACTATTTCCTAAAAGTGTGTGTCTATGCAATAGCAGATATACCTATGTAATTTCCCACACTATGCCTCATACAGCCAAAAGCTAGTAAATTCCACAGAGGAAAAGCATTTTTGGTCAGATACAAGTACATCAATTCAATCAACCCTGGCATGGTGAGGTCATTCTTTGTTATCAGGGGCAATAGAGACAGACCAGTTTTAAAAAAAATATTAGTGAGTTGTTTGCAGATCCACTAGTCTAATTTCTCAAAATTTATCCAACTAGTCAATAAATTTCCTTAATGCACCCTTACAGCACACATTTTCAGAAAGTAATATTTATCAAACATAATAATAAAAACCAGATATCCCAAGTCAATTTGTTGTTTCCAACTAACACTGTAGGAACTTAAGCCAATACTGTTAATTCCATACTTCTCTGGACTTGGCCAAGGCTTTCTGGATGGTTTCATGGCTTCCTAAAGTACACTGGGAGCTTATCTTTTCAGAAGTATGTACTGGAATTTTGCTGTAAATTGGTTTAAAATTAAGAGGAACAGATACTACACTTCAGTAGTACTGCTCTCAAACACTGTTTTAACATTTGGAGTCTTCTGCAGATTGCTGAAATTCAGAGAAGCTCAAAAATTCTCTCTCAAATTCTGTAGCTGTGTTTCCTTCATATGGATTTACACATTCAGTCTTCATCAGAAACACCAGTGTGGCAAACAGGTTAAGCCCAAGGTGACCTGAGTTAATTTATTATTTACAGCCACTGTTCTAATCAGCTATTTCACCTCTTTGACGTGACTAACTTATGGTTCACTAACAGATGTGACTCAAAGGTGCAATTTGATTCCAAGTGGGAATTATCTTAACACCTTTCTACAGAAAATCATTGCTTTGGAAAATTCCTTGGAGACGCTCAAACAATTTATTGAGGTTTTTACATTTTTCTCTTTGTAAAGTGTATCCATTTTTACTTGCAAATCTAAAAACATCCATAGGATCCTGCTTGAAGCCAAAACCAGACCCACCAGTCCCCCAGACAGGACAGGGGAACATTTCCTGGCAGTAACTTCTCATAGTCATTATGTGTTTACATAAGAGAACCATCATCACAGCTGAGACTGTAGGTAGAAGACAAACTTTTGTCTCAACATCCACTGTTGCCGAACGAGTACAGCAGATTTTGGATCTCTCCCAAGCTACCATATGGTGATCTCCAACCTTGCTGAGCCTCTTTATGAACAGTAGAAGTCTGAGCTGCTCATAGTAAACCTCCCAGCCTTCCTGCCTGTTCCAGCCCTGTAATTATGCATTAACAGTAATTCAGCTGTTCCACTGCTATTCCTGCTCCCTGATTTGTACATCTTTTCCTCTCTTCAGCCTCACTCAGCTCAGTTAATGGCTGGCCAACCACTGACAGCTCTCACTTCTGCATCATACTGAAATCAGGCTGCACATTTTAAAAGTTGGGGATTATTCCTTCACATCTTTCCATATGTATTTCTGAGTTTTAAACAGGACATCCTCGAATAGCAAAGTTACACTTCATAGTAAGTAAATTATACTTACTGTATAGTAAATACTATACTGTACTTACTTACCATTTGCAAGTACAGTAATAAAAAGCAGTCCTCATCCAAAACACTCATGCATGGAACTCCACTATTTAGTTTCCTTTTCTCCCTTTTTATTTTCATATCAAAACTCAGTCTGCAAAACCGGCTTTGGACAAAGTACCTTGGTAAAAAGCCCTGGAATTCCTAGTGCATTCTCTCAAGCTTTGTAAGAGCTTGAGCAATAGAAGAAGTAAGTTTAGCAGCTGATGTGGCTACCTGAAAAGTGCCACAGTTGGGATGCCAAGGGTTTGCAACTGGAAGGCAAAACAACCAAAAGCCATTGCTAAACTCCAAGGCAAGACCAGAAGTCTGCCTTGGTCTGGTAGAGAGCAGTGTTCAATAGGAGTTACTGATGATGTCATTGTTTTTGTGTGATGAGCTTTTTGAGCTTATCATCATAAGGAGCTTGCCCATATACACAAATTTGCCTACAATTCACAGTGAGCTTTTGAAAGAACAGAGAATTTTACCTGCAAAGCTCCTAAAGAACAACACAACTCAAATTCAATTGAAGGCCCACTAATACTTCCCAAAGGCCATGCAGGTTTTACTTTCCACAAAGCAGTACATCTGCTTAATTTTCTAACCAACAAGCCTCCTGTTCTCCAACTCTGAATATTTTTCTCTAGCACTAAAATAGGAACTGATTAAAATCACTGGACAAGCTAGATTCAATATGGAAGTCCTCAGTTTATGTGTAGCTCTATCTATATGTTGCATTGATACCAGTCTAAAAAGTCCAGTAAACCACCATTGATGCAAATGCCTCCTGCAAGACAGGGTCCATTACTGCACTTGTGAAGTTTGATAATAAAAATTAATTGAACCCCTGACAAGGGACAACTAAAAGTCAACAAATGCCTAAAAGTATGCCTCTACCAAGACTTGTGGTTGGTCTGAATTTTTAGAGGAAGTTGGTAGCTGCACACAAATATCACAGCAAACTTCCCTGTTACTCCTGACATAAGACTGCTAAAGGCATATGGGTGAACTGGAATAATTTAAGCAGCCATCATGAAAAACTTAAAGCTTTTGCTCAGGCAGCCAAGAGTTCCTCAGCAGGCACTGGATGTTTTGCTCCCAATCCTCAAAAATGAACACTAGCAAAGGAGTGCTTTACACAACCACAATGAAGTAAGGAAACATTTGCAGAAATGGGAAGTGACTATATCTACACCACAACAGTAAGATTCGTGATTTTGTTTTGGAAAAAGTCAATGGCTTTATAAAAACACTCCAGTTAATTATCACAAAGTCAGGGATTTTAGCAGCAAGAGGACCAAACTGCCACATTTCATTTCAGTACTGCTAAAACATGTAAACAATTAAGCTATTCATCCATATGTAACTCTTCTTTTATCTGTCATCCATTGGAAAATGGTGGAGAGGAGTAGGAGAAGAGACTATAAAAGTTCCCAGTATTCACCAACACCATGCAATGAATTTTACAGAGTTATCTCACACCAACTAAAGCGTGACAAATTGATCTGATCATTTCTACTGTACTATGATGCAACAAACCTCAAGGCAGATTAAAGCTTCTGCTTTCAGGGTTCGTTTTTATCCCAGTCAAGCGTATCAATATTAAGAGTCTGATGATACCTGCTAAGTAGCTTTCTTTCACCCACACAGTCCACTTACTCCCTGAGCAACAGACCCTATGGCTATTCAGACATGAATGATGAAAACACAGGAAGTCATGTAGCAGTTAATACAACTAAAATAAATGACCCATATGACTTGGTTTTCAACTTGCTGTGAGAGATTTTCCCATGCACTCAGCTTTTAAAACCTTCTTACTAGCTTTGTGACTTCTCTGCTAAATAATGATCATCACGAGACATCACAGAAAACACAGGCAATTTAAAAATAACTTCTCAAAACACTGAGTATTGAAATGTTAAGCACATAGGAACAGTACTTATGTTTTCCTGTCTTAACTTGGAAAACATGTCATGGCCTCTCTTCATTGTTAAAATTGTCATCATTCTTATGTTTCTTTAGAGACTTAAATACATTCAAAACATAAATTTATTATATGACTAGAGCTTTCAAAAGCCAATCTTCCAAACTATGAGATTATGCACTCAGCTCTCACAAAGTTTAAACTTTGCTGCAGATTTGGAGCCCATACAGTAAGGTTCTACTCAATGCTATGTTACTTCAACTAATATATTTTATTTAAATATTTAATTAACAAGTAAAATGTGCAATAGTGTCAAGTGCAGGTAAAGCTCACCTATTCTGAAATGATTTGCCAGCGACGTTGTCTCTATATGAATCAAACATAACATGATACTGGTCTCTACTCCACTCCAAGACAACCTGCAAAGGAAAAAAACCAAAACCACTTGATGTCACCACCTGTTAGACACTTAATTTTCACCTTTTGAAATGTTTAACCACAACCAATTTCATTCAAATCGATCCATGCATTCGTGAACAACTGAGCAGATCACAATCCCAACTAAATTATGACACTGAGGCAGCAATCAGACCCAGAACTGAAGAGCATACTTAATTTAAACAAACTTTGCTTTTCTATGCAACAAAAGGATTTCATTACTTATGTACACTCTTTTTAAACTACTTTTTATTTAGGTCACCTTCCCCTTGTTTCTCAGCATTTAAAAATTCAGGACTGATTTCCCAAAACTGAGACCTAAATCAAATGCACTTCAATACAAGCAGGAAACCCCTAACACACACACACCCCTTCACAATTTTGTTCATCTTTTTCTATCCTCATACAGGATATACTGAAGTATATACACCTTCAAAATCTGAGCTCTGCAAACAAACAGCCAGGGAAAAAACCCACAATTTTTCAACAATAAAAGTGGTAAATATGCTTTGACATAATAAAGAAGTCCAGGTATTTTGAGATAGAAGTAATATAAAACATATACATTCTCCCCTGAGATAAACTAGACATCTTGATATCTTTTACAGTGAAAGTCCAACCTTGAAAACTACAGCAGCATTTTGTGCTGTTTTAGAGTTGAAGGCACGGTGGCTGAATTTACTGGGATATGTACATATCTGTATGTACTGGAGAGTGAAAAAAGCCAAAACAAAAAGAAAGAAAACCACGAAAACATAGTACTTATAGTACTTACTTTACACCACTCTCCCCAGATTTATATGCTATTATCGCTTATTTCTTGCATTGTAGTAACTATTAAATATACCATTTCTCTAAGATCACTTTCAAAACCATAAACAAACCATCCTCTCTCTTAAAAGGTTACACATCCACTCATTGCCACTGTAGCAAATTAAAGCCTTCCCTAGAGCAGGGAAGCTCCATCATGTGCCTGAGTGACAAGAGCACACACGCAATTCCTGCCAGAGCTGAACACTGTCTCTTTGTAACCAGGATCACATCAGCACACTCCATTCCACTCACACAAAGGACACAGATTGCCCAGGTAGGCATAAAAATCTCCTCCCTGAAATACCCAGGTCAGGAATTGTCATAAAAACACAATTTGTGCATTTCTTAATGCACAAGTTATTAAGTCTTTCTGCCAAATGCCAGGTTTAATATAGCACACATTGGAAGTTCACATCCAGGTGGAAACATTTGCTTCTACTGATAATGACACACTGATACATTGTGACTGATCTGAGTCTAGAAGAAATACAGAAGTATTTGAGTAAGATTATTTTATATTAAGAATATGTCTCTGCAGAAGAACAACATTAACCATTCCAGCCTTTGTCTTTTGTGTAACTATAGCCAAAAAGAAGACAGATCTCTCAGGAACACAAAAGGAACAAAGTCAAAAACTCTTCCTACCCGATACATTTTTTCCCTGCAACTGTTTCCTCCTCACACATTATGTATGCATCGTGCAATAATGCCTAGAGGCTGTTTTGCTTCAACTTTACATACTGGAATTACAAAACCACCAGGGGAACATTAAAGAGCAAGGGGAGAAACACTGCCTATTAGGAGATTCTGTATCAGACATGGTAACAGTGTCTCTGGCATGTTCTGGTTATAAAGCCTTTTAGAAAGCAGACCCACCTACGAAAGGACGGCCAAGAAGGGTTTATAATCAAACTGCCCTAATACTTCAAGCTCATCTTTCAAATAGGGAACAGCATTGACTTAGACCTCGCTGCCCTGTATGTTTTTGCAGAAAAATTTCTCACTTATGTTCATTGCCCTAGAATTTCACCGAGCTCAAGGTTTTCCTTCAAATCAAGAGAATTTTCAGCTTCTGGCTGTGAGAATATCATTACCAACCCCAAATTATTTGCCCTAACCATCCATTTTTACTCCATTTGTAATACTGGTATTAGCATGAACCTACGAAAGCAGACCTAACTTTGTCTACTAGAACAAGAAAAAAAAATCTGACTCTTGGGGTGGGGAAAAAGCAGAACTGCAAATGCTGTTCAGACACCAGGGTCTGATAAGTACTGCCTCACGCTGCTTTTTATTGCTTGAGTTTCCTGCAGATGGCTAAAAGTGGTTAAGCTGTTAATTTCTAGAAAGATTTCTTGGTTTCATTTTCTGAACAGCTTTATAGGTTTTTATTAGTTGCTGCCTTGGAGATTCTGTACTAATGAAGTATTTCCATTCCCACAATAGTTGTCAGAAGAGGTCTAACAGTGTTCATTCTCACAAGCCTTGTCTCTCCTAAGTCACTGAACTATCACTGTTTACAAAATACAAAGGCAAAAAGCAAGATGCATGCAAACATCTCTCTCCAAGCTTATCTATCACCCTTGGATAGAAAAAGAAAAGTAAAAAAAAAAAATTGCAGGCATTTAGTTGGTGTTTTTCAGCTGTTTTTGGGGTTTTTTTATTACTGGTCACTTTTTTCTTCATTTATGTTTTGGAAAATCTACTCCTATATGAATCTTCCAGTTCTTTTGCTCACTCTCTAAATTGTATCTAAGCTTTCCAAGTAGCTTTTAAAGGCCTGGAAGCAGTAAACCAAGATTTAGCAGGAAAATCTGAGCAGTGATTTCAACTGATTCTTACCAAATTCAGCCATAACCTAGACAACTACTGAAATATTTTTAAGGACCTTCAGAGTTCTCTGATATTCTATAGTCATGTTTTAAGTCCCCATTCTGAGGAAATGCAAAACTATGTCAGTTTCACAGCAGCACAAAAACTACACCAATCTAAGTTGATACTCATGTACAAAGAGACGCCTATGAGTACTTTACAATTACTTAATTTGCTGATGCCTTGGAAGTGTTTCAGGAACTTGTGGTCCCTACAAGACAGCAGAGATTAGTACTTTATGCGAAGATGTGTTAATATACAAAATAAAGTTTTGATGGTGGTACACGCAAGACTTTCAGGTAATACTCTTTATGGCTCTTCTTTTTTTTTTTCCCTGTATCTGAAAGAGCTCATCAAATTAAAACAAAGGAAAAAAACCCAAAAACATCTTCGGAATCACGAAATTCCAGTCTGTTTGTATTGAACATTGTCATCCTTTCAGACTTACAAAATTGATTTCCCTGATTCCTCACTACATTCACAAGTGCTGCGCTGAAGTAGGATTCATTTTCTCCTCTCCAGATCCATTCAGTGATGACTTACCAAATTGACAGGACCAAATCAACAGGACAATGTGAAATGAAGATTGAAACATTCAACACATCCGTGTAAAATCATATCGAGAAGAAGTGCAATTACATTGCAGCATTTACAAAATAATGCGAGCGAATTAAGTAACAAGAAGGGAGTAAAGCAGACTCTGCTGTGCAGTTTGGAGGGAGGACGCACGAAAGATTCTGTCACTCCCAGTCGACACGCGAAGGTGACATCCAGCACAAGCCTTAAAGGACTCAAAAACACAGCACTAATAAGTCACCTGAGGAGGGAAGTGGGAAAGAATTGCACAAGAGCAGCGAACAGCAGCTGCCCGAGCACGCCGGGCCGTGTCACCTGTCAGCCGCCAGCCCAGCCCCGCGGGGACACCCGGCGCGCTGCCACCGCCGGCGCTCCCGCAGCCCAACAGGTGCGGCCAGGGCGGCGCGGGATGCGGGAGCGGCCGCGGGATGCGGGACGCGGATGCGGGATGCGGGATGCGGGACGCGGATGCGGGCAGAGCCAGCCGGTCCCCGCGGGTCCGGCGGGCCTGCGGCGGCGCCGCTCGGCACAGCCGAACGGGGCACACGGCGCCGCGATGGGCGGGACCTGTCACCCGCAAGGCGCCCGGAGAGGGAGCGCGCTGCTCGCGGGACAACGCGGCCAGCCGGCTCCTCCGAGGAGAAACAGCCGCAAACCCCCGCGGGGCCGCGCCCGTCCCGCCGGCACCGCTGGGCTCGGCACGGAGGGAGGGAGGGAGGCAGGGCAAGGGGGGCAGCCACGCCGTACTGACCTCCCCGAACTGCAGGGCGGAGACGACCATGAGGACGAGGCCCCCGAGGCAGAGGCAGGGCCCATACCTGTGCGACAGGCAGGTATAGGTCTGGCGCTGCAGGAGCTTTAGCAGCATGGCCCGCCGGCGGCCGCCGCCCGCACGGCCCGGCCCGGCCCCGCTCCCCGCGCGGCCTGCGCCGGGCGGGGCCGCCGGCAGCGCCCGCCCCGCTTCCGGCAGCGCGCGGCGCCGCCTGGCGGTGGCGGCGGGGCGGCGCCGCCGGCCCTCGGGGGCGGAGGATCGGCGGCGCCGTCGCTGCGGGGCGGACGCCGCGCTGGGGCGGCCGAGCTGCGTGCCCAGATCTGAGCGATGCGGTCTGTGCGTGCTCTGGCGCAGCAGGTTCCCATCTAGAGAGGGTTACGGACGGATTTCTTCAAGAACAGCTCTTGAGGGAAATACATACCAAGAAGCTAGTTAGCGATCGGTAGCTGACAGTCTGGATTCTGCCACGAAGCCCAGCCTCCTGCGCAGGACGGATGCTGTTGTCATCACCGCTGTCAAACATTGATCGGGCAGAGGCACCGCTGGTGGCCAGAGCAGAATGATGGGGTGTCAGAGGCCTGCAAGAGGACAAGCATTATAGCACCCATCTCTCTAGTCTATCATCAAAAGGTCTTCTAAGTATTTCTTGAAACTCCCTGCAGTAACTTTTCAGAGTCACAACCTTGTGATCCTATATTTCTTGTGGGAAGTAACAATGAATGACCCTTTGTAGAACTTTGTCCCAGTATATTTGCACAGTGGTGGGCTGAGAGGACTACACATGGTTGTACTTTTAAGAAATGTCCAAGAGGGCACGGCTCTTTGGCACATCTCTCCCAAGCCACTGATCCCTTCTCCTCTTTACTTTTTAGTGTCACAACATTTGTCTTTCTCCAGGTGAGAGGAAAGCTGATGTCCTGAGAAACAATCGGATGGGTGAAGGGATGGGTGTTCACATCTTTGAAATGGGGCTTAATGTCCCTCCTGACTTAGGGCAGGTTTGCTGCAGAGTTCTGTCAGCTTGGCTCCTGGGACAGACAAGGTCTGCACAAGCCTGAGTTTCTGAACTTTGGGGTAAAATAGTAGGTTTACAGGGGGATACGTGGTAGGTGGTTCTGAAAGGCTGTACCTTCCCTGTACCTCAGCCAGAGGGGAGAGGAAGAGGGGAACACACAGTCCGGGAGTTTAGGATAAAAGGAGGCTGTGCCCTCCAAAACCTCGAGAGAGCAAACAAACCCCGTGGGTGTGTTCTCCCATGGAGTTTTTCCCTTTATTTTAATAAAGTTGCAGGACTCTTCTGTCTCCTTTTTGGATGTAAACCGTTTGTGGATTTTCCTGACAATGAGCCATGGGACAGGATAGCAAATTCACCAGGGGTTACCTGAAGAGCCTCAGAACCCACCTCATAGTGCTCATAACCTCCTAACGGTGTGTTATCAGACTGACAATACTTATTTGGCCCTTTGTGATAACCCAGACTTCCAGTTTTGGTACACAGAAGATTCTAGCTAAACTTTTCTCTCCTTCACATGTTCTCACCCATGTGCTGAAGAACTGTCCAGGGGAATATAATCTTTGCATATTCCCTCACCTGCCCTTCCTGCTCAAGCACTGTGGTATTATTATTAAACTATTATTACTCAGCTATTATTATGCCCTAGCAGCACCTCTTTACCTCTGCCTACAGCACTGTGCCAGCAGTACCAGTGATGGCCTGGTATTCTGAGTCAGTAGACTGAGGTTTTCATTGAGAACTGAGGTATAGCACATATGCAGATTATGAGAAAAAACCCTATTTATGGTCAAAAAGGTCTATTTCTGGTCAACAATCCAGTGTAAATGCAGAAATGAAACTGTGCTGAAAAGATGAGGCTTAGAGATATATGACCAATGTAAAGCAGAAAACCATTCAGGGGAAGTTGAATTACTTCAAGACCTGGATTAATAATTAGTAGAAAATGTGAGATGATGCATTGATACAGACTAATACATACTTCCATTTGATACCAATGTGATAAAGCCATTAAAATTCACATAATCTTTAACTTTTTCATTTTATAAAGTATCAGACAAAGCATACCATTAGACACAGAGATATAAAAAGGTGCTGAACGAATTGTGATGGCACTATATCTGTCCTTTCTTGTAGAATACTTATATTCAATGAATATATGTTTAAACTGAAATAGGTGCATGAAAAGGAACAACCAGATCCTCCTTTCTAAAAAGACACTAAAAGGTTTTGACTTGTTTGCATCACAGAAATGGAGATCAGAAACTTACTGAAACTAAATGCAATACTGTCACAAGATGAAAACAAAGCACAGGAAAACCCAATGCAAACAACAAAACAAAACACAAAAAGAAGGCAAAACCATGTTCTGGAATATATTTCAAACAGGAATAGCAGGAATACCTATCAAGCTTTGAGAGACAGCCTAACCATCTTGTGACAGGAAAGAGCTCTACACTCCAGATGTTCACCTATATTCCATTTTGCCATGGACTCATAGACTCTTCCCATCTCCAGTCCATCCAAGTTTTAATTATTCCAGATGAATGAGGTTGTTTGGTCTGGACAAGAGGAGGCTCAATAACTCATTGCTCTCTCCAGTCATCTGAAAGGATGTTGTAGTGAGTTGGGAGTTGAGCTCTTCTGCCATGTTTCAAGTGAAAGGATGAGAGGAAATGGCCTCAGGTTGTGCCAGGGGAGGTTTAGATTAGGCATTGGGAAAAAAAGATGTCACTAAATAACTGGTCAGGCACTGGAATAAGTAGCACAGGGAGGTGTTAGGGTCACCAAGACTTCCATCTCTGGAAGTGTTCAAGAGACGTCTGGATGTGGCACTTGGGGATGCATTTTAGGGGTGGTTATGGTGGGCTGATGGTTGAACTGCATTATCGTTAAGGACTCTTCCAAATTTGATGATTCTGGGATCCTGTGGAAAGCATGGAATAAGGAAAACAAGGCCACCCTCAGCTTGCTAATTAATGGCAAGCAATTAAGGTACACGTACCAGATGCAGGCTCAAATACCTTTGGAGACAATCTATCAAAGTTTATGGGATTATTCTATGTCTGTCACTAGAAATTATTTCCAAGCTTAGAACCAGAAACCAGATCAGGGGCCTTGTATCCCTTTGCAGCTGTCTTTGTGGCTGTATGTCTGAAAGGATCAGGGTTTAGGCCAAATTCTTCTTCACATTTTATCTAGTGCACTGCTTGTGGAGTTCTCCAGGTGAGAACTTTATATCCAAGAACAGAATACTTAACTTTCTCCATTTGTCTCAGTCATTGGAGATGTAAATGAACACAGATATTCTGCTAGGAGCAATAAATTCCACTAGATGTCAGGATATGTAAAAATTAGGTGCTGCCATTATAATCCAACATATACTTAAGGGCCTTGCCAAGCCCTTATCCATGTAAACCATTGGGCTCTTGGGATGATCTGCTTGACTGTTCTTGTATTTGTATTAAGTCAAAGGTGCACGTAGCAGCACTTAACTCAAAGGCATGCCTCCTGTGGATTATGATGTAATCTAAATAAGCAGTCAAATAGTTATAAACACACTTGATCTTGATTTTCTGCAAGTTGCTTTCACCAATATTTTTTCTCTCTTAGCTCTTAGAAAACTGAATTTTCCATGTTTTTCTTACTATAATTAAACCTTTCAAAGAAGCTACTTTGAAAAGGAAAGGAATATTTACTTTCTTTCAACAGGAATGGAGATTCTGTAATCCTCAAAATCTTGAGGAAGGCAGAATTTCTTACTGGACATGGTAAACTTGTTCAGTAGTAGCTCTTTCCAGGTGTTTCATGTTCTCATATGCTGGGAAAGAACAGTAAGAGCTAAATACTGGTAGCAACACCCAAATCTTTGGTTAAGGCAAAAGACCAGAAATAATCAACCAAGCATCTCAAGCTTTTCTATTAGCCAAGAGTAGTATTCACTGGACATTTCATGAATCTTGTTTTAAAGAAAAGAGAATTAACATCAACATAGGTTTCTTGTATTTGTCTCTGTATGGTCTCTTTAATAAACATGAATTAAACTTGTAGCATTTCTATGAGGCAAAAATTACTGGCCACAAAGGTAAAGACAGAATTCAGCAAGTTTGATGCCTGTTCCACTTGAAGTGTGAATTTTCACAATACAGGAGATAACTCACAGTACTCTGAAGGCCCAGAAGTTCACTCTGAGGAATTTTGTTTCCATTTGTAAGTGCTCTGAACTTCTGAGCATTCAGAGGTGTCTCAAGTCAGGCAAGTAAAAGTTCAGAATAGAGGGGTAGTGGGACTTGCCTGTGGAGAGTTTGTCACTGCTTTGAAGAGCTAAATAAGCACTCTCTATGGAAAGGAACTGGGAGATAATAGGGCCTTCTAAGACTTCTCTCCCTTCCAATCCACCCTCCCAAAAACTATAATATCTATGCTTCTGAAATTTAAAGCAATAGCCTTAGGCATACTGGAATGAATAGCTTGGTATGGCACTGTGAATTTGGTAGTACCACTATCCATCAAATACAATAATTAAAGCACATTATTCACTCAGAACATAAAAAAGACAGTGTTCTATCCTTCAACGTGTAATCTCATTTTGATTCACCATTTATAGAGCTCTTAGGCCTTGGTGAGACTCAATGCCACTGACATTACCTCTAAAATAGAGATTGAATATAAGTGATCAGTTTCTGAGAGACACTGGTAGACCTTGCTGCTGTGTCTTGTAATTGATTATCTCTTAATCAGTCTAAAGTAATTTTAGACTCATGAGCAAATGCATTCTAATTATATGCAGCTAGTGAGAGTTTTCACTTAGTACTGCTGCAAGAGTGGAGATTTTAAAATTGTGCTCAGTAGTTTTGAAAACCCTCAGAAGTTCAGCTCCCAACCCTCTGGACACATATGCAAGAAACATTTATCACTTTTTACTTGAAAATTCTCTTCATAGAATATAGAATCTTTTTTCTTTTTTTTTCCTTCATATCCACTTCTCTACTGTACCTATTTCTCTACTGGAAAAAAAAATATCTCTGAAACACCAGTCAGTTCCTACCCTATCCAGTCCTTTTTATTTGTGCAGATAGTGGAAAGAATTTTTAAAATAATCTGAAGAGCATGGCTGGTAAAAATGTAGTATAACT